ACCCCGGAAGCTTGGAATTCTACCCTTCTATCCCACCTCCTTTGATACACTGGCCTTTTGTTTCCGTCAACTTTTTTCTCAAAACTCGCCGTTCAAGAGATTTAAATTTACTCTTCCGTATTGCCAGAGTGAGTGTTTACCGCACCTTTTCAACTTCCGCTCCCGATTGTAATCGCTTGTGCTAACTTTGGCTTGTACTTCTTGTTGTACTTTGGAGTCCATTTTCTTTTGCGAACTCTTGTTTCAATTTCTCTATTGCTTCATCGGATTTGCTTTGCATCTCCTTTTCAATTTGCTCTCTTAGTTCCTTAGACGAATCGCCTGATGATTGACTCGAGACGTTGTTCAATTTCTCTTCATACTCAGCAACCAACTTGCGTTGAAGAGCCGATTTTTCATCTTCAAAGGTTGTCTTAAGTCGAGTAATTTCCTCCTTGAACTTTTGATCTTTATCGGCCAGCATATTTTCGAGTTTGTTCAATTGTTCTTTGAGTGTAGAAACAGTTTCGGAGTCCAGATTTTGTTCTTTGACAACATTGAGTTCCTTTTGGGTAGCTTCAAGAGACGCGCGTGAATCAGCAAGTTGTTTTTCCAATTCTTTGTTTTTGGTTCTATGGCCCTGAAGTTTAGTTTTAAACTCATTTTTGAGGTTCTCAAATCTCTGCATCAAATTTTTGAGCTCCTCGTTATTATTAAGCTGGTTCTTCAACCTAGCATTTTCTTCAGCAAGTAGTCTTCTTTCCTGTTCTTTAACTGCATTTTCAGTCCCCGACGAGGAGGAAGACACAGGGTTCGCCTTCGCCTGCGCAAGTTCATCCTTGAGTTGGCTAATAATCTCTATATGACTCTTGTTCTCATTCCGCAAAGTAGTGTTACTCTCGCGCAAAATATTGAGTTGTTCAAGTTGTTCCATTAAGCGAGAGTGATCTTTGCTTGTATCTTCAAGCTGAATCTTGGCACTTTCCAACCTCAGTATCTGTGATCTCGAAGCATTCAATTCTGAATCAAGGTGCTCAATACGGGTTTTCAATTGTTTCTGTTCATCAGCAAGAGTGATAGCTCTGACTTCTGCTGCCTCTTTTTCGCGACGCAAAAATCCCACCACTTCTCTTAAATCTTCATTATTCTCAGATGCTTCTAGGTCCTTGTTGGAGCTCTTCAACTCTAACTGATTGAGAGCAAGATCATATTGATATTGTAGATCTTTAAGCCTGATATTGAGTGCTTCCAACTCTTCATTTCTATTAGCTTTCAACTCAGACAAAGCTTCTTCATTAACCCTCAACTTTTCTTGATTCGAAATAAGCTCACCTTGGATGAGGTCAAATTGTGATTTCAAATCATCACATCGTTGTTTTTCAGAAGCAACCTCAACTCTTAAGTAGTCACATTCGGTTAATTTCGTTTGGTAATTCTTTTGAAGGTCATCATTGATTTTAACCTGTGATTCTAAATCACTCTTGATGATAGAAAGTTTCTTCTCAAAATCCCTTTGCAAGTCATCGTAGGAACCGGCCTTCAAGGAATACTCGTGTACTTTAGACCTTAATTCTTGGGTTTCAGAAATGAATTTATCTTCAGCTTCCAGCAAATTCTTCTGGAGACCCTCTATTGTAGTCGCTTGGTTTGTCACTTGTTCTGAGAGTAGCTCTTTTTCCTTCTCCAATAATTTCATTTTCTCATCACACTCAACTTTATACTTATCATAGGATTCTGTTGCTGCCATGAGCGCTTCTTCAGCAGCCTTTGCAATGTTGCTGAATTCATTAACTTGACCTTCAGCCATTCTCAAGTCATTTCTCAAGTCTTCGTACTCTGTATTCAGCATATTTCTGTTACTCTCAGGTTCGGTAAAACTGGATTCCACCGGTCTAACAGAGCGAGAAGTAGAGAGGGGCTGAGTTGAGATTTGTTTCTTGAGAGATTCAATAACGCTTTGTTTCTCTGCCAACTTCGCTTTGGTATCTAGTAATGTTCTGCTCAACTCATTCACTTGTTCAAGCTTCGAATTTTGTGCTTTCAAAGCCATCTCAGACTGAGAGGATAAGATTTGGATCCTTTCCTCTTTTTCAGAAATCTTTGCTTTGCAACTGCTGATAGTTTTCAACACTTTGGGTTAATTTGTTAGACAAGTCCGAACTAGAGGCTTCCCTTTCACGAAGCAAAGATTGCAAATTGAGAACGAACGTGTTAAGATGCTCCTTGTCCTTCTTCAAATGTTCAATTTCGTCTCTTAAAGACAACTGCGCGTGTTTCAATGCATCCTTTTTCAACCACTAAATTTCTTCGAAGAAGCGTTTGCAAGTATTAATTTCTTCTCGACATCCCGTAACTCGTTGTTTTTCTTTACGAGTAGATCTTCTTGTTTTGAAGCCTGCTCCTTCCAGAAAGTGGATTCCTTTTTGAAATGCTCCACTTCTGCATTTGAATTGCTCAAAAGCTTCTTGGTATTCTCAAGTCTACCTTCAGCCAATTCAACAGAGTGTTTGAACGAAGCGAGCTTCAACTGCAATTCCTCGCGGCTATTGTTGGATTCGCTCAACTTGTCACTCAAGGATCTGATTTTCTCGCTCGATTGCTTTTGAAGTTCCTTCAAAGATGCTTCGCTAGAGGCAACTCTCTTCTTCAAATCTTCATTTGCATCAGCAAGAAGTTTGACCTCAATACTTCCTGGTACAGAACCAGAAACTCTTTGACCTATACCTTTCAAGAGGTCTCTTTCTTTAGTTGTTGCATCCAACTTAATAGACACACTCTCTAATTCTCCTTGCAAAGTCAAAATTGCTTCCCGTGCTTCTTCAACAGCTGCAGATTCAAGGCCATTAGACTCATGTTCCTTCTCTTCTAATTGTTTACCAAACAGTCTAACTGCCATGAGCAACTCTTCGTTCTTCTTCTGTAATTCGACGATACTAGCAAATCCGAGCAATCTTTCCGTTATCAAATTATCTGTATCAGTCTCGGGACTAGAATCTTTATTGCCACTTTTGGACAAGATTTGGTCGATAATTTTCTTTTCGCTAGATGTCAATGGATCCTCATTTCCTTCTCTTATCTTTGAGTGGATCAAATAAAAGCAAAGTTGCCTTCCAAGGTCTTTCGACAATTGCTTTAAACTTTGTAATTCCGTCTCGTAAGTCGTTAACCGTATCCTCAATCTGTTGATCTCCTTTTCACTCTCCACTTTATCAACTCTAACACTTTCCATTTTGCCTAACAAGTCTGACATAGACTGCTCATAGAATTGTATTTGATTCTTGTAGTTAGCAATGGCAGGCTTCTTCAATTCTAGTTCCGCAATGAAATGTTGTAATTGGGATGCAAGTTTCTCCTTTTGTGATTTCTCTAAAACAAGTTCCTTCTTAAGATGATTGAACTCGGTATAGAGGGCAGATAATGAAATTCCCAGGGGGTTTGTCTGCATGATTAATTCAGCTGATTGCGCTGGCTTTGGAAGTTCAGTTTCTTTATGCAATTCAGAATCTAAGGCATCTTCAGTGCGCCTCAACTTCTCCTCAACCGCAATAAGTTTTTCATCCTTTTCTGAAAGTTCATTTTGCAAATTGTTGATAGATTCAGACATAGAGCTCTTCAAGTCTTCCGCATAAGTTTCCAACTGGGATATTCTATCATCACGTTCGCTCATTTGAAGATTAAGGAGCTCGATCGTTTCATCCTTGGTAGCTGCATCTCTTGAAAATTTCACCTTTTGAAGTTCGAGCTTTGACTCCAAATCGAATACTCTGACGCTTTGCTTTTCATACTTTGCCTGCAAATCCCTGACCTGAGATTGTAACGAGTCTTTCAAGCTGAGCAAGTTTTCCTTCTCACTTGTTAAAGAGGAGATAACGTTTGAATTTTTCAAATACTCTGTCTCATGCTTCTTAATGAGCTCTGTAAGTCTATCTTGCACAGCCTTCAATTCTTGTTCGTACCACTCTTTCTGGTTCTTCGTATACGCAAGTTCATTGGTGAATTTACTCAAATCAAGTTTCAACTTGAATTTTTCGTTTGAAACTTCATTGAGCTCTTTCGTCAACTCACTGAGTCTTTGCCCCAGATCAACGTTGGACTTGGAAATCTTAGTGATTGTGTCATTGAGATGAAAGATTTCCTGATCTTTGTTTGCAAGGACACTAGCATGACGGGTGTTATTATCGTTCACAGTAGCCTCCAATTTATATAATTTATCGGCTAAAACTGCATTTTCTTTGCGCAAACTCGATAAATCAGCCTCTTTCTTCAGGGTTTCAGCGGCAAGCGACTCATTTTCTGCAGAGAGCGATGCTTGTGAAGCATGCAACTTCTCGATTTTCTTTTGTAGGACCTCAAGCTTCTTTTGGTGAACTTGGCTCATCAGTTCCTGATTGAGTTTAAAGAAGGATAGTTCTGACAAAGCGCCTTGATACTGGCGAGCACGCTGAGCAGACTTTGAAACAAAGTCAGAACCAAGTGATATAAGAACTTCCGGTTCTACCTCGAGGAATGAAGCCGCCATGTCCACATCAGCAGCATCCTTGGAATCTGCGGTTCCTTGTCTTTTTTGAGATGACTCTGCAAAAGTGTCATCGGCAGCCCCATCGAATGTATCTTCATTGGCTTCAGCCAAATTATCAAGAATAGCATTTTCATGGACAACAGGGGAACTATCTTGGGCTGCTGGAGCATCCCTAGCGACGCTGAAGCTCTTTGGCGTAGTGATTGGCTCAATATCTTTCAAAGACGGGAGCGTTTTCAGTGGCGTGGCATACTGCTGAGATGAAGGGGGTGGGAACAAGGATGATGTATTGGGGTCTGAACTTTGTTCGTTCGTTATTGCCGTGTTCGATTCTTCTTGCGCTGCATTTGAAGTGCCATGATTATCTATATTTGGGGTCTCGACAGTCACTGATGGACGGGTTTGGGAAGATATTTCCGATGTGATACCTGCTTCGCTTGTTGTACTCTCTTGAAATCCGTTGGGATCAACAGACGAGGATTGATTGGAATTGGCGGGCAATTGAGGCGTAGTTGTCAGATGTTGATCCTGATAGTTCAGTGATTCTCCACTTTCAGGGTCAGCCAGGGCCTTTTCTTTGGAGTTCATTTCAAGGACAATACAATGATAGGATGTTTGCTGAGTTGAGGAAGTTGATTGTTGTATACACCCGTACACCCAGATATATGGCTAAAAACACCAACGCAATGAATGAGAGCCGAAGGGACAAACTTATAAATGATAATAATTTACTCGAAAATCAACGTATAGTTTTGAAAATCAAACAATTTGCAAGCAATTGGGTGATGAAAATTACAGATTATTCGTCTACCGTGGGTGTCAAGTTCGAGCACATGGTAGTTTATTCCGTCGAAGTGTGTTTTTGAGCCAAATTATCGTTTTTTTCGCATTACTGGGGCAACATGCATACGGGGATAAAGACACACGTTTCGGTATGGGTAATTCATTTTTGGTACAGTGCGTTGCATTCTAGACATAGACCGTACCATATAGTCGAAGTACCGAGGAACTGACAGGTGTTTTATCCTGTGATTATTCAAGAAGTCGACGTTAGTTCGCACTTATGTCTCCCCAATACTTCTGTTCTTGATGTGGGGAACTACTCAGTAGACCTAACGAGCTAATTTGTATTTTGAGAACCTATCTTATCCAGAATATTAGCATCGTATTCTCTCTAAAACAAAACCATTGCTTCCCCTATTCCATCAACTTGTCATAAGTAAATACAGTATCAATGTAATCTACATTTATCAGTGCCCTAGAAATTGCAATGTCTATTGTCAATGCTGCGTATAAAAGGGCATGTGCCCTAATGGTTGTAAATACACGTGATCTTCTCACACTGTATATGGCGTCAGTTTTTTTTGTGCGCACCCGTGCACCTGACAATCTTGCCTCGCTCGGAGCGAAAAACAATTTTCACTCACATACAAAGTTTTCCTTCTCCATCGACAGCTATGATTGAGCCATCGTTGAAAGCTTTAGCTTCCAAGTACAACTGTGAGAAGTCCATCTGCCGTAAATGTTACGCTAGATTGCCACCAAGAGCCACCAACTGCAGAAAGAGAAAGTGTGGTCACACCAACCAATTGAGACCAAAGAAGAAGTTGAAGTAATCGGACAGCCCCCGGTTGTTGTGCTTGCTCCAGTCACTTTTTTCTGTCGTTTCACCTCGTTTATACGTTCGAATGACGCTGTGGCTGTTTGCCTGCGTGGATTATTTAGCTTACAGTTAATACATCATCTATTGGAGAAAGACGTAGTTGTCGTTTCGTTGGTCATCAGAGTGGCTGGCTTCAAGAAAACGGTGCATTATCCAGAACAATCTGGCATCTCTGAGCCCTTTGCACAACATAATCATATGTGAATGTGTTGTGTTCTCTCTAACAGAGTATCTCACTTTTCCCTCTTATGACCTTCCAAGCCCTTTCTTTTTTCTAATGTTCCATATAACTCTCATACCCATTCTCTTGTTTCATGTGGAATATCTGGGCCCATTGTTACGATTCATTTTGCCTACCACTACACACCCAGCATCTCTACGGCCTTTACAGTCTCGCGCACACTTTCTCTGCTTAGCCACCAGTTGCCTTGAGTGAAATGTATCATATTGCATTTGCCAATTTTCCCCTCGGTTTTGTTCTGTGTAAGCCCTAATTGTTTTTTTTTTCCTTTTCTTGGCCTGAACTTTATAGCCGCTCGTAACACTAAAAGCCAGCAGTGACTCTACGTCTATCCTGCGCTTCCTGTCTCATAGCCTTGTCGCATAATGAAGTCATAATACGTGTCTGTAGAAATACACCAATAGGCCAAATAGCTTCTAGCATAACTTACCAGTGAATTGTAATAACTGCCGTTAGCATCAATATCCTAAACTAACGTTTGCCTCTATCGTCATCCAGCAACACAAAGTCGTGCGCGCACCACTTGATTCGACTGTCTCACTCGCTTCAATATGTCCCGTTTCTTGATCGTTCTCCATTTTAACTTCTGTGGCTGCTTGTTACGCGGCCTTTTCCAGACATCCATTTAATCAATAGCATCCTATCATCTAATCATTTATCACTTGTTCCAGAACCGTATTGTCGTGACCCCGCATTTGATCAGTTTCCATAATCCACGGCTTCATAAGACTCCCTTGTCTTTTAGCCGCCCTCTGCATTTCTCTTTCCGCATCAACATCCAAGCCCAAAAGAAACCTAATCAATCCCTTTTAACGGCTTATCTTTTCATAGGACTGTTCCCCGACGCATCTATTATCGCTGGTGCACTAAAACTATACCCCTATGAACAATAACTCCGGTTTTCTGCCCTCTCGTGGACATCCGGCTGAATCGCCCGACTTCTCGTCGCCCGAGGAACACCAGAATCTGTTTCTGTTTACACAGTCGCCTCTGTTTGGTCCTCTGGCCGCGTCATTGCCCCAGCAAAAACGCCAGAATAGCATGTCTGCTTACCAAAGCAATCCATCCAGCAAACGTACGCCCAACCCATTATTAGTCCCGCTTGGTCTTCAAAGCTCATCACCACTGGTACCTGTGCTTACTAGTTCAAATCTGGCACAGAACAGATTCGCCACTCCACAGTTTCGCCGCAATGTTCGGAAGCAGGCTCCGTCGCCGAATATTGTGGCTAACATGACCATGAAGACACCTACGCCTTCTGCATACGAAACTCCTTTAAGTCCCGGTGCAAGGCGTCCATCTGCGCCAAATAACTCTGATCTGACCGGGTCCAGTCCAATGGATCAAACTCAGCCGAAATGCACCGATAATGAGCTGGTGGCACTGCCCGCATCGCAACAACATCAACAGCAACAACAAGATATACACCAAGTACAGCAACCCCAACCAGATCCGCGTGATCCGTCAACATCGCTGGCCACCCAACGGGCTATGTCCGACGAAGAGCAACAACTTGCCACCAAATTGAAAGAGACCTATAAGAATATTGTCAACTTCGAGGAGATTGTGCAAAAAAGTTGTATCGAGTTGACTATCAAAATTAATCAAAGCAATTTTGCGGGTCATTCCTCTTACACATCTTCCATTTATGCGCAACAGCAACTGCAATTTTCGGGCTCTCCATCTTTGCAAGCATCCGCTCCTGTGGACACAACAGAGCTTTCTAATAGTTTATGGACCATTTACTACCACAACGTGACGTTGCTCAACAACTACTATGACTTCCTCATCACAGCATTGAAACCGACTACAAATACAGCCCAGTTTAAGACAGGCAAAAACATTGTTGATTTATATAAAATCCCGCGACGTATGTGGGTGTATGGTATTGTTGGGTTCTTGGAAGTGTTGAAAAATATCATGAGTGTTTTCCAGGAACATGAAATCTTTTCATGTTTCATTGCTTATTGTTTCAGTATCGTGTCCAATTTGACTGATCCATCTCTAGAAATGGAGGGCTGGTGGTGTGAAAAACTTGGTGACTTGTCACGAATGGCAATTGCTTTATATGCATCGAGATTCATTGACTGGAAGATCTCCGCAGAGTACTGGTACTCAGTGGTGATGAAGACTATGTATGGTCACGGTAAGATTTACTATCACATGTGCACCGTTCAACAGGACAACTTGGATGCGCTCGTGAACATTGGTAAGTCTGTCATATGCAGAGATCCATTTGTGCCCACTCAACAGTATCTCCGCTTGGTAGTGGAGAACATTTGCACCCAAAGGAACATCCTTTCTTTACTTGAGTTACCCATCATCGACTTCATAAAGATCCACAAGGTTCTTTTAAGCATTCATTCTAATGCTAGTGCTCTTACCCATAATGTTGACGAGCTTGGTAACCAGACAGAAAACATCTATGATGCTCAGATTCAGTATGGTGTCGATTTGGTAACTCGTTATGGCATTACTTTTGGCTGTGATTCGCATGGCTACAACTTTTTCACAAAATCATTTTGCATCCCCGGTGGAGCTCCGACCAAATACGGTGCAGACCCGTATGATCTGTACGTCAAGCAGCAACACGAACAAGAACAGCAGGCAAACACTTTAAACACCATAGAGAAGATGAATTTTTGGTTCAATAAAGGCTCCCTTTTCGCCATTGCAAATGTTAACCATCTCGTTGGTTTTGGAGATCCGAAGAATCCTTTCGCAAAGATTTTCAGATTACCTGAAGCATTGAAGGAAAGAAAAGAGAAGAAGGAACGGAAACGCAGATCAAAGAGCGTGAGTATGCAAGACGAGATGCCTCAAAACTCACAAGGAGCAGTTTCTGGAATAAATGGATCTGAAAGTCCTTTCTTGGTTGCTTCAGAATTGTCCATTACGGATTGGTTCTACTCGTTGACCTATATCAACAAATCAGTACTAAAGTTATCGCTCCGCATTTTAAATCACTATCTCATTGGACCCAAACAAGCATCCACATGCCATGTCATCGTTTGGCTTTACTTTCTTCTCGCTGTGGGAGAGGCAATTAACAAATATCCAAACTCCAAGCATATGTTCTTATGGTTATTCCGTAAGTTCTTCCCATGGAATTCTTTTATCAACTACTTGAATGCATTGGTTTCTGTTGCGGGTAACAGTAAGCACTTGAATAACATGTGTCGTGATTACCTTTTGAAGTACCCAAACTACGTCGATTACTTTAACCAGAATGAATTTTTGCCTGAGGTATGGAAATGTTGGGGTACCTTATGGTTTGATGTCATCTGTCCTAAGCGCGATTTCAATGATTTGGAATCCGCAGGGGTACTGACTGAGAACTTGTTCGATTTGCCAATCTGCGGCACTTCACCCATAATCAACATCAATAATAGTGACGATCACAGCCCCAGGGCTAAGAGCAAAGCTGCAAGCCAACAAGAAAATAATAACGACGAAAGACTCGTTCGTATAATATTATTGGCGAGACTTCTTGCCGACAAATTCGAATTTGGTCTTGTTAGAACAACTGAAGGTTTCAAATTTGATGAGGCGATATACAGCAAGACCGAAAGTGACTATTTGGCCACCTCTGCATCACCCGATATGGTTAATGAATTATTTGCATTCGTCCACGAAGTGATGTATGGAGACGGTCGCCTAACTCAGGATAATTTCATTACACCGATTTCTCCTGCTAACCTTGTCAATGTTCAAAACCTCAATTCTCTCAGTCCGGAAGACAAAGATAATTATTGGTTTCATCTTAGAAGCAATGATGACTGGAACTCTAATGGCCAACACGATATGAGGGAGGAGATTGCCGATGATGAAGAAATAGAAGGTTATGCTGATTCCGAGTTTGATGATGGCTCTGACTATGACCAGCAAATGTTACCAGAAACTGAAGCCACAGATGTTCCACAAATGATTGAGCATCGGAATCCTCAAAGTGCTACATCAGAAAGGGTCCACCAAAATTATAATGACCTTTACAGCGAAAGCTATGTGATGAACTCGGATATTATTCCCTTTTTGTCTAATTCTCAAGTTCATATCGAGGGCGATTTGGGTGATCGGATGGATAGCTCGCTAACATACATCACATTAGATACAAACATATGGTTGAAGCATTGTGGACGCATTTTCAAGTGTGTGAGGAATCATATTTTCAAGGTTCTGGTGCCGCTTATTGTCTTCCAGGAGTTGCGATCATTGCGTAAGTCAACGGAAGCGACAATAGCAGATGCTGCCACTCGGTCAGTTATCATCATCCGAGAATTGTATTTAGCACGAGAGATCGTTCCTTTGCGCTTTGACGGATCAGTTGCGAGCGATATCAATGAAACTACTGAATTCGAGAACAATTCCAATTGGATGAGCAATGTGGATCTGACTATATTGAACGTCGTCAATGAGCACGATGAGGCATGCAAAAGGATGTTGAAAGGCTTGAATGCTACAATCAACCAAAAGAATGCCTATGTCCTTGATAAAAAGGCTGCCAGAATGTTCCGGTATTGTATTTTGGTTACCGACGACAGGAACATGCGCTTGCGGGCGAAAACTTCGGGCCTCGTGAGCTACCAGAGTAAGTGGCTCTTTGGGCAACTTGAGACAATTTTTAGTCACAGATGCATTGACTAGAAACAGTTTCAATTCTACATTACGCATGGGAGGGAATAAACGGTCCTCGTGATCGCATGATTAAAAATGTATTAAACAAAAACGCAAGTAAAGAATGCAAATACAGAAGAGAATGAATATAATTCGCCGTAGGAATTAGAGGAGCCAGCCCAATGTTTTTTCAACAAAGCCGTTTCTCTTTTTGTCACCAGCTTCCATGTCAGCATAAAGCTGGTACTCGTGCTCTTCAATCTCTTCGAGGCCAGTACGAAGATCAGCATCCTCAGGTCTGATAAACTTTGTTCTCTTCCAAACCTTCCACACGAGGAACACGGCAATCGAAACGAACAACATCACATAGTTGTACAAGAACGTGTCCACAGACCAGTGACCTGGGATAAACACGGTGTAGCCCAAAATACCTACAACGATCCATAAGAACGTTGTAGCCATAATAGCAGTGTAGGGCTGGAAAGCAGACTTGAAGGTAAATCCATCTCTGTCAATCCCTTGGGCCTTGCATGCTCTGTAGAAACACAAGTAAGTTATACCCATGAATGCATAATTAAGAATTTGAGAACCAGTACACAAGGAGACCATGTAGTTCAAAACCTTGGTTCCCGAGCTACCCAACTGCATCAATGACAATAATGAAAACAAAATGGACACAATAACACAGTAGATAGGCACACCCGATCTTGTACAGCGGGTGAAGAACCTAGGTGCAAAACCTTTAAGCGAAAGGGCATAAAGTGCTCTAGATGAACAGTATGTGTACGAGTTTCCAGCAGAGAATGCGGAGGTCACAATCACGGCATTGACAATATCAGGGAGCACGCTAATGCCCAAGTTATTCATAGCAGCGACATATGGGGACGCGGCAGCGTTGGAGGAGTCAGATGTTCTCTCCAAATATCCTGGGTCGTTGTACGCAATCAAAATTCCCACAGAAAGGGCACCACCAATGTAAAATACAACTAACCGGGCCAAAACGGTACGGAAAGCACGCGCCATGTTCTTTCTGGGGTTCTTGGCCTCACCAGCTGTCATACTAAGATACTCAGCTGACACCACGACGAAACATGCGGAGAACAAACCAGCCAAAAAACCTTCGAATCTACCTGTCGCTCCTGTAGTGATGTGCTCTGCGATGGGACCACCCGAAGCTTTCCAATTGCGGAAACCGTAAGCATCATGTTTTGGATTTCCACCGCACATTGTGATAAGCGTGAAGAATAAGAGGCCCACGCACAAAATCAATTTTCCGAGGGAAAGCCAAAATTCAGACTCACCATAAGCCTTGACGGCAAAAATATTGAGCGCAGCGTAAATGACAATCTGGATACATAACGGAATCGCAGGAGAGTAGTCGTCACGCCAGTAGTGAATCATACCATTGACTGCGGTGATTTCAAAAGGGATGTACAAACTCTGCATCAACCAGAAATTAATAGATGCTGCACACTCAAAAGCCGGGTCAACTACTCGACCAGCCATGCTTAGAAATGGCGAGTCGATCGGTAAATAACACACCATCTCACCGACGGAAACCGTTAACAGCAAAATAACCGTGGTCCAAAATAAGTAGGAAAGTAAAAGGCCAAGGGGACCAGCCGAAGTCAAACCAGAAGAACCAATGGTGATAAATAAACCAGTTCCAATGGAACCACCAATGGCGATAAGATTAACATGTCTCAAGTCCAATGATCTCTTCGTGTGATAATTGCGGGGCGAACTAGAAACACTGCTACTGTCGTCCTGAGAAAGGTCCGCGGCAGTCTTATCGGAAAGCCTAACAGCAGGGTCCAAGGTGTCTTTCTTCTCCAAATCGGACATTATGATGGAAAAATTGGGGGAAGTATGAAGTTAGAGGATTTCAGCCTATTGGAAGACTTTTAATAAACAAGAATGCGGAGGGACTAAAAGATAACGGATGCGCCTTACGGAAGTGTTCTTGCAGTTTAGATTCAAGATTACGCAGAGTGGCGCGGACTGATAAGACTCTTCTTAAAAAGGGAAAGATTTCAGGCACAGGACAAAAATGGGAAAAGAAACTTCGCACCTTTATCACCACCTTATATGTACTTTTTGATGCCATAAGCACCATTACCTGTTTACGACAAAAGAGAAAATTTTCAGGCCTGACCGAACATATCTCACTGCACAGTGACATCATGGCGCACCAACAGCGTATAATGGTAGTCCCACGGGAGATTCCGTTACTGCAGGAAAGAATATTCCCCTCTCTGTACCGGAATGGCTCTGTAGTATGGTAAAGCGTCTCTACAATTAGACCACTTTGGTTCTTAAAAAAACTGTCGCATGGAGGGAACTTTCAGAATTCTCAATTCTACTTGTAAGTCAACTTCTACATTTCTTATGATTCTTTCTTTCTTTCTCTTTTTCCCATTTTCCAATTTTTTTTTTTTTCTTTTTCCTTCAGTTTGCACACTTCATTCATTTCTGGTAAGCACTCTTTCTACTGCCAAGCGCCACTACACTCGTAGCTTAACCCTATTAGGATAACGCAAAAGCGGTTGGATACTTGAATCATCCTCGGCTTTATGTTGAGTACGAAACTTTTCGCCGCTTTAAGCTTCTAAGCTTTCCAGTACCTCTTCTAGTTGGCAACAGTATTTAATACAATCTTTGAACGATGCGATGCCTCATGTCTATGGATGGTCATGAGTCCCTCGCGTCATGCAAACTTTTCGAAAAAGGCTCAGGGCATGCAGCATGGACAAGTGGAAGTGCATGTTTTGCATGATCTGCAGGTCCAAAAAGTGTGAGGTGTGCTCCCCACCCCAATTGTGGTAAGACATTCACAACTTAAGCTATAGGCAACAATGCCGTCATCATATTTATTCACTGTGAAGTATACCAAATGTGAGGGATATACTCACCCCTCGCTCATACCCCGTACTTATTTTTATAAACCCTGCATTCACGAGCGATGCGCATCACTAAGGAAGAAAAAAAAAAATACAAGAGACGTGCACTTAAGACCTTACTGCATAGGGGCACTTGCAGAATTGATTCCACAATGAGAAAAGACTCCCTGCATGCTATTTAAGAAAATTTATGAACTTATCACGTGAGTACTCGGAACCTTTACCTAAACTAGCCGTCTCCGGCAGATACTTCAAGTCATTAGACTTGATCATCTTCAATCACGGCATCTATAAGCGACAAAAGACGCACAATCTCCTGTAACCCCACGTACGATATATCCTCGTATGTCTCCGGAGCTTGGCCATCCTCAAGTAACGCATCTCTCTTCATAACTCCGACGATAAACCGATGGAAATGCTTCATTAGTTCTTTCACTTGTTCAACCCCCGGCTTGTAAGAAGAGCCCATGGAAAGGAGCATCGTTGCAATAAGTTGAAATGTGGGCACTAAAAACTCGTAGTAAGATACTAGTCTGCCCTCGTCCCGAACGTGGCTATTCTGTCCAAGTGCCACCGGAACATCTAACGAAAGTTTGATTCTTGCATTTTCGTGTTTGTGTTGACTGATATCCTCACTGCAGTCAATGATCAAGTCAATTCCCAAATCGGCATCGATGGCCAAAAACTTGAGTTGTTTGATCACAGAGAATATCTCATGCTGAAATAACTGTGCTGCACCTTGTCTCGTTTGGGCTATTCTTATTAAAAGGTATAATGTGGATTTGAGTGCCGTGAGCTCGTAAAGAAGCGTGTCAATATTGATTCCAGAATTCTGCTTTTCGTCTCCATTAACATCGCAAGCCACAATTATCTCATCAGTTCTCTTCAAAGATCTCACGAGCAATGACAACGAATTGTTTCTGGTTAATGCTTCAAGAATGGTGGTAGACTTTTCCATGCATGACAAATGAATCAAAGACTCCATGAACACTAGCGAGGTGATACGAGGAGTTCCTTCAGAGTAGATCGAATCATTGCAAACAATATCAATGAATTTTTTATCAATAGAGCGTAAAATTTCCACAATTTGACGAAGGGAAGTTTCGGCCTTGATACTTCTTTGAATGCATTTGTTGAGCAAAAGATATAAATCAGAGCGCAACGTGGCAGTAGAATTTAAGCACAACACCCCACTAACACAAGTCTTGAATAAAGGGAGAAGCCTTTGTAAGTAATGCGAGTTCTCCTCTCCCAAATTAAGTTTGTTCTCTTGTTCGTACAACTCAAAGAGGAAAACACAAAGAGAAATTAACTCTTCTGCAAGCAGAATATCTCTTTCATAGTATTCGTTGTTGACCTTGGGAAGAATAATTTGGAAGACATTGAAGATAAAGTCCGTCTTGTTTATCACACCCTCATATGTCACGACTTGAATAAACTGAACCCACGAATGTAAAGACTTTAATTGCAAAGTCTTTAATTGGCTAACATTATTGAACTTAACTAAAAAGTCTTCAATGTGGCTGAAATCCGTAGTTATCTCATTCACAAACGCTGCCTTCGAATCTTCAGTTGGGAACTTGTGTGAGGCTACCTGACAACTAAGCTTAACTAACTTTTTAATCACCAGGTCCTGATTTCCTTCCTCTTTATCTTTTACGGATTCCATTAATAGATACCGCATATTATATTTTCCGTTAAATTGTTCAAGCTTGTGATCGTCAAAGTTGCAAAAACGGAAATTCAAGAGATCCAAAAAGTTCAAAATTTTCGGCGTGCCATCAAGAAATTCTGATCCATCGAGTAAAAGGCTAACATAATACTCCTTCCTGTAAAGGGAGTTCGTAGCATGAAACTCTGTAGATAAGTATTGGAGCACAGCATTTCTATATTTGATAAAGCTGAAGAACGTCTCACAACTACTTTCATTGAACAAAAACGCATTTTCAGACCCCTGCAGGGCAACACCATTGAATTTGTAGTTCTCCCACGTTGTCATGTCATCGATTATTAGTTGAGCTGAAAGCAATTTCGCAAACAAATCATACTTGCGCAAAAAATTCAACGTCGTAGTTGATGAAATTGGGTCTTGGCACAATCTCACAAAAATCTCCATTATCATGGAAGTAAGTTTAGCTGGCCCAAGACCGATATGATGGCTGTATCCTTGACTGTAATCGACTTCTGAGATCATATTCAAGGTCGAGATCAACAATTCCACTAGGCTCAGAAGTAATGTGTCAGCTTCTCTCTCTTGATCAAGCACGAGTTGGCTGTCCTTTATATCAAATCCAAGAAGGAAATGAGATACAGAAACTTCATTGATTCCATTCATGTTTGATAACAAGTATTTTAATATCTTGAACTTGATACTCAACTGATCCGTGATGGTAGCAATTTGCTGCGTAAATCCATACTGTATTTTAAAGGACTCGTCAATGCTATTGAAGATGTCCAATAACCTGTTCCTTCGCAAGAATTGTATGTTGTTGGATTTCGACACGAATAAAGAACAAAGTGACAACTTCCTTATGATTTCCAACGCGCTATCGGCAATTTCAAGGTCTGAGCTACCCACATACAAAGCAATGTTAACAATGCTTGGAATATGGAACAAAAGGATTTCATAATAAGACGATACGCCTTTTGTACCCAAATTCGATGGGTAGTAGATGTTATCGAAAACAGTTTTTGGAGCAGCCAAAGCTAAACTTAAGCTTGTTCCGTATCCCACAGCCGTAGATGGTGGTGAACCATTATCAGTGTTCTTCAAAATTGGAAGCAATCCTTCGATGAAAGTATCCTGAAGAGCCAATATGGAATTTAAAGCTTCCAATGCACCCTTCACCAAAAACTTTTGGGAGGATATCAAATTTATAGTCTCGGCCCCTATATTAATAATGTCTAGTAACGCTTTGGAGGCATTCTCATCAAACATATAGTTTAAAACGGCAACAGAGTGGTGTAGTTTGACAAAACTTGTGTATGACAATGTTGCAGGTTCGTCTGAAACAAGTTGCAGCTGCGCAAATGCCTCTCTTTCACGGGGCAAATCGAGTAAAATGTGTGGTGCAACGTTATTTACAAACGGCCAATCCACCTCGCCTAAAGCTGATTGGATGATGAAGATAATTGAGTCCTGCAAAATCAACTTGTGCTCCTTTTGTTTAAGTTTGGGCGTCTTGGCGAAAACTTCCACGATCAAGTATTCGATATAAGGCCATACACCAATCTGGTTCTTGTGGCGGTGCCCGAATCCCAAGTTTGATGGATATAATAGTTGAATAGAAGACAGGGCTTTTTTACCACTTTCCAATGGCGTAAGTAAGTTCTTCAAAAGAAGAACAAAGTTAATAACTTCAGAGATGTTGTTTAGACTCATCTGTAAACCACTCTTCATGTTGATTCCGCGGTGAAGAGTTCTCAACTTTGAAAGCTCATTTTTTCCTGAGCTTAATGATGTAGTAGATAGAGATACACCAGCGTATCTAGTAGTATCAGAGGGTGCTGAATTATTTGTGTCTAAGTCATGAAGACTGTGACATATCCAGCGATCTAAAGTATTCCATATTTTGAAGCGAAGATCCAAATTCTGTTCATTCTCTGCGAAATCTGCCAACAAGTTGAGTATTAAATTGATGATTATGGTCCTATTCTCATCGTTAAATACCACTGGTATGACCTTGTCATCAGTAGGTGCCGACTTTGCTGAAATAATCAAATTATCAAATTTGAGGAATCCAATGATGACAGGAAGAAAACAATTAAATGCTGATTGTCTCAAACTTCTTGATAAAGGTGAATTTTTGTTCGCATTCTTTACAATGGCTGAAATAAGCATCAAAAAACCAGATATGAAAATAACAGAATCCTCTGATAACTGAATTGACACTGACTTCTTAAGTTCATTGTCTTTTTTGTTTGTGTATGGGTTTGAAAATAAGATATCCAGTTTCCTTTGCTGTTGCTTCGTTTGAAGGTTCAAATCATGTTCTAAATTTTCCGTTAATGAATCCACGTAATAAGTTAAGGAATGCAATATGGAATCCACAGAAACCTTGGAGTAATCATTACGTTTGATACTTCCTCCTTGAGCGTTAATCAAGAATTCCCACACCTTGGCACTAACAATTTCTCCTGCAGAAGTCAAACTTGCCAATAAAAGACAAAACGTGGCAGTGATCAAAGGAGAGGTGTTATTTGCCAACCCCCAATTAATAAAACCGGCTATGTTAGCTTCATCTCCAGTCCAAAATGCATTGCATAAGTCTGGTCTATGTGTATAGGTGAATGCGAACGCTAAATAGAAACGATCTAACTCCCCTCGACTTGCGATAGATTCAAGATCAAGGCTATTTCCATCAGTTTTGCTGTCGTGATCGTTGCTTCTTTTGCTTAATTCTGCTGTATTAATGTCTTCTTCCGTTTTTGATTCCGCGTCATCTGAAGCCAGCTCAAGCTGTTTCCTATTCATAGATGACAAAAGGAAATCTTCTTCGCTGTCACGAAGCAGACTAAGGACAATCGCTGCATGGTTGATGAAATCGCTGAAAAAGCTGTGGAAAAAAGGTGCTAATAGTTGATTGGAGAACTCATTGGAAATCTCGAATGACAGGTAATCACAAAGGATGGCCATGTTGGTAAGTTCAGGCCGTGATTTCGCGATATGCGATAACTCTTCATTTCCTGAGTAAATCAACTTCACGGGTTTCAAGCTCGGAAAGTTTCTTTGAAGCAATGGTCTAAAATCGTAGAGACTTCTTCTCTCATATAAAACCTTTGTCTCTGGTGTTGCTGACTCTGCCGCGTAACAAAGAAGTTGCTCGAGCGTTCCATAGCTTATAAGCCATTCGACATATTTCAAAATATCTTTCTCAAAATCATACTTTTTTGTGCGGGTTTCTTCGTCTTTGCACCAAGGAATCATTGCAATGAAGAAAAAAAGCTGGAGGACCAAAACATATGAGCGGATAGACGAGTTTTCCAAGTTGATAATCTCTCCACTATTGACTTTGGAATAGTCCGAGGAAAGAGCAGATACAAAATTCAGATGCAATTTAGAGACCTGGTCATCAGGAAGGTCCGATAATGAGCTGATAATTCTCATCAAGGAAGGGAGGTAATGCAATAGAAGAATATCAGAATCATCTTTTACTGACTCATTGATATGAGACACGATCGATGAGTATGACTCGAAGTTTCCAAGCTCCAGAATATACTTGTCCACTATGGAGAATAACACCTGCGCCAAAAGACCATGGATCAGAAAAAGTTTATTTTTCATGAAAACAATCTTATCAACAAACTGAACATCATTGAGATCGCCCGTAGCCTTTTGTTTATCAATGAGATCGTTCTGGATTTGAAGTAAGCTGTAGATTTTCTTAAAACTAGCAATAATCGATGAAAGCATTGTAGAGGCCTGGTTTTGTTTTATGATAGTAGACAACTTCGCTGTGGTCACCAAGTGGCCAGCAATATTCAAGATGTACTCATAGCGTTGAATAAAAGCCAAACGACCTGCGTCCACAAGGTCAAACTCCTTTCCTAGGGCAGAGCTAGCGACTTCAAGAAGCTCTGCGCACGCCAATTCATCCAAATCAAGTTCAACGGACAAGGAGCTTGTGGCGGCAAGAAAGGGTTTATTGAATTTGTACTCATCGCCATTGAGCAAGACAACGGGTTTCCCAGTTTCGCCAGCAGCTAGTGTCGATCTACTCTTTTCGTTTTTCGATGGAACGGTAAGAAGCGCCCGTAAATCTGGACCGATGGAGGAATCAAGCAGTTGCGGCACAGATGCCAGGAACTTTATGGCATTGTAGCAAGATTCGAATGCCTGCGGATTCCAATTTAGCAAGTCGGAGGCCATTGGGGAAAAACAGTGAATTGGGCAAAAATTTGTTGTGAGTAGGTGCGCGAGTGCAGGAGCAATGGGTAAAGCAGGTAGCCAACGTGAATATGTGTAGGAGAAGATCCTAGATACAACGATTATGTCGCCTACAGATAGCGGCTGTAAGCGAATCAGGTCAACTTTCAGCTATTTTAGGGCTTGATACTATGGAAGATAGTGGAGTGCTCATTTTATCATCATTTTCATGAGTATCTGCGGCGAAACCATAGCACGATTACTTCACTAAACTTAACTAAATTAATTGATGGGAAAGGACGTCAAATAAGTACAGTTACTCACAACGAAAGCACACAATTGATGATTCCTGTAAACTAGTCAATTATTTGCAGAGTTGCTGATGCGCGATTGTGAAATTACCAAAGGGCAATATTAGCCCCGTCAAAAAGTGACATTGTCAAGTGCGTGGCCTTTGCAGGCGGGTAAACACTGTCAAAGGATTCGATGTGCTCAAACATTTGCAAAAGGCGAACAATCACATACAGTGCCTCGGTCAAGGCAAATTGCTGGCCCAAGCAAATGCGCGGACCGCCGTTAAATGGAAGGAAAGCCCATCCCAATTTCTTTGTGCGCTCTTCGAACCAGCGTTCGGGGCGGAAGTCATTGTAGTCTTTGCCATAGTGTACCTCGCTCCGATGCACAGAATACACTTGGTAAATACACATGGTACCCTTTGGCACAAAAATCGGCTTTGACTCATCAGGCCCACCCCCATGTGGAAGTGTAGTATCGCGTGTGGCCACCCGGAAATTGGCAGGCACTGATGGGTACATCCGAAGCGTTTCGTGCAAAACGGCGCGCAAGTACTCGCATTTTTTCAAGGACTCGAAGGAAATCGCGGACAAGTCTGCGCTCTCGCCCAAACCAAAGTGAAATGAAATCTCCTCCCGCAAACGCGCAAACACGGCCGGGTTGCGCGCCAACTCAAAGAAACAAAAGGACAAAAGACCAGAAGTAGTATCGCGTGCGGCGAGCAATACATTGAGGCATTGGTCGCGCAATACTTTTGGGTCGCGCGTCTGCTTCATCAACTCATACAAGAACACATATCCGCCGCGCGATGAGCTGTGAGCCTCTTTGTCGCTCGCATGCAATGCGCGCTCCACGAAAAAATCCGTAACCTGGTGCACAATACGGTTCTGGCGCCGAAATTTGAAGCCATCCACAAGAAAGTATAATTTTTGCAAACTGAGCCTTTGGAACAATATGGTCTGCGTGTAATTGAAAGCTTCGGCGAAAACTGCTTTGAGCGCCGGATCAAGGCCCGTCTCACTCTCACTTTCTCCATCCACAAGTGACTCGCAAGACTCACCAAATAGGAACTCCGTACCCGAGTCAATGGTGAGTTTGGCAAAGAGTGGCTGGATGTCAAACCGCTCGCCCTTAGTGCCGCGCACTTTTTGTGCGAGCCGTTGCACATGCCGCTCCAACAGCTGAACGTGGGCAATCTGTTCGCGCGCAAACTGCGGGCGCAACATGGCGCGTGAGCTTTTCCATCCGGCTCCGTCAAGCGTGAAGATGCCATCGCCTAGCGTCACTTTGATATGCTGGTTGCGATTTCCCAAGTTGAAATCATTGAACTGTGTAGCCAAAATCGCCTTCACGTTTTCAGGATCGCGTGTGGTAATGGCATAGCGCCCACCCACAAGTAATCCGCCGGTATACACGCCGGTGATTTCGAACTTGGACTGGAAAAAGTCTGGTGCCCGCCCGATCTGGCGCATCTTGAGCATCTCGCGAACCACCTTGAACCCAAGACATTTATCGGTGCCATAGGCGGGCCACATAGCGCCAGAACGCTTGTACGCGATGTATCTTCTGATGTACGACCCTGCAAGGTAAATTCCGATGAAAAGGAGAACACTGCTCCAAATGGACATGCCGCCAAAAACGCCGTGAAGCAGCATTTGGAGAATGCCTTACGAGGAACTTGGTCAATGGGGCATGTTTAAGTACTACTAGGTTTCGAGTCTCGTCTGGGACAATGCCCTAGACTGTAGAGAAGACAAGAGTTTGTGAATGTGATTTTGCAAGTGGTTCCAGTCTCTGGCTATTGTATCTCTGTTTGCAAAAAGAGCATCCGCTTGCGCTGGACCACAGGATTTGCTACTTGTAAATTGCTTGTGATACTATTCTAAAGGTTCTGTTTATGTTCATGCCCATACCACTAAGACCTGCGTTGGTGATGGTATCTTCGCGAACGGATATCGTTATAATCTATGCGTGGGCTATATATGTAGCCGCGCGCCAACGTTTCAGGCCCACAATGCAATTCCTGTTTCCAACATTCTCACTCGATTGTCAACTCTAACAGCCCTATGGCGTGTGACTAGCTTTAGAGATTTTAAAGTGCGCATTATATATTTAGTCTGGCCATTATCACACAAGCACATTGTGTTTTGTGGAATATGTGAGCTAACTCAACGTTAAAGAGACCCTAAAAATATCCACACGCGACCATTCTTATGGTATGTTTTACATTTCGCCAATTGATACGTATGTTCATTGATAAATATCGATAGCAACGATTACTATAACCCCAGCCGTAACTGCTTAAAGCTCTGGACCAGCAGCCTTCACCTCCTCGGTAGCTTGGTCAGCGTATCTGACAAAGTTCTCTGCAAACTTGGAAGCAAGTGACTTCACTTCCTTGTTGAACGAGTCCTTACCTTGAGTCCATGCAGATGTTGGGTTCAAGATTTCGGAAGGAACACCTGGACAAGCCTTTGGAATGTTCAAGTTGAAAGTTGGGAAAGTCTCGAATTCAGCCTTGGCCAATTCACCGCTGTGAATAGCATCCAAGATGGCTCTAGTGTACTTCAAAGAGCATCTCTTTCCTCCACTGGAAACAGAAGAACCAACCCATCCGGTATTCAACAACCAGGCGTTAGCCTTGTGTTGAGAGATCTTGTCAGACAATTGCTGAGCGTACTTCATAGGGTGCAAAACCAAGAAAGGTTGGCCGAAACAAGCGGAGAAAGTAGCTTCTGGTTCAGTGACACCTTCCTCTGTACCAGCCATCTTGGAAGTGTAACCGGAAATAAAGTGGTACATGACTTGCGAGTTGGTCAACTTAGAGACTGGAGGCAAAACACCAGAAGCGTCACATGTCAACAAGATGATGTTAGTTGGGTGTCTGTCAGCCAAACATGGAATCTTGGCGGAAGGAATGAAGTCAATAGGGTATGCACATCTGGTGTTTTCCGTGATGCTGTGGTCACTGTAGTCCACAACCTTCGAAATTGGGTCGTAAACAACGTTTTCCAAGATGGCACCGAACTTGATGGAGTTGAAAATCTCTGGCTCCTTCTCGGCACTCAAGTCCAAACACTTGGCGTAACAACCACCTTCAATGTTGAAGACACCGTTGTCAGACCAACAGTGCTCGTCATCGCCAATCAACTTTCTCTTAGGGTCAGCTGACAAGGTCGTCTTACCTGTACCTGACAAGCCAAAGAACAATGTCACATCGCCCTTCTCGTCACCTTGGTTACAAGAAGAGTGCAAGGTCAAAATCTTGTACTTAATTGGCATCAAGTAGAACATGACAGTGAAAATACCCTTCTTCATTTCACCAGCATATTCAGTACCCAAAATCACCATTTCCATAGCCTTGAAGTTAATTTCAACAGATGTGGAAGATGTCATACCCTTGGTGTGGATATTGGCTGGGAACTGGCCGGCGTTGTAGATAGTAAAGTCAGGCTCACCGAAGTCTTCAAGCTCTTCCTTAGTTGGTCTGATCAACATGTTGGTCATGAACAAGGCATGGTAGGCTCTAGCACAAATGACTCTAACCTTGATTCTGTACTTTGGATCCCAGCCAGCAAAAGCATCGACAACGAACAACTTTTCTCTTGTTCTCAAGTAGTCCAAAGCTCTCGATCTGGAGATTTTCCACGTCAACTCGTCAACTTGCTTGTTAACAGGACCCCACCAAATGTTATGCGTGGAGGTTTCTTCGTCGACAATTCTTTTGTCCTTTGGAGATCTACCGGTCTTTTCACCGGAGTAAGCCATCAATGCACCAGTGGAAGAAATGGTGGTACCTTTCTCCAACAAGCCGTCCTCGTACAAGGTTGGAGGAGGAGCATTGTGTCTGAGAAGGACGTCTTTATTGAGCGATAATTGCTGCACTAAAGGGTCTTGGATTCCCTTAATACTTGGGTGGTTGAAGTTCAAAGAAGATTCGACTGCGACTGGAGGAACCATGGTGAGTGATGATAATGAAGAGGAAATTATTTATTGCTCGAGGACAAGCCAGTATTTATATAATTTGCATTGGAAAGTGCCCCGGAGCACCGGAACGACTGGTGGTAAGGTTTCCCGGAGGAAGGGAAGGAAAAGCTGGGGTAGCACGCTCTTGTGAGCACAGGAAAAAACCGGAACAGGATGGAAATTCTCGGAAAGCACTTACGGCTACCCCAGATTCCCCGGGTCAACGGATTTGTCCTGTACTTAGTCCTGATTCATGGTACATCTGCACCAGCCAAGCCCCGGGACAACGATAATTCCCTCAATAAGAAGGCGTTGAGTTCATGCAAGGCATAATTACTCACGCCTGAGCAGGATCATGCGAGAATATTTACTTCTACTGACTATCTCAGGTAACTCCAGCTGACGCGTGGAAATATCCTGGTTGTGAAAATAGGTACTGCATGGTTGGCAGCGGGGTATACCAGCAAGTAATAGCAAGCCGAATGGGTCTTATGCATACCGTATACCATACTTTCTTCGGCAGGAATGATATTCTTCTTTGTTCGAGCTGCGTTTTCTGTGCCTTAACGACGAAGTGGGCTCATTTCAATGCACTTTAACGTTATTATGGATCGGCCTTTGACACGGGCCTGTAAGTATTGATGATGCTGATTCTTCATGTGGCGAGCTTTTCTTTTTCTTTTTTCTTTTTAACTACGGGAGCCTGAGCATGTAGCAGCATTTACATCAGTTTTTTTTTCCAAACCTTATTAGTAACCAGGTATATTTCAATTGATCTGAACATGAAACGCGAGAATTGCTCTATTTCTGATAAGCGAATGAATGTCTATATGATGACTGAAGATCCCTTATTGGTCTTCGCACATGAGGGTTGCACCATTCAGATGGTCGTAGAACTCGCGGTATTCCTTCCACAGCTCAAAGCCAATGTCCTTGACCCCCTCAAACGATTTGTCGTCTGCCACGTCCATCATAAAACACTTGTCCATGTGCAGCTTCGGGTTGTCACAGAAATTTGAACGCAAGTACGTTACTGCTGAGCAGATGAGACCAAAGCGCAATATCTCTGTAAGGTTTGAGTAGGATGGATCAATCACAGGACTCACGATGCCGCCCACAAGCAGTCCTTCCTTGTCTGGGTCGATGAAAGGGTAGAAGAGTGCCATCAGACACTTGCTGGTAAATAATACAATACTTCCGATCACACTCTGGTTGGCTGGTTCCAATGCAATAATAACTTTTGCCTCGTGCAGCACCGAGCTAGACATACGTGCCATGGCTTGCTTGTACAAATAGCGCACATGTCGGAGCGGAGACGGCTGGCCTGCAGCACCTTCGCTCGCGCGCGAGAGAAGACCTTCAAGCTTCTCCAGATGTACGCAGATATCGAATCGCACGCCAACAATGGTCAACTCGCGGAATATCTTGTGCGGGACTGACCAATCTGCAAGACCCGTCATCACCATGGCATGGAGCTGTGGCAGCGCGCATGGATCGCCCAAGTCCCACCCTGTGATATTGAGAAAAGATATCACTGCCGGGTCAGCGGTCATGTGCGCTTCATCCTGAAACCCAATTAAGGGAAAAGAGCTGCCCAACTGTACCGCGCTGCAGCCCTTTTCTTTGCAAAGGTAACGCACTGCACGCGCATGCAAGTTGCGCCCAACCAGCTGAAGTCGCTTAGCGCGATCCACCAAAAGATAAAGTATTTTACCCAGACGGTCCGGAGGAGGTACGTCATCTATCCACGTGAACACAATGCCGTAGATTACGTTGAGTGAGGCATTGCGCACAACAAAGTGGCGCTGTGTAGCCGCATGCGCGTGCAAGAGCATTAAGAGTCGGCGCACATATGCCTCCAGGTATTCGGCGCCCTTGTTAGCCTTGAATAATGCGAGAAGCGCGCGCCAATCACGCGTGGCATCAAACTCGTCCACCAACCACCGACGTGTTGGCGCAACAACGCGCCGAAGTTTTGGCGCGCCGCCTGCCGGTGCCGACACCAGTAGTCTCCTCCGCCGCGAATGGTTGTACTTCTTCTCGCCAGGTACACAGCCTTGGGGTACATAATCTCCCATGAGTACCCTTGCCACTTCGTCAAGGGCATTCTGTGTGTAGTCATAGCAGCATAAGTAGGCGGAACCAATGCTCCGGTGGTAAAAGAAATCGTATGGGCTCAGGGTCGCGACGAGCACCAACGGCTTGGCCAACGGAGCGCGCGCTCGCAGGCGAGGAAAATGGGGCGGGGCTCCGCAGAGCACAGACACATATTTGACGATGCCAACCTGATACATGTTCCTGCGGGCCTCAGATGTCACCACGACCACAGCCTTTGCATTTGCAATGAGTTGTTCGTGAAGTGCTGTGAGTCCGTTGGCTGTGTAAGTTGTGTGTAAAACATTGAATTTGTTTGCTGGGTGACGCGCCAAAGCCTCGCCAAACCGCTGGAAAACTTCTTCGCCAGTATGAAGACCGTTCGCACGGACAGCTGTCCTGGGATATACAGGGTTCAAAAGTGGCGTAAGCACGAGAATCGACTCGGGAACATTTCTTTCATTGTTAGTGGTACTGCTTTTGTCGATCTCCTTCTTTCCATTTTCTTTTCTCTCTGTTTCCTGCTCACCCACATTCTCATCTTCTGAATAACGCGCCCACTTTGTGAGCGGGAGCGTATCTTCGTAGTCGCGCACTAGAGTAATGGACAGGCGGTAAGCGCGACGAGAAAGCTGTTGATGAGAGCGCCACCAGTCGGGCTGCGCCTCACGAAAGGGCCCTGTCGCACTAAAAATCTCTGCCCACAGTGCCACACGGCGCTGTACGGTTTCTATCCGCTGCATGGACGCTGCAATGATTCGTTCATCAAGCATTCCATTGGCCAATGCTTTTGCTAGCGAGTCGATCGCTTCCACCTGCCGCTCAAAATCATGACAACACATAACTAAGTCACACCCAGCGCACACCGCCAACACTGCTCCCTGACCGAGACCAATCAGATGGTAAAGTGCATCCATTTCAAGACATTCGCTTATGACAAACCCGTCAAAGTGTAGCTCTTCGCGTAGAAGCTGCGTGAGCAATACAGGCAGCAAACAAGCGTGCACCTCGTCCGGGGCGATTGCGGGCACACCGCAACCTGCTGCAGATATCCCGTCCAAGAGCCCCTCTTGAATAAGCTCGGCAAAAGGCACAACATTCAGTCCTCGAAGCTGGTCTAAGGACTCAGCCATAATCGGGACCTCAAGTAATGAATCAACTGTCGCATTTCCGATGCCGGGAAAGTGTTTTCCTACGGTGATAAGACCACCATCTCGGAGCCCCCGTGCACAAGCCCTGCCGTAGCGTGCTACATCCTCAACGCTCGACCCAAAGGAGCGTACCAGCACAAGTTGTGCCGACATTTTTGTTACCACGTCAAGCACAGGTCCCAATATCACAGAAAAGCCAATGTGGCGGAGTTCTCGTGCTGTGGCACGGGCAACTTCATACACTAGCTCTGTGTCGCCCGTTGCGGCCAAAGCCATGGCGCCTGGGAACTGAGTTAGATCGCGAGAATCAAAGAGTGTGTTGAGCATGCCGCCCTCTTCATCGATAGCTATAAGGAGCGGATACTTGTAGTGGGCATGCTCGAGCGCAATGCGTTGAAGATCGCGGATAAGGTGTGCCATTTGCTCGGCCAGCTCTGCATTCCGCCGCGATAGAATCATCGTCAGCACGCGATGCTTGACTATAAGCTCGTACGCCTGTGGCGTGGCCGTAGTGCCTAAGAACCCACCGCATACTAGCTGCCCAAGTTGTTGCTGGATCATTAGGGTAGTAGTGCGTTGCGGTCAAATGCGTGGTCGACGTCGGTAGATTTGGCTTGTGATGGAGAAGTTGTATTCCTTGTGTGCGCGTACTTCTACAGTACAGGCATGGCAGTAGACAATATTGGACCCAAGTCAAAGGAAAAATTCAGGAGAGGCAAATCATTTTCATTGGCTTCATAGTATTTCCTCCATTTTCTATGATCTTGTGCTTGTAAATTGGTAAGGCTAGATGGTACTTGTATAGTACAGTGTGCGAGTGCTGAGCTTCTTGGTATACTTTTTGCTGGAAGCTTTGGTATTCTGGATGCAAACCTCCATTCGTCTTTCGCCTGTGCCAATTACTTTTCTGTGTAGCTTGTAGCGAAATAGACAATCATTTTTTAACCTTGAAGAAATGCATCATACGCCTAGGTGCAATTGCTTCGCATGCACTTGAGGAGGTTGAAAGTCTTTCCGTTCAATCTTTCATCATCGTCGTAATGAACAAAAGTTTTTCAAAGATCTCTGACATGTCCTGAGAAGAAGATATGGAAAGATAATTCCAAGATTTTGTCAGCCAATTTCCTCAGTGCAGAGAATAAGTGACCATATACAGATTAAATATCATTTAGCATTCAAAAAAATGGAGATAAACTCTAACTTCTTGTTATTTGCCTTCTTTAGCTAATTCGAATACTAACTAGATATTGTGCATACATTCTCAAATTCCGGAGTGTTAAGGATTCCAAGAGTAATACAGACTCTGCTTTCCATTTTTCGCATCCATTTGTCCACATCGATCAAAATCCCAAATTTCTTAGAGCAAAGAAAAAATCAACGAACTGGAATTTTGGCTCCCTTCATAAAAAGGCACAATATTTTTTCTCTGTAAGTATGTACCACACAATTCAACAAGAGCTGTTTGTCCTATAGTACCTACTTCTGTTTCACTTACCTGTGCGCCTTCGCATCCCAGCTAAACCCATCCGCGCTCTATCTACTTTGCACACCACCTCATGATATGGGTATTGCCGACCTCTGGCCGATAGTAAGCCCAGCTTGTGATGAAAGAGTGCCTTTTCCTGTGTTTTTATCACATTTTATAAATGAGCACGCTCGTCCGCCACGTTTGGCCATAGATGCCTATATGTTCATGTTTTGGTCCCAACTTCCTGATGCCGAAGATGCAACTAGCCATCGGCGCATCATCCGTAACTTCATGGCAAAACTTTGGTATTTGGTGCGGAACAACGTTCTGTTCGTGGTCGTTTTCGATGGAAAATATAAACCTGGCAAACTTCGACACGGCCACATTCCTCATATCTCGAATTCGGTATCTTATGATGAGGTTCTTCGATATTTCCGGACCATCCCCTCTTCGGATTACAGTGAAAGTCTGTCCTTGGTGGAACAGATCAAGGACATTCTTCAGAGAAACTGCATTGATTTTGTACAAGCCCCAGCAGAAGCAGAGGCCGAGTGTGCGTGGCTCCAAAGATTGGGCATCGTGGATTACGTTGTGTCTGACGACTCAGATACCTTGGTTTTTGGAGCATCACAAATGCTCCGTATGTTTAATCGTGTGAAGTATTTTGATGAAGATAATAAGCCTGTGCTTAGCTCAACAGATTATTATGTAACCCCAGTGAACATGGACCACATTACTGAACGTACAGGACTTTCGAAGGAGCGTTTACTTTTAGTGGCTGTCTTACGAGGAGGGGATTACTCGTCTGGAACAGAGGGTATTGGAATTACGCGAGCCAAAGAAATTGCTCTTTGTGGCACAACTTTGCTTCAGGACTCCCCACGTAAGAAGACGCAGGATTTCGGAGCACTACCAGATTTTTCTCAGATGTTAACAGAGGCTCTTGTGGATTTGGATAAAATGCTGGCACATCTGCCTGATCCCTACTATGCCCTAAAGTCAGAGCTCGATCGCGCGGAGGCTCTACTGGCGTTCAATACCTTTTTAGATGACTACTTGCGCAAACTGGCGAAAAATATTTTTGGAAGGATGGCAACAATGAAAAGTAAAGTGTATGTGGACGACTACTACGCACTTTTATATTTCTTTCCCTTGATCAATCATCGACTTTTCAAGTTTACTCCATACTCTGTGAGTTTTGGGGAGCTCCAAGCAATTCAAGCAGACTTGTTCGTCAACGTTGACTGTGAGGTGAAGAGAGTGAATTACAACTGCTCTGCTACACTGATTGGAATACTGAGAGTGTACAATGGTAAGCAATCTTTTCTTGGTACTGGGCGGGCCCAGAACTTGCAGAAGGAAAGCTTTGCATTGCCTAGAGAAAGAAAGCTCAACCTAAAAGCATTTGTGGTGAAATTACTCGCCGAAAAACAATATCATGAGCACATTGAACTCGTGAGAACAAAACTTTTACACACCACGCTAATAGCAGTACTTCACTTCAATAGTCAGAAGTTGAACTCAGCTGTTTACTTCACGAAAGGTAAGTGCGGAACTGAAATAGATGTTGACCAATTTTCCGATGAGGAAATTCTGGAGTCTAAAACAACTCTACCAGCAGTGGATTCCACCGATGAGAAGCGTATGAGCGTAGAAGTACCGTTAAATGTCGTGAGGCTAGTTGCGCCCACCTTTGTGAGCGAATTTGAAAGGCTGGCTTCACCCAAAAAATCACCGAAGAAGAAACCACCTCCTCAAAAAACCACCCTAGATCTGATTTGGCCTGGTATGCTGCCCACCAAATCATCCAATATACCTTCCACAAAGATTAAGAAATCAAACAGCTTTTCAGCTATACCTGCATCAGATATTCCAAGTTTTGTCTCTTCGAAAGCGTCCCCAACGAAACAGCAATCGCCTTTGAAGGGCCACACTTCCCCCACCAAGAACGGCCGTCGCTCGAAAGATATTCTTCTCCCAGGACAAACAAAAGTCACTTCTTTTTTTAGACCGAAAGGTTTGGAGAACCCTTTTCTGCAAAATCTTTTTGTCGTTTCTGATGATGATTCAGATGGAGAAACGAAGAGTTCCCACAAAGAGGCGCATGATTTCATCCATATGAAAAATGTACTCTCTAGAAACCCTGTTCAGTTAAAGCCTAGGGAAACAACGAAAATGCCGATCTATTCTAGAGTTAGCTCTCCCGAACTGAGCCCCACAAAAAAAATACGTAGTGGTTTAGGATCTGCTGATTTCTCTCCAGTTAAGTCAACCACAGAACCACAGGACTACTTTCCCCCAGTATAAAAGCCAAGTTTTTTTTTTTTTTTTGTCGTAGTGCAATATTCAGTGACTTCTACAATCTATGTAAGACCATGCCTATACGTTGAGAACTACCTGTGATGTGCATACACACTAGTTTAATTCTCTATTCTTTTTTCTGAAATGCAACGACTTTCAGTTATCACCGCAGATGCCATCTGCACGGTGTTTTGGCCATCATCGAAGATGCAACGGCAAATGATTTGAAGGCTCTCATCTATCATAGAAGATGTCATGGCAATGCCGTAACAGCGTTGTCGTGTCCTTGCCGCCGACCGGCCTCCATATCGCCGTCCTGATATCTTAGACGAAGGACCCTTCGTATAACCTCTCAAGTATATAAGATCACCTCTTTTCCTGAGATGAGTGAGTCTCGAAGGATCACCCTTCCCGATATCAACCATAGCTACATGTCACTCACATGAAATATATCACTCGCTTGTATCTATTGAAGATCGTCACCCCAGTTCTACTCTGTCGGAAGTCTCAAGAGACACTCATGGATTGATCTCTGATTTACCAGCTAAAAGCCAAGGTGTGTATAGAGCTGACATCACTGCACAAAAGGCTTCACATACCAATCGCCTGCACATTACCATATGTCATAGTGTCACCTTTGTGCTTAGTAGAGCCATACATTATCATGGCACGCTTTTCCACACCTACGAAGAAGATTTTCGAATCATCAGACTTAGGAAACTTCAGAAAGTCACTTGCCTATAAAAGACTCCACCAGACTATTCGCTTTATTGTAGAAAAGGTGAAAGGAACCGATGTTCCCGAGGGATGCTTAAAAGCTTCAATTGTGACAAGAAGCCGGGATCTTTCCCATATTGCGCAACCGAAATCGTGCGGATTTGATAACTTATCGGGCCCTGCTGCACAGGTAGTAAAGGTTCTCGAACATTTCGAATTGCTCATTGATCAAACACCACCTTTGAAGGGTCCAAGAAGATTTGGAAATTTCGCTTGCAGGGATTGGCATGCAAAAATAGAAGCTGATGCTGGATCATTAGTTAATCATCTAATCTCTAAAGAGGATGCGTCAAATGAGCTTGAGTTTTATCTCGTCAATGCTTTTGGATCAGCCGTGAGACTTGATTATGGACTGGGTCACGAGCTTTCGTTCATTGCCTTCATAGGTGGCCTTATGGAATGTGGATTCATTGGAAGTGATATCGCCGGAACAGATTTGTTGGCAATATTTGCCAAATATTATGATTTGGTGAGACGTCTAATCATAGAATACAGTCTAGAGCCAGCTGGATCGCACGGAGTGTGGGGACTAGATGATCATTTCCACTTTATTTATATTTTGGGAGCTTCTCAATTTAACACTGACAAAGGTGAATCAAGCTCTCGTTACATCCCACCAGTACAAAGTGTTTTACAATCAGAAACGCTTGAGCTGTATCTGCAGAGTAACCTCTACGTTAATGCGATTGCGTTTATCTTTAAGATAAAGAGTGGCCCATTCAATGAGCATTCACCAATCCTTTACGATATACACCGTTCAGTTTCATTATGGTCCAAAGTTCTTTCAGGTCTACTTAAAATGTATGAGGTTGAGGTGTTCGGCAAGTTTCCTGTTGTACAGCACTTTTGGTTTGGGGACGGTTTCTTTCCCTGGAAAGACGCGGAAACAATGAAGGATTTACCGACGAAAGACAACGAGCCGGAAGGCAGTAAACAAGATGAAGATGAGATGCCTGGCTTAATCAATGGCTTCCAAGGAACAAAAACAACCCATTCGAATATCTCTGTGACAGCTGCTCCATGGGCGCAATCCAGAAGACAACCTGCAAGTGCTTTCAAGAGGGATAAATTAGGAGGGAGCTCACAAGTGTCTTCGAGTGAAACCTCTTAAGAACGAGATGCTTTAAAGTTGAAAGCTGACCGGCACAATGGACAAGTACTGCTACCAGAACTCTTGAACCATTTATAGAGGCAGGCAGAGTGGAACTTGTTCAGACACGTTGGACAGACCTTAGAAGGCAAGGAATGATCTTGGTGGAGAATGGAGTAGCAAATCGCACACTCCTCAAACCCAGAGAAATGAAGATTGACATTTTTGTTGAAAAGCTCAATGCAGTCGATAATTGAGCCGTTCATCAATGAAACAACCCTCTGGGACGCAAGCAACCAAGCTTTCCACTGATTCTCCTTCACACCCAATCTCATTGGCCCTTCCACAGTGATATTAGCAAGAGGAAACGAATCAGGTATCTTGACAACCATCTCCATTGTCTGCTCGTCAATAACATAAACTGATTTAATCTCATTTGAAACCTTGCTGATTTTAATCGAGAGGTTTTCATCCTTTGAGGTCAATTTTGCTTTCACTTGGTCAATATCTACTAGCATCTTATCAATGAGGATCGGAGAAACAAAGCGAACTGAAAATCTTTCCACTTGTTGCTTTAACTGCAAATCACGGATCTCATTGTACCATTGCAGAACCTGAGTGCCAAAATATTGGAAACTTAAGTAATACAAATGGACAAGCAAAAAGCGCATTTCATAAGAGACCGGTTCACCAATACAGCCATCCAATACATCGTAGCTTTGGATTGTGCACTTTTCGGGATCCACTTTTTCATTTTTATCTAAAGCTCCCATCACAAGAGACTTCGTAAATGTGCCATCAGAAACATCAACCACTGAAAAAATAGAGTCGAGCAAAGTCCGAATCACATCTTTTTCCTTCAACTGACTAATGTAATCATTTTTGATCGAGTAGGTAGTATCCTTAAAATAAGTGAAGATTAATAACCAGCTCCACAAAAATTTAGCTGCAGAATGCAACTCTCCAGCATCAAGTGCATCCGCAAGAAAATGCGGCGACGCAGAAATGGCATCTACCAAAACTGTAGGTAGAGTAGCTTTCAAGTTGTCAGTATCCTGATCGTGAAGGCTAGAAATTTTGAGTTCGTGCTCCACAACAAAAACTTCTTGCGAATCCCGAATATACTTCCCCAAAAGAAAAGTTGCCAATCTTTGCATGGTCAAGAACCTAGAATGTATGACCAAGTCAAAGAAGCGATCAAGGTTGTCACCGATTATCTTATTGGGGACATTTTCCTTTTTCAAGATCCTCTCCACCATTTCATTAGACAAGGCCACTGGTTGGTTGTGGCATTTTGAGCAATAGCCTTCAACTTCTTCGTTGATCATCAACTCCACCAATTCTTCGATAACCGATATTCTGCTTTCCGTCCAAGAAGGATAGTGGTCAAGTGTAGGGAGGCTTGATAACACGTTGAGCAACTTCATGGTAAAGTACTTCAATTCTAACTCTTTCGCCTGCACTTGAACAGTTGCAAAATTGTTGAGACATAAATTAACTGCAACTTCCCACGCTTTTTCAGGCAATTCGGTAACAGTGAGCGGAAGTAACAATGTCAAGAAATTTGCCATAAGACTTCTTATTCCAATGAATTCATCGTCGTACGCTATATCACACTCTAGCCATGCAGCAAGCAGGGAAATAAGCATTCCTAACTTGTGTTTAGGTAGGACCTCTATAAGCAGTTTTGATGTTGTGCCAAGTTTTAAAAACTCTGAAGCCAAGGATAGCCACTTTGGACCCTCTTTCAAAATTTGGGTTGAGTTCCGAATGCCCAAAATTTCTCCAAATACATAACCTTGAACTCTGTCAAGTTTGTTTGTTTCATCCAAAAACTTTTTTGCAGTACACAACAAAATCGCCAACTTCAAAGGATGCCCAGTTAACTTTGAGAATTGTATATCCAAGGTCTCAAATGTGGAAGATGGCATGTTCTCAAAGATAGGTTCGAAAAGGGCAGCAACTATTCTTGCATGATAAAATTGAAGCGCATTAAATGGTCCCTTTCCTGATACCGATGAATCCATCTCGAAAATCAACAGGCTTCTATCAGAAACCGAAGCGTTGAAAAACTGAGCAAGAACAACATTATCAACCGAACAATGCTCCAAGAAGTAAGTCAACAAGTCTTTTTTCAAATCAAGTAGCGTTATGCTTGACCTGTCCACATCCACAATAAAGTTATAATCTTGAGTATACTCAGCACAAAGGCCAATGAGGGTAACCAAGTTGACTGAAACTTCTTGAGATTCAAAGGAGAGGTAATCAAAAAGGAATTTTCCGATTGAAAGAACATGCTCACTCAAAAATGTGTTTTGTTCAGTGCATGTCTCAACAATGTGAGCAGTTTGTCCTAATGGATTGGAAATGGCAATAGAATAAAGATCAATAGCGTTCAAGGCCATAGTGATTTCTTTTTGAAAAGCATCGAGAGGCATAATATGAGGATTTTGAGCAACATAGTCTGCAATATCACGGAAGTCATCAGCATAACTCTTCTTAGTTATTCTTTGAAATACAGAATCCTTAATTAAGTCCTTGTCTTCAACCAAAGCCAAAAATTCCCTTGAGGCATCGGACGATATATGTCCTAAAGCCACTGATACCAAGTCTTTTATAGGCAATTGCAAGTCCTCATGTACAAGAACAGGAAGGCGAAGATGTGAAATGTTCTGGATGAGATCAAGCTTGAAAGATTCAGTATTAGATGAGCCAATGACATTACCGAATATCTCAGGAGTACCAAGATAGGAAAAGACAGCTTCATTTTCTTGAGAACTTCTACTTGTCTTTTTAGACAATTCCACAAGATAGTTCCAAAGATCAGGGACTTCTTTGACGTTGACATCAAATTTTTTGGCTATGACTAATAGCTTAGCGAGATCCGATGGTGAAACTTCGGCTATCTTCGAAAAAAAATCACCAAAAACCTCTTTCTCATTTAACCGAATTTTTTTCTTTAAAAGTAACTCCAATACGCTCAAAGGTTGATCGACAAAGGTGTCCGTAACATAGCTTGCCAAAGTCGCTGCCCATTCCTCAACGGCGCCATTTATTTCCGATGATGTGCGGAGAAAGCAAGTCAATAACTTGAATCCCATGGAAACTTCTTCGACCTCAAATAACTCTGAGAGAGATTCAACTAGTTTCGTTTGTAAATCCACAAATGAATCATGTGAAGAGAGTTCTAGTAGCAAGGAGATATAAGTTTCGCATAAAGATTCAAAGGATTGAGTAAACTGATATTCGTCAGTGCGGAAAGGTTCTTTCCTTCCCAAATGATTGGTAAGCGCCGAGTTAAAAGAAATCAAATCAATGTCATGGTGGTCTGCATATGTGGCAAGATTATGAACTGATCTTTGTTTTATTTCCTTTTCGTTTACTCTTCTGGATGGGACCGAAAGCCCATCTAAAACAAGATCGAAAATGTATGCAGCAAATGTGCGGCTCTGGCTGTCAGGTAATTGGAAAAGATCAAGGACTTGATAAAGACATTGAGAACAACTATCTTTATAAGCAAAACCGTTAATTCTTCCGATTTCTTGGAACTGGGCGCCTAAAGAGGACTCAATTATGGTTTTTGCATCTTTAGAAGACGTGAAGTTGAGAAACAAGAAATCTTCTTCACTTTCAATTCCTGCTTGGGCTAGAGCACAAAAGAAATTCTTCAAGATCACATAAAATACCGGGTCAGATTGGCAAGGTCCCAATTTGATATACAGCTTCAAGCGGCTGTAACTCTTTGAACCTCCCAAAACCCAGAAATTTTTCTTGAGTTTATGTTTTTTTCGTACGTCATCATTCCAAGAAGTCACTGAAGTCAATGTGGTTAAAGTATTCCAGAAATCAATCAAGACGGAGGAGTAAATGACATTAGACGCATTACCTGTTTGTAACTTCACATGCTTTATGAACTTTTTGGATATGAGTCTGTAAACACTTCTCACGTTGTCCATACGAGACGTAAATGGCATAGGGAAGCCTTTGTCATCTGATGCGAACAAGATCTTGAGGAGAGACAAGTATCCCCTGAAAACGTTAACATTAATAGAATCGCCCGCACAGCAGAGACCTAAATGATCCCAGAAGGGCTCATGAGTAAGAATTTCATTTACTTGTGTCATAGCCAGTTCTGAAATAACAAAGTCGCTGTTGTCATTTGCTAAAGAAATAATTTTCAAAAGCATTTGTATTGCCCCATTCTGAGCACGATAGTATTTGAGAAGTACGTCATCAGCAGTCTCATATCTCTCATCAGTTATAGTACTTGCAGTCTCATGCGCCAAAACAGCATGACAGTAGTTGATAATCTGCTCATGAAAAACCATCCAAATCTTAGTGTTTACTCTCTCCTTGTCGTTACCAAAAGATTCCAATAACAGCCTATATGAGGAAGCTGAAACTGCTTTCTCGTCATACAAAGACTGAAGCCAACTTGCAATGGAGCTTTTCAAGTATTTGCTGAATTCTTTGCCACCTATTCTGTCCATGTATGTGGCCTGGATTTGGTGTGCCAATTGCCGTACAGCTTTAGAGCTATCGATCGCCATACGCGGATACAATTGAAGCCAACACATTAGAATGAAAGTATCATGTACATCCATTTGGCCCTCAGAAAGCATTCGCAAGAACTCGGCAAGCCTCTTTTCCTTAGTAACGGCATTTTTCTTCGTGAGTCCCTTGAGAGTAATCACCACATGAGGATCTCTAATCTGCTCCACCTCGACAGGTGCAAGGTAGAAGAGAGATACAACAAAGCCATTGTACCCAAGATCCCCCGGCTCTCGAGAGTGGGCCGAAAATTTTTCGCTCATGAGTGGCAATTTTCGAGTAGTCTTAAAGTTAAACTGTGCGAGTGCGGTTAGTATGTATATACAGAAGTCTCTAAAGTCGCACGCTTGGCTTAAGCAAGCTGCAAGCTGAGAAATACTATTTATTTTATTCCTTGGGTAAAAAGTTAGTTCTCTAATGTTTCTTCAGTAGGGACGACCATCTTCGTAATTAAAAAATTCAAAAAATCCATGGAAGAAATTATCTTGGATTCCGGTGGGAAAATCCTCTCCAAACTCCAAAAGTTGCTCTACTTCTCCGTCTGTCAACTGGTCCTGAGAAGCATCTTCCGCTGAATCAAAGACTTGGCGCAAAGCCAAATTTTGCATATCTGCCACTTTATTCTTGATGAACATAAGTGACTTAGAAGCTAATTTCCAGCTTGAACACGCGCGAGATATACACGTATAAAACACTCGCAATCTTGCTAGGTCATCATCAGCAATGTCTGTTTCTTTTGTCAGGGAATGTAGTTTCAGCAATAGAACGCTGATTGCTAGGATTGAAGAATACACAACTAGAATCGATGAAGGAAATTGTGCTTCATTAAACTTTCCTAGACATATACTCAATTCAGATATTGCGGTGTTGCATAGTTCCACAGCAGATGCGATACCTGAATCGTCTGATTTAGCTATAATGAACGGCCGGTTGAGACAAATCAACACAATATAGTAGTACAACCGTACATTCATGACGGTTGGGTTATAGTCATGGACTTGCATTTCACTCTTTCTCCATCTCAATTCTCGAGGAAGTGTCTGACGCCATTTACTTAGAAAAGAGTTGTACTCATCCAACTTTGCTGGCGCGAGATACAGTGAATTTTCTTCACTGGATTCATTAGAAAAAACATCCGACAAAAGAGACCCTATACATTCACTTAAAGAACAAAGCGGTTCGATAGTGGTTGAAGGATCCACATTCTTAGTGAATCCAGGCAGTTTTCTAGGTTCAAAAATATAATCTTCAATGTTCTGAGAGTTCGGAAGATTCTCACTAGACGGAATAGATGCCTCTGATTTCCTCACGGTGACAGGTCTTCCCATGACCAAACTAATGAAGTGATCGAACACATAACAGCCCCAGTATATCCTGGAGCGAACCAGAACATCCATCCCGCTTAGCATGACTTGGTGGGTTTTCGTTGAGTCCGGATTCGCGATCGACCAATCACTTGGATTTAGCTGAAATCCTAAATCATAACCCATTCGTATGGCCATTCCAGATAACATCCAGCTGGCAGATGCATTTCCATCACCAAGTTCATAGAGAGCTAGGCAGAGCAAAGCTTGCAAAGTGCTAACTTGCGGCTGGCAGATTTTTTTAGAGAATATCTTGGATTTTGAAGTTTCAAAGAAAGAAGGGGCTAAGTTGCGAATTTTGTCATCAGTGGAACACTTGGAGCCGATAGAGGCGATTGCATACACTAACTCTTCTGAGCAATATTGGTTGCTAGTCAGAAAGTTGAAAAAGTCGTTGAGGAAACTTTCACGATGGATAAAAGTGGCTATATCTGGGTACTGCCATTTAAAGAAGTTTGATATACATTGCATCAACAGCGACAGATTGATCCAAGTGTGTTCTGTTAGTTCTGCTGATCCCGAGCTTGTAGTCATATCCACGACATTATAAAATGCTGATGTGGGTCCAAAGATGGAAAAGTTACTTCCACTAGAGGAGCCAATGGTCACTTGTAGCTTCTTAGGTTTGATTGTTTGGTCCAGAGGTTTTTCTGAAGCTAGTAATTCACGGATCTTTCGAAGACTGATATCATCGTCCTTGGAAGCTAGAACACCAATTCGCAGTAGAGTGCTTTGTAAAGCACTGACTTCTGAACGCAACCGATCAACTTCTGATGTGGTTAAACGTACACTCCTTCTATCACTACTAGGTCTCTCGCATTTCACGCTTGCTTTCTGACAGTTATGACAAACGTCCTGATCATCACACTTTTTCTTTTCTTGTTAGTGTTACTCCACGATAACGAATTCAAGGGAACGTACTTTTTTAACACGACAGTTATGGCATCTATGATTAGTTAGGTTTCAGAAGTTACGAGAAAAGTGCACGTACGATACTGAGCAATGTTTTCGCATGGTAGTTTTGCTTTGTACTGATTTATATCGTTTAGTGTGGGGGATGCAGGTAATGCGACGTGAGCGCTTCTATCAAAATAATTAATGCACTTCTGCAAGACTCTTTTCTCTCTTAACATCTACAGGTGAAATCTGCAGATAGAATTGTAGAACCTCTTCCGCCACGGTGATTCGCCTAGGATCAAAGTTGATCACCTCCAAATGCTCCTTGTTGGTGGCTCTGGACAAGGCAACGTACACCTGTCCCCTCTCGAAGATCTTTCGTAAATCGACTCGGAGTCGGTCTATGGATTGACCTTGTGCCTTGTGAATGGACATGGCCCATGCTAAAAGAAGCGGAAGTTGCAGACGGGTCATCTCATTGCCTTGGCCATCTTTTTTCGCTTGTCCCTGGTCCACAGTAAATTCTTCTCTACGGACGTAGAGTACTGTAGGATATCCATCGACAAGGAAACTGACCAACGGCATGCGCTCCTCATTTGGGTCCTGCTTGTATGCTTCCATGATAAGCCTGCTTGCTTTAGCGTGCAAATCTGGAGGAAGGTTGTTAAATACCCGTGTTTGGTCAGACGTCATGCTCCGGTTCCCGATTAAATCGCACAAGAGTGTAAGAAGCTGTTGGTACTCTTCGCTCATATTGCAAAAAGTCTGCTCCCCCAAAACATCAAACAAAGTCTTGAAGAGATTTTCCGTAATGAAGCCAACTACGGTTCCGATAGAACCATTCACCACCAAGTTGTCTGGATGGTTTTTAAGGTACATAACCTGTGCGCCTTTCTTTAGCTCAAGAATTTCTTCACACATCAAATTATCATATAACTTGCGCTTGAATTGGTCTTTTTCGCTGTCCTGTGCCTTATAGATATTCAGTTGACCTGGCAAAAAACGTAAACGTTGTTGATTAGCAGCTTTCACCTCCTGTCGTGTCGGATAAAGTTCTGTTGGCTCGATATTGTCGTCATAAACCACCTTACGGCCAAGTTGGCGGAATTTGGCAACCATGGCGTCGTCAAGTTTGCCCTTCCGCAATGAATTCAACATTTCGATCAATTCGCTGTCGCCCTTTTGACGGAAAACGGTTGTGAGAATAAATGTATTCCGGATCGCCTTGCGCCAAGAGTCACTTAGAAAACAGAATCGTGCACTTTGATTCTTCGATACCGGTGGCAACTGGAAAAAGTCTCCAGTGCAAACTAGCTGGATACCCCCAAACGGTGCCGTCGAGTTGCGCAATATTTGGGCGATCTTATCGATCTTCTCAAAGAGAATACCATCGATCATCAGAATTTCGTCAATGATAAGCACTGCTAATGACGTCCATTTTTTACGAGCAGAGCCGTTTCTCTTTATCTTTACGGCAATCTCTTGCGGCGACCCTGTACCGATCCCGATGTGCAAAAACTTGTGCACGGTCAGTCCACCAATATTACATGCGGCCAAACCCGTAGATGCCGTGACGCCCACATGAGAAGCACCGTGCTTGGCATAAAGGCGCAGGACCATTTCTCGCAACACCACAGACTTTCCCGTTCCTGCTGAACCAGTAAAAAACACATTTTCACCTCGAGAAACCACAGCATCTATGATTGCAAGCTGCTCAACACTAAGCGATACAGACGACGTCAGTAGCAGCGGTGACGCAGCCTTGGGAACCCTACGAGGAACTTTCTTTGGTCTAGCATCTAGATCAAAAAAAGTTCGCAGAAACTGACGCTTTTCTTGACTGGAACCCGAAATACCGTGGTTCTTGCGGGGCGGCAGACCCGTCAAGTTGCTCGAAACTCGCGAAAGGACGGGATTTTTGAAGTTTGTCACTTCTGGCAGGCCGAATGATGTATCTGAACTTGCAAAATCGTCGAAGGTGGACCGAGCCAGTGCCATTTCCGACAAGAGACTGTCTGCACGGGCCACAACGACCTTTTCGGGCGTAGAAACTTTTTTTCTAGCTGGAGCTGGAGCGAAAAAGCTCGCAATGGACCGTTGGCGGGGCTTTTTCTGTGCCATGGTCGAGAAGTATCGAGACGGGTAAAAATCTGGACAAAACGACGCGACGCGCGTGTTTTTCAGTCGCCTGTATTTGCGCCCCGATGGATGCGCAGCGCGCTATAATCTGTTCATTTTCGGCGGGCGCGAAACTTTCGTTTTCGAGGTACCTTTCGCTGGTGCGACCTGCGTTCACGCCATAATTCGGAGGGGTGAAAAAGAATGTCCTCGCGTGTAGAAATATTTACTGCGGTTCGCGCCAGAAGTCTGCACCTTTGAAAGACATGACTCTTTACTATAGGGTGGCCTGGGTTGCACTTGAGACATTTTGTGGAATTTACACAACTATTAATATTTCATTGAAACCAATTGTTACATGTTGGCATCGTTTCAAGTACTCTGCACCAACTCTACGCCTGTTTAAAAAAACATTTGATTAAACCGGTCACTAAAGTGTTTTTGAGAATAGCATTCCCAGCGAAACTTAGATCCCAGTACAGTAGTATTCCTTTTGGATCGCTGTATCATAGAAAAACGACAACATTTTGTTCTTCCACGCAATTCGGCGTTCAATGTTTAATCTTGTCTTCATATTTCGAATAATTTGTTATCAGTATATTTGAGCAATGCAAACATTGTAGGTACTCCTTCCTGGACGTATTCTCTAATATTGCACGAGGGAAGGCACCATTGTGAACAACCTTACGATCTCTTTGGCCAATTAGGCATACTACCACTTAGAACTAGTCAATCTAAAGCTCACCACCACTTTAGTTGCTCGTTGTCTGTAAGGGAGGACGATTTTTCCGCCAATTTTTTATGCGTACGTTTGAGTAGTATGCTGATTGGCCAGAGGTAATTGGAATGATTAGACTGGACTGTATCGTTGTTTATTTTCCAAATGCGAATCGTCAGATGTATCGGCACATTCATTGTCACAAGCATATAGTCATAACTCCACGCATTTATGTCAAATCAGCCTTTCAGAAGAAAAGGAAGCCATTTCTTTTTTCTTATGACTTTTGTAATTGTGCTCGTAGTTTATCATCTGGTTTTGTCTCAGAGTCTCGCCTACGTCTCTTTCGTACCTTTCGCGTCTTTACAATTTCCTTGCACCTCTCGCTTCTACTTCTATTCTGCAGAGTAGCGCCGCGCGAATCGATCTACTCTTTTAACCTCCACAAAACCAGTCCCATGGCCGAAGACTCGGGAGAACCATCTTCACCCCGTCACAAAGCCTTTTTTAAGCCGTTTAGACGCCTAGGTCGCTCGTCGCTGCGCTTTAATTTGGCAGAATCCCCGGATCTTCCTCCCACAGAAGAGTTTCAGGCCATCGGCTATGAATCAGTGTCTCACTCAAATGAGCCGACTACTGTCCACCGTCTTCCCAGATCAGACCATACCGAACGAATAGAGCGAGCCGAAAGATTTGATCGCTTCGATCTGGTTTTTCAGCTTTCCCCAGTGCATCACGAGTCGTCAAATCGGCCGTTCCAGGATTCTTCGCATCGTTCTTCATGGGGATCCGACGAACGCCAGCCCACAATGGCTCTGCTGGATCGGCTTCAGAATATGCTTTACTCACCACTGGCAAATAGCAGTGCTGCTAGCTTCGCTTCCTTAGATCCCAAGCGGCCCGATCCGCATTCCTCCGTCTCTGTCGGAGAAATGGGCCCACCAACACCTCAATTTGCTGGCTTAAACAAGCCAAAGAAAATTTCAGCAAGTGCTACTCTCCAATCTTTTAATATGGTGACTTCCCAAATCAACTTGATGCCGCGGCCGGAGATTGTAGACGCTCTTTTCGAGCGTCTCTTGTCATCGCGAGTGTTCCCGGAGCAAGCGTTTCTGAATATATCTACCAAGAGAAAATGGGAACTTCTTCTTAGCGAAAATGAAACGAATCTGGAGTATGATCTACGTTCTTTGGTGAAGGTGGAGACAACATTGACGTCGCCTATGCAACGTTCGAAGTCTTTGTCGAAACCATTGCATGAGGAGAGTAAACTTCAAAAGCAGAAGTCACTTTCACTACCACGTCGTTCCTCGTCCTTGGCTCTCTCTGCAGACTCGGAACCAGCTTCGGCACAACTCAAGAAACCTCGCATCAAAGAGGGCTCGCCATCGTGGTTTGTGGCGAAAATCGTCGCTGACAAATTGTCATCTAAAAACTACCGCAAGTTGGCGAAAAAACTTGAAAATAAGAAACCTTGGATAGAAGAATTTTGCACTGCTCAAGGAGAGGCTGCACTTTCGGTGGTTTTGCAACGCATAAATACAAAGAGTATCAAATCCAATGATGATATTGAGAAGGAACAGCTGATTTGCCAGTGTCTCAAATACTGTTTGGCATTAGAACATGATCCTCTAGAAGAGTTGGTTTCTGCTGATATTCATGAAACTTCTTCTATGAAGTCAGGCACACTGTATTCAATCATGACTAGAGTGCACCTCATCAATGCAATGATGAACTCACTTTTATCTCCCAGCTCAGTGACGAGGTTAGTGGTGACCGAAATACTTGTCTACTTGACTCATTATGACAATTTTAATTACCTTCCTCATATTTTGGATGGATTCAAATCTGTACAAGACAGCGCTGGAGATTTCGTTAAGTTTCAACCATGGCTTAATACATTTGAGACGGCGGTTGATCAGCATCTTATAAGTGGAACTGCCTACAGGTCTGGGAATGATACCACCTTCAAGAATTACATCTGGACCACTCTAGTACTCATAAATATGATGATCCATAAGTGCGAGTCATTGAAGGATAGGATGTCCATGAGGAGAGATTTTGCCGATTCTCGTTTGCCAAACATACTAGACAAAGTACGCATGATTGATGACGATCTGATCAACCTCCAAGCAGATGAGTATGAAGACAGGGCAGACGAAGACTACTCAGAACTCCTCCAAGATAACCATCTTATACAAACTGGTCAGGATATTGATTTTGACACATTGGAAAACGTGTTCGCTCAATTAAAGGATACATTTGCTGATGATGCTGATCAGGATTCACTGTTTGACCTGGTTCTGGGATCAGATCGTTTAAAATCTATCTTGCAAAAGATAAAGCGCATTGGCATAGAGACTGATCCACCAGTAGCTAAAAAATTGTTAGCGTTAGTTGATGCGGTGTTAATTCACATCATGAATGAGTCCTCTGTGGTAAGTTATGATTCCCAGACAGTCCTTAATATCACGGTTCAACGGTTGATGGACAGCATGGAAACTAATGAAACTGCCAGAAGGGCAGTGATGGAAACAATTGCATTAAAAAATGTGATTAAGAACTTAGAAGCCGAAAAACAAGAATTGGAGAATGAAGTCGGTAGTGGGGCCAAGGAGACAATTGATCAGCTCAAAAGTCAAGTCTGTAACGACGCAGACATGATCAAAATGCAAACCAAACAGATAGAAGTTTTGCAGTTTCAAAAGAAGAAACTTGAAGACGAACTATTACGAATAAAAAAAGCAAACCACACAAATGGTGCTAGCGTATATACCCCCACGTCAGCGTTCCTGAACCCACCCGCAATCGCTGTCTCTTCAAACAATCGCAGTTTTGTTGTCGACGAGCTTGAAGTCAAACTCTTGTCACAAAAGAACAACAAGGGTGCCATCAAAAAGTCAAAGGCGTTGAGTAATCTCACAGTCGATGCCTTTGGGTCTCCCAAACTTGAGCAGGACTCAAGTCAGGCATTCCTGAATGTATATCAAACTGGTGCAGCTAGGAGGACGCTTGAAGATAATGAAAATAAAAGTGCTTCCAAGATTCCTCCAAATACTCAAAACGAAAACCCACCGCCTGTTGCGCCTCCATTACCACCTATGTTTTCCACAGAATCCAGGTCATCGTCGACTGTTCCGACACCACCACCACCACCACCACCACCGTTACCTCCGCTATTGACTAGCTTTAAGCTGCCAGCACCCCCTCCACCACCACCACCGCCTTTGCCTCCGCTATTAAGCACCAAGGCGAGTATTCCAGGTCCACCACTTCCTCCTCCTTTGCCCGGATTCTTCAGCAATGAATCTTCATCACAATTTCCACCACCTCCGCCACCTCTCCCAAGTGGCTTACTATCAGCGTCACAATCATCGATTGTATCTCAAGCGGAAAGACCCTTTTCAAGAACTGCTTCTCAACAATCTGGCTTGGAAAACTCAGCATTGGACCAACAAATGGATAGTGAAAAAGAGAATGAAACATTCCAATCATCGCAAGAGAAATTAATTCAACCAAAAGTGCGGCCCAAGGCTAAGCTCAAACAAATGCACTGGAACAAAATTGACGACATCGACAAAACGTTCTGGGGTGGAATATCCCATTATGAGGTTTCTGATAAGCTTTATCAAAAGGGAGTGCTTGTAGAAGTTGAAAAAGCTTTTGCCGCTAAGAATAATACGATTAAAACGAGGGCTTCCAGAAAACCGGCAGGTACGAAATCAAAACCAGCCAAAATTACGCTTCTTCCAAGAGATCTCGCACAACAGTTTGGCATCAACCTACACATGTTCAACAATATGAGTGTCGAAGAATTGATTGGGAAGATTGTTCGTTGTGATGCAGAAATTCTTGAAAACATTAGTGTTCTAGAGTTCTTTAACAGCGACGCTCTCAACGAATTCCCTGACTCACTTGTTAGAAATTTCAGTAAATATGCCATTGATTACTCTAGACCCGATGTGAAACCTGAAAAAAGTGAAGAAGAATTAGAACGGTCAGATAGAATATTCCTAGCAATTTTTAATATGCGAAGCTATTGGAAGTCAAGATCCAGAGCATTGTTGTTGATGCAGACGAATAAGAAGGACTACCTTGATTTGGTTAAAAAACTTGACTTGATAGATGATGCCACGAAATGCATTCGATCAAGTGACAGTTTAAAACAGGTTATGGGGATTATCCGATCAGTGGGTAACTTCATGAACGATTCGTCCAAACAAGCAATGGGGTTCCGTCTTGATACCCTTCAACGGTTAAAGTTCATGAAGGATGACTCGAACTCCATGAATTTCTTGCACTATGTTGAGAAAATTGTGAGGAACAACTTCCCTGAGTACGGACTGTTTGTGGATGAGCTTGCTGTACTCAATCATATGCACAACATTCTGATTGAACAGATTGAGGCAGATTGCTCTGAATTTGTCAGGAACGTTTCGAATGCCATTACGTCTATTGAGAAAGGAAATTTGAGTAACAATGAGCAGTTCCATCCTGATGATAATATTTTGCAAGTCGTTAAATCGCCGCTTACGTCAGCAAAAACAAGAAGCAACAATTTGCAATCCCATATAAAACGAACAGTCGAAGAATTCAACATGCTAATGGAATATTTTGGAGAGAAAACAGATGAGTCGGCAAGCAGGAGTCTGTTTTTTGAAAAGTTTTCCACATTTGTCAATGAGTACAAAAAAGTTCACGCAGAAAATGTCCAGAAAGAAGAAGAGGAAAGAGCATATCAGGCCAAGAAATTGATCATTGAACGCAAGGAAATTGCACGAAAAGAAAGGAATGAAAATGCCAGTCGCCGGCGTGCTAATAAGAATAAGGAAAGGCAGAACCCATGTGAGCAAGATCTGAAGCGATTAGGTAATCAAGAGAAGAGAATCGATCAAGAATGTCAGCAGGTACTCGAAGAAGAGGACGATAAGGAAGAGGAATATTTGGAGGAAGATGTCGAATCAGAAGGAAGGGCTGCTATAGATGATTTACTTTGGCAGCTCAAATCTAGTCCCTTTAAAGGAAATAACGGAGCTGGAAAGGGAAGGAAGGCTAGGGATAGAAGACGTTACTCTCTTCATCGATATTCAAGCATCGAGAATGGCACATCTGAGTTGCCGCTTAATGATTACGAGAGTGTGAATCTTTTGAAGAGGCGCATGACTACGAGAAGAAAGAATGGAGAAGGTGGTGGAAGAACCGATATGGATCATGTCATGCTACGAGCGCAACTTATGCTTAGTGACTTAAGAAAAGAAGAGAAGGAAAAACGAGAAGGAAGAAGAGATGAAGAAGCTAATGAGAAAGGAGAAGGAAATGCAAAAAAGGAGAATGAACTGACGCGCAAGGAATCTTATAGAAAGAATGATCTTGAAGAAGCTGAAGAAGGAGCTGAAGAAGGAGCTGAAGAAGGAGCTGAAGAAGAAGCTAAAGACGAAGCTAAAGACGAAGCTAAAGAAGAAGCTAAAGAAGAAGCTAAAGAAGAAGCTAAAGACGAAGCTAAAGACGAAGCTAAAGAAGAAGCTAAAGAAGAAGCTAAAGACGAAGCTAAAGGCGAAGCTAAAGGCGAAGCTGAAGACGAAGCTAAAGAAGAGGGAGACAGAATGGGGTAACAGAATATTAGGATTTTATTAATGGGACTAAGGTGAGCATTTGACTCTGCTTAACTGATAGGGGTCCGAGTCAAAAATTCCGAGTCAAACCTGCACCGCAGTACAATCAAACGGCTTCATCGAAGAAACCGGAGTCATCGTAAATATTATCAGCTATCTGCGAAGTGCAGCTTTCAACAGAAGGCGTATTTCATCTACAATAGGTCTACAAAATACTCTTCAAGTAGTAAGCGGCAACTGTGGGACTGTCGGGAGAAAATATCATAGGGCGTGTGCCCTACAAAGCGATGACTCATAGGAAAAAGCCAGCAAAGCACCTCATCGGTCGCCTGCACACAAATTGTAGGCCAATTTTTCAGTTTCTTTATCTGGTGGAGCTGATACTACAGACTACGACCATATCTAGCATGTTAGCCAGAAGTACTAGGATATGGCAGATGGCCAGCATGAGGAGGCTCCATGCGAGTTCGCTTGCGATGGAAGCCGTTATTGTTTCGGGCACAAAATTAGCTCGCACAATTAAGCTGCAAGTGGCCCAAAAGGTGATTGAACTCAATCGTGAAAGCGGTCTCACTGACTTACCTATCGCCAACAACGAAGTTTCCTTCGAGCAGCTCCGCTTCAAGCCCCAGTTGACCATCATCCAGGTGGGCGACCGCCCGGATTCTTCGGCATACGTTCGTTCTAAGCTTAAAGCGGCCCGTTCGGCTAACATTGAATCGCGCTTGTTGAAGTTCGGGTCGGACATGTCTGAAGAGGCGTTACTCGAGGAGGTGGACCGTCTCAACAAAGACCCCAAAGTGCACGGTCTTTTGATCCAGCTCCCGTTGCCTAAACACATTGACGAGACACGTGTGACAAATGCTGTGGCTACAGAAAAGGATGTGGACGGCTTTGACCGTTACAATGCTGGTGAGCTTTCGAAGCGTGGTGGCCAGCCCATGTTTAAACCATGTACACCAAACGGTATCCTCGAATTGATCCGCAACACAGGCATTGAGATGCGCGGCCGTCACGCCGTTGTCATTGGACGTTCGGACATTGTTGGTACACCCGTCGCAGCCATGTTGCGGAATGCTGATTGTACTGTCACCATCTGCCATCGCTACACTAAGGATTTGCCCAAGTACATCGCGGACGCTGATATTGTCGTTGCTGCTGTGGGAATTCCTGAATTCATTCGTGGCGAGTGGTTGAAAGAGGGCGCGGTTGTGATCGATGTGGGCATCAATTACAAGGAGGATGCCTCAGCAAAGAATGGCCGTAAGCTTGTGGGTGATGTTGACTATGAATCAGCCGTGCACAAGGCATCGTACATTACACCTGTTCCTGGTGGAGTTGGCCCCATGACTGTGGCCATGCTCTGTTCCAACGTGTACGACGCCGCAGTGGCTCTGCAAAAACGCGCCCACTCGCACGAATTCAAGCCATTGCCTCTCACGCCTCAGCGCCCCGTTCCTCTGGATATTGCCATTTCGCGCGCGCAGGCGCCAAAGAAAATCTCGCGCGTGGCGCAGGAACTTGGTCTTTTGGAGCGCGAGCTCGAGCCTTATGGTCACTTCAAGGCCAAAGTAGACCCTAAACGCGTGCAAGAGCGCCTTGCTGAAGATGCCGAGGGTGATGTGTCCCAGCGTGGCCACTATGTTTTGGTTGCAGGCATCACGCCTACCCCATTGGGAGAAGGTAAGTCTACCACTACTATCGGTTTGACCCAGGCTCTTGGTGCCCATTTGGGCCACAACTCCATTGCCAACGTTCGTCAACCGTCTATGGGCCCAACTTTTGGCGTGAAGGGAGGTGCGGCCGGTGGTGGTTATGCCCAAGTTATTCCTATGGATGAATTCAATATGCATTTGACCGGAGACATTCACGCCATTTCTGCTGCTCAGAACTTATTATGTGCTGCAGTTGACACACGTATGTTCCATGAACACACATCCAAAACAATCAAGGGTTTCTACAAACGGTTGGTTCCATCTAAGAACGGCGTTCGCCAATTCACTCGCCAAATGACTGCACGCTTGCGTCGCTTGGGTATTGATAAGTCTGACCCAGACAGTCTTACTGACGAAGAAATTGAGCGTTTTGCCAAACTCGACATCGATCCCGATTCGGTGACCATCAAGCGTGTTGTTGATTGCAACGATCGCTTTGTTCGTGAAATCACCATTGGCCAGGGCAAGAATGAGGCTAGCAAGTATCCACCTCGTCAGACCGGATTTGACATTACTGTTGCATCTGAAATCATGGCTATTTTGGCTTTGTCAACCTCACTCTCAGACTTGCGTGAGCGCGTCGGACGCATTGTGGTTGGAACGCAGCGTCATACTGGTGCTGCCATCACCGCCGAAGACATTGGCTGCGCTGGCGCCATTACTGCGTTATTGAAAGATGCCGTGAAACCAACTTTGATGCAAACTTTGGAAGGTACGCCAGTTTTTGTTCATGCTGGTCCATTTGCTAACATTTCTATTGGCGCATCGTCGGTCATTGCCGATCGTTTGGCGTTGCAGTTGACATCACCAGCTAACCCTACTAACAACGGTCGCAAGGGTTTCGTTGTGACTGAGGCTGGGTTTGATTTCACCATGGGTGGTGAGCGTTTCTTTAACATCAAGTGTCGTGCCCTGGGTGTCTCTCCAGATGCTGTTGTGCTTGTGGCCACTTCACGTGCCCTCAAGTTGCACGGTGGTGCACCTGATGTTAAACCAGGACAGGAATTGCCAAGTGAGTACACCTCCGAGAATTTGGACTATTTACGTCGTGGATGTGCCAACTTGGCCAAGCAAATTGCCAACATTAAGCAGTACAACGTACCTGTTGTGGTCGCAATCAACGAGTTTGAGACCGATACGAAGGCTGAACTTCGCTTGATCGAAGAAGAGGCTCTTGCTGCAGGCGCTGATTATGCTGTTCCATCGAATCACTGGGCACAAGGTGGTAGCGGAGCCTTGCGTTTGGCAGAAGCTGTTACTCAGGCTGTTGCCAGAGAAGAAGACGATGAGCCAGTGAAGCAAACGTTTTTGTACTCGGTGGAGGAGTCTGTCGAGGCCAAGTTATTGGCCATTGCACAGAAAATGTACGGTGCAGCCGCCATTGAATTGTCGCCTTTGGCCAAGGAACAGATTGCCACTTACACACAACAGGGATTTGACAAGTTGCCCATTTGCATTGCAAAGACCCAGTACTCATTGTCGCACGATCCAGCGTTGAAGGGTGTTCCAACTGGTTTCACTGTGCCTATTCGTGAGGTTCGTTGCAGTGCTGGTGCAGGGTACTTGTATGCGTTGGCGGCAGAAATCATGACGATTCCGGGATTGCCTACCCATGCTGGATACATGAATGTGGAGGTGAATGACGATGGTGAGATAGAAGGCTTGTTTTAATGGGCAGTATAGATATAGATATAGATGTCAAAAATGACTGCTAGGTTGTAGATAGTCTACTGTTACTACGTCTTTTAAAGTTCGGAAGAGCAATTCGTGGTCAGATTATTCACCATTTCACTGAGTCGATATGTGTCTCGCCCTCAGAAAAACCGTAGGACTTTCCAAAAGTGTCCTTCTGGTCCAACACCTCCAATATAACGTGTGCTACATCGTCTCTCTTCACCAGACCCACTTCGTCACCCAGAGACAAGAGACGGATTTTACCTGTGCCTGCACCATCCGCCAAAGCACTAGGTTGTAAGATTGTAAAGTCCAATTTCAGCTTGAACTCGTTCCTCAAAATTCTGTCCGCGTAATACTTTGCCAAGTAGTAGTTTTCAAGACCTATCTTACGACCCTGCTTGCTGATGAAGGCACGATCATCGGCAAAAATCGCACTCACCAAAACCAATCGACGGACTCCAGCTTCAACAGCGCCCTCAAATATTTTCACCACACCATCCAAATCCACACGAAGCAAGTCCTTACCACCAGATCCAGCTGTAACGATGACTGCATCATGTCCCTTTATTTGGTCATGTAACTCTCCAACCAGAGTATCGGCCAAATCAGCAAAATCGATGCCGACTCGCTCCGAATTTCCTGTCAATTGGGTAATGTGTTCAGCTTGGACTTTATTCCGAACAATAGCTGTTGCCTGGAGGCCCAGACGAGCCACAATGTGCTTCATGAGCAATTGACCAACCTTTCCATGCGAACCATATACAATTACTTTTGAAGTCATGATTCTTTTCTTCGTCCCAAGTAGTAGTGTGGGGAACGGATACTTTTATATGATGCCACTGGTTAGGAGCGCGCACAGCACCCTTCATCTATTCTTGAATAGTCTCATGACTTATGCTATTGTCACACTATGGTACAACCTTCTCCTCATCTAGAGGCACAAGGGGTTCTTACTTACTTGGAGTTGTTGGAGCCCTCTTGCCCTACGAGCTTAGGTCCTGCATGAGGCGGCAAAGAAGACCCTCCGCCGCCTTGTTTCCTGGCAAAGTAAGTCGCATTCTGCTGTTGTGGCAGAGGTTGCAGTGCTGGCAGAAGCTGCAGTGATCGTTGCAGCTGGTCCAGGGATTGATTTTGATTTTGTTGTTGGTGTTGTGGTTGTTGGTGGTGTTGTTGGTGCTGTTGTTGTTGTTGCTGTTGTCTAAGGTGCTGCATGGCTTGAAGTTGCTGAGGCGTATAGTTTGCTAGAGCACGGTTAACTGCAGGTGAATACTTGTTAGGAGCCTGAGCACCAAACCCACCAGGACCCGTTTTGCGATAAGCGTTACCGACGCTATCTCCAGAGACCACGCCTGGCACATGGCCATTTTGCAGAGGTTGTTCATGCGAAGATTGCAGGTTCCTGTTAAGTTGCTGCTGTTGTTGCAATGCTCTTACTCTAGCTTGTTGAATAAGAACTTGACGTTGGTGTGCGCTCTCACGTAGTAAATCATAAGATTTGGACAAAAGCATAGACCCAAACCGAATTGACTGCGTCTCATCGCTGATACAATTGAGCTTCGAAGGGTCCAAACTAAATGGATTACGGACTCCTTTGTCGTAGTCTGGATAGTCATCATCGAATCGCCAGCGTGAATCTAAGCGTTTTATCACATCAGCTTTACAATGATACGCATCCGGAACCACAGAGCTACCAGAAGAATCCGCGTCTTCCATCTGAACATCTTCTGAGCCACAGTTCTCTTCATCGTCAGGCAAGTTCAACCACTCGTCGATAGCATCATTAGGTCGCCGATTCAATCCCCTGCGGTCGATGAAAATCCGGTTTGCTCTCCCTGCTCGCTTTCTCAACCGGAAAATTGGTCCAGAGATTTCACTCCTAGAGTTCAGTTCTGCAACACCTTGCTTCCCAAAGCCATTGCTATAAGTACTGAAATTATTATTTTCAATATTTGCAAGCAACTGTGCAATGTACCCAGAAGTATTCGTGTGGTTACTTAAGTGTTCACTGAGAAGTGTTTGTAAATGCGGAAATGGTTTGGAAGGAACGAGCTCTCCATTAGAACCTCTGAAAGTCTTCATACCAGGCAACGGCTTCTTTGCCTCTTCCAACAACTTCTTCAACTGCTCACTAATTACATTAGTAGTGTTAATCTGATGGAAGTTGCTGGCGGCAATAGACGAGTAGGGGATATGAGAAAGTTCCAAATGCTTATTGTCCTTGTTGGTAGAAATGTTAAAAAAAGGCTGGTAAGGATCATACGTGATATTAACATATCCTTTGTCATGCTCTTTCCGTTTACGCAATTTCTCCAAAACCGCCCGTTTAATGGCCTCATTCTTTTCTTTAAGCACTAATGAGACAGTAACCAAATCCATATCCGGAATTTTTGAAGGTGGTAGTTTAACATACGGTTGAGTGGAGGAAGCCTCCGGTTGAAGCAGGCTATTCTGAGACTTATCCTTATTGGATGCATGCAAAGATTCAGAATGCTTCTTTCTCTCCTTCCGTGTTTTGGTATACTCAACCTCCACATCATCATCTTCCTCAGGCTCCACTTTAACAACCTTCTTCCTCTTATGTGGATAAAATAGATAGTCATCTCCTTTTATACCCACAGCCCGTTTCACATTCTTTGTTTCACAACGAAGTTTGAATATTTGGTAATCTGTCTCCCATGTTTCGAGTTTTAATATTTCTCTCTTGCTAACACTGAGGACAAGTTCTCTTGCTTGTTTTAAAGATTTTTGCAATAGTCTTATCCTTTCAGCACCCAAATTATCAGCCCTTCTTGTTTTTCTTGCTTGACGGAATTCCCGACGACGGAAACAAATGTATGGATCATTATCATTATCTTTCTCATTAGCATTTGGATCTTCAAACTTTAGTGTTGGTGAAATGGCTTTACCTTTGCGTTCAATTTTTCTGGACTTCCAATGATCATAAATGGGTTGCCCAAAAAGTTGTATCAATTTAGGAATTGAGCGCGTGCTAGATGTCGACAGTTGATCTTTATCAAATGTGGTGACAAAGGGCAGAAAATTGAGTTCCTTCGATAAGTTCTCCTTCAAAGTCGTAGTTGATATATACTTCAAAGTTGATGCAGTTGACAAATGAGAATAATCGCTATTTGTGGTAGAATTCCATTCTTCCAAAATGTAGTTGGAAAGCTCTTTGAAAGATAAGATATTTGAAGGATCCATAGATAAAAATGGTTGTTTTTCTTCTATAGTCTTTTCAAACCTGTCACATATAGTCTCAAATTCGAGTTCCGTACACTGTCTTGTGTCATTAGAGTCAGCGTCTTCAGGCTTTCTCTTTGTATCGCTTGCCTTTAAAGGTTTTGGATACTGCTTTAGAAGGACATTATTAAAAAACTCTTCATCCGCTTCATCCATATTGTACTCCACTCCCAAAGTGTCTTCCACAGTTGCACTGAACTTGATGTAGGATTCAGGCTCAAGAAAGACTTGGTCGTTATAGTATTTCGGAGCATCTTCCCATATTTTAGACGCATCTGGAGTAGGGATATAAACGGAGCTATCCTTCGTATCTTTCGATTCTTCCTTGATCGAACCCAACAAGACGCGTTGAGCCGCATTGATTACCTGCTGTAAATGCACTTCGTCTTCTTCATTCTTATCAACACCTGTTTCAATTGCATGTAGGTCACGTGGTTGCAGAGACGCATTAGCGTTCAAGTGATGTAGCTGAGAGGGCTCGAGTTCTGAGTCTGCACCTGAAACTTCCTTCTGGTTGTATATGGGTAGAGAAACTTTGACCGAGATTTTCCTTTGACGAAACCTTGCGCCTGCGCTCGCCTTACCATTAGCCGCATTGTTTGAAGGTAGGATGGCCATAGCTTATGCTTGGCGCACCACAAGGAAAGGCGAAGTTAAAACCTCAAGCTAACGGCAAGTGCACCCACAGCCGAATATACCCAAATATGGATTGATTAACCAACAATGGCTATAGGTTGAATCCCGCTTCAAACTATGGGCTTAACTATGGGGTGTTTGGGTGTGTGCGCGCGGAAAGTGTGGGCAAAAAATGTCGTCCACCCTTTGAACAGCAAACACGGAAAACAAAACGCTCTCAATAGATACGCCTAAACCAACGGGTTAACAAGAATCTTTGTCTTGCTGAGGGTTGTTATAATGGATATATGTATCGTGAAACCCTATTGGAGACGTCAAAAAGTGGAAAGTTACCCGGTTGTGGGGTCGAACGGATAACTGTGATTTGTCTTATTGTAGGGGCAAATCAAGGAGGTGCGGGAAAATTTTTCTGGCGTCATAGGAGACAGGACCGACATTTTTCCTTCACAAATGCGACATGCACATGATCAATCACGTGCAAATTCACAGACATACTAACTCAGCTGCTCATCAACTATTGGTGGACAGAAATGTCAATATAGTTGACAGAGCTTCGATGGGTAAAAGGCAAGTTGAGAAAGGGTATGACTGATACTGCCTGTTCAGTAAAAAAGATAATGAAACAGTTACTTATGAATATCCCAATAGGCGACCAAATGTTTTTGGAGAAAAGTCCTAATAATTCAGGATAACTGCTTTGCTCATGATATAATCGTAGGCATAAGCTAAAATATGCCTTGTATTATCGAGATGCCACCGAGACATGTTAGTATTTCTCCTCCTGTCTGCCCATGAGATTCAGCCTTGCTAGAAACCGAGGGTTGAGAAATGCTAAATGTGACTTATGCCGTTCATAGTAGGCCAAGATATATCACACTAGTCTTTTCATGTTTTTCCGGGACTATTTTTTGGCAAGTTCACAGTAAGGAGAAAACAAATTGAGGAACAGGATTTCTGAATCTCGATCCTAAAGCATCTTGCGCTGCCACAAACTATCTGCAGAACCAACCAATTTTCATACAGATTCTCCACTAGCCCAAGAAAGAACCACGCTTTTCCGAAGTTCCCTTTCATTAAAGCAACAGGTTAGTTGACCATGAGCACTTGATAAGAAATACTTTTATTAAGATCAGATAGCATCAACCCAATCGTACTTGCGTGCCCTCTCCGTGTAGAGATTACGGCCAAATTGAAAAAACAGCACTGTTGCTGTTCTCTTCTTCTAATTCCTCTACTATTTGTAAGAAAATTGATCTTGAAAAACCAGCTAACACTCTTATCCATAATCTAAAAAATTGCTGTCGTTTGTGCCCCGCATCCTGCACAATTCTCGCTAATATTCATTTGGAGATCTCGCACTCACCTTATCACTCTTTGACACAAGGTATCAGATACAGACCTACCAGAAAGAATAAAGACATCAAACTTTGGAGAAACCGAGAGCTCGAATAGCAAAGGAATAAAATTTGTCTTGTCCCCTCTTCTATTGATTCTTTCCTTTTTCTATCTCTCCACCGTGTCGGATACTTCCAACTCGTGACATTTTCGGTACCTTTTCTACTGCGTTCCCATGACCCTGTCTCAAATTGGAGCCAAACACCTCCCGCCGGTGTCTTTCTTTCTCAACTCCGTATGTCCCGGAAATGACTTTCTCGACGATAATATCCATTTCAGCTTGAGCCATGTACAAGACAAGATCGCCGAAGTCAGCAAACTAAAGTGGCCCTTAACTGGTTCTCAAAGTATAGCCCATGCTCTACTCGACCCAACATACTTAAATGTGGCAAGGCCACCTTTTAAGAGTCCACGGCATAAAAATTTGGAATCAACTACCTATGTGTCTTTGCCTTTGCATGTAACACATGCTTTTGCCCAGGTTGTTCAACAAGAAGGCGAAGCAAAGCAAGACGGCGGATTACATATCGGGGCAAATGTCAATCCTCTCACTCATGACCCATTCAAGTTGGTGGGAATGAACCCAGGATGCATATCTGCCATGATAGTTTTGAGACCAGAAGCCAAAAGTCCTATGCTCAACATGGAAACACGTAGCCCTTTCAACAAGATGGCAAATGGAATTAATCGTTTCTTGCGTATGGGGCTCAGTGAAAGTGGGGATAGTAGTCAGGACCATTATATGTCGATTTTAGACAGTTTGACGCACACTAGCACACCATCAGAGAACGGATCCACGCGAATCAGGAAGACTCATCCCATATTTGCGCAATTGCTGGACTATGATCCCAAAACGTATGTGTCTCAATTGAGGTCTTTTGCAATCACCAAGCTTTTGGTATCCGCGAATGTTAATGTGGTCAATGTCTTTGCTTTGGACGAGAATTACAATTACGCAGGAACTTCAGAAATACTTTCGGAGACTGCAATTTTTCCCTTAACAGATCTTCTGGCTGAACCTGTCCAAGGTAAGCAACCTCCTGTGACGTCTAAATGTAAGCCATATCAAAAGGTTATCGAGAAGCCTTTATTGAGACTTCACTTACAAGAGGGAATCATTGTTACAAGTCTTTTGACGCTCTCAGACAATCCAGCTGTGATTCTTGGCTTAAATACTGGTGAGGTTGTCATCATAAACCTATACACATTGAAATTTCGCTATTTCCCAAGTTTAACCGTGCCGTCTATGACAGATCACAGGGTGCAAGAGTCGAGCAATTATGCCGTCACAGCGCTTTCCACTTTCGCTCATCCCAACCATGAGCTTTTGGTTGTCGTTGGGTATGCTACAGGTGAAGTAATCATTTTAGACCCATCACTTCCTGATCCATCTCTGCAGTATACAAAGAATGTCGTGGGGAAAGACAAGTTCTTAACTTTCTTCAAGCTTTTCGATCTCAGCCCATTTCAGCAGAAAGATGTTTTAGACCTGTCTCCAGATTATTTGATAGGACACTTTAAATTGAGCCACAAGGCCATCACGTCCATTACTGGTACAATGCCAAAACATGCCTCGAATATCAACCCAAACAAACCCATGGTTCTCGCAATTGCAGCAGATGATGGACTAGTGCGCTTCATTGATCTAATAAGCACCCACGACAAGAATTACGGTGATCCTTCTAATTTCTATCATTCACTGATTGTATGCGACATAGTATCGTCTTATTTTCAGGATGGAATACGGTGCATTGAGTTTTCACCCGACTATCGTTATTTCTGTCTCTGTGGCAAAGGTGATATCATTGAAGTCTTCCGAATGACATACTACAATATCAATGGACTTCTTTTGAGAAATGCGAATGGTGCTTCCTCTCATAGAGGTGGCCGCTCTAGAAGTGGCACGGTGAACAGCACCGGATCAGGAAATCATAGGGCTCCATCTATTTTTTCAAACTCTACCTTTTCAGTCAATATGGAAACGGCAAAAACAGAACACCTGGAAACGGTATTTCCACCCTCCATAAAAGACATTGATATTGTGAGCAGATTAAAAGGTCACACAAACACCGTTGATTTTGTGAGTTTCGTACATAATGAGGATTTATTCCATTCCGACGAGGGACAATCTACAGGCACCTATAAACTTATTTCTTGTGGAAATGATGGGAAAATCATCATATGGGATTTTGACAGCAAAGCGTTTCCGCGCATCAAGAAACCTCACGTATCTTCCACAAGGGTTCGTACCTCGATCCATCCGGAGAATTCACATTCACCAATATCAAAAACATTATCTCCCCCAGCCATCGCAAAAACACACAACCGTGGCCCATCTTGGTCACTTTCCAATGAAGAAGGTGGCTTGAATGGATCTTTTAGTGCTTTGGGTATAAGTAATCTTCTTAATCCAAGTCTGCCACCACCAGCACTTCAAGTCGAAAACTCAGAAGACCAGAGAAAAATTGCTTTTTCACTTTATCGTTCTCTTCACGACGTTCGTTTGAAAAAACATTACGCTAAACTGGCTCTCAACAAGGATAAGAATAAAAAATTCACCACTATCATTCACTCTATTGTCAACGATAAAGAACTTCCCTCCATTCAAGTTCCGTTGCTAACAATAGATATGTCATGTTTGGTCAAGGATGGTAGACTCCAAGGTTTTCATATCAATCCACACAACTTTTGGGTATTCACTAGAAGTGGTGACATTTTTAGATATACGCTTGAGAATAAATAACTAGGGCAGTGTATGAAAACTATTTATGACGCAAGTATTTTTGCTTTTGTAGAAGTCCTTTGAAACGACCCCCTACCCCCCCAAAGAAAAAAAAGGCTTCAATATGGAATGGATCCAAAACGAGCCTGACAATGCAGCTCCAATCTCCTACGATTGACCACGCAAGAACATTTGAGTAGAAATAAAGAATGCAATTCTCTAAGGCATCGAAACTTAGGCATTGAAAGATGGAGCGCCGTCCATTCCAAACCCCAATTCTTCTTCCAAGCGAAAGAGCTCGGGGTTGTCGGCCTTTTGGCCCATGAATGCAAACTCATCCAACTCCTGAGGTTTCGGCATTTGCTCGTAATACAGAATATCGTGTTCATTTTGCAATTGTTCAGGGTTTGTCAACACGCCTGTGTTGTTCACACCCGCAGCATACCCAGGAGGTGGCATCATACCCGGAAACTCTTCAAATGTCTGTGGCAGACTGATATTGTCCGATGGAAGGCGATGTTGCTGTTGAGGCTGCTGAGAAGGATGTTGTTGGTGAACCTGTTGAATTTGCTGCTGATGATGTTGTTGCAGGGCATGTTGTTGGTGTTGGTGTTGTTGATGTTGCTGATGTTGTTGATGTTGTTGCTGATGTTGTTGTTGCTGCTGCTGCTGATGCTGTTGCTGTTGCTGTTGCTGTTGCTGTTGTTGTCGTTGTTGTTGCTGCTGTTGCTGCATATGAAGTTCATGCTGCTGTTCTTGGATGGGTTTCCGAACAAATTTACGGAAGTTCTGCACCTCTTCCACAATCAACTGCTTCATGTAGTCCATATCATCGACAGTTTCGAAGGTAGTAAAATCAAACTTAACTGTGCACTCAGGTTCGTCCTGCGGATCATGCCATATGGCCAAATATGGATGATTAAGAGCCTCATTAACTGTAATTCGCTGGAAAGGGTCTAAGGTGAGCATTTTATCCAACAAATCAAGCGCAAGAGGATTTGCGCCTGGGAAAAGCTCCAGATACGGTACACGTCGCATGATAGGCAACAGCCGCACATAGTTTTGGGCACGCACAGAGCCAATTTTGGTCAACGTGGCCTCTTTTGGAGTACCTAAAATCATCAAGATTTGGTTGAGTTGGTCCACATAATCTTTTCCTCGGAACAATGGTTTGCCTCCAAGGAGTTCACCTAAGATACACCCAACAGACCAAATGTCTATAGCCTTTGTGTAATTAGAAAAAGAAAGCATGATTTCGGGAGCACGGTACCATCGAGTAGCCACGTATTCGGTCATGAAACCCGCATTTTGCTCAACGTCTTCAGAAAAGCCACGGGCCAAGCCAAAATCGCAGATTTTCAATTCACAATCCGCATTGACCAACAAGTTACCGGGTTTCAAATCACGATGAAGCACATCCGCACTGTGGATGTACTTCAACCCGCATAGGATCTGATACACAAACAGCTGATAATGTGAGTCAGTCAAAGGCTGACCCAGACGGATGATTTGATGCATGTCGCATTCCATAAGTTCTTCGTACAAGTAAACCTCATTGAAATCACCAGTGACTGGGTCCGGAACAATATCCAAGTCGTAGAGACAAGTAATATTTTTATGGCCACGGAAGAACTGCAAGAGCTTCAACTCACGGAGCAGTCGCTTGCACAAGATCTTTTTGGAAAAGATGTTCGTGATTTTTTTGATGGCCACGAAGTTTTCCTGGCCGTCAGACATACCATCATCGTACTTTGCTGAACAAACGATTCCATACGCTCCATGTCCCAATTCCTTCACGATTTTGAAGCGCTTGTCGATGATAAAATCCTGGTTGAACACCTTATTAACCGATTTCCCATTATAAGCCATGATTGTAGGTCAGAGAAACAGATAGGGAACAAAAATGGATAAAACCGATTGACTGAGGAGCAGAAAAGCAAAAGTTGAGGATGAGTTCAAGAACAACTGATGACGAGCTAAAAGCGTTGAAAAGTGGTGTGTGTGCAGCCCTCAAATATGGGGAACTGATCCTTCAAACTAGGCACGAAGCACAAAAAAAAAAAAAAAGTGCACAGATTCTTCGGTGCACAGCCAGGAAAACTTGTTGAGCGGAAAAAATAAGAGACAATAAAAGTAAGCGTATAGACTCTTCTTTAAAGTGCAAGATGCAGAGAAGTAAGTAGTACAATGAAACAATATGGGCCTGTACCACTGATTCTTATATCTTTGGCCACGAAGCCAAAAGTTGTCGACGTCATTAGATTAACCCTGGGTGTAAAGTCAAAGTGTAATTGCAGAGCTGCAGGCGGCTATTTTAAGCAACGCCCTCCGGCACACAGTGCCGCTCAACTGCGTGGGATCGTATTTATAGAACGTGCCCATACTACAGTTGACGCTAGAAAACGCCGTGCGTCTATCATCTCTAAAAACTATGTCTTGACATGTTTACTTGACCAGCAACCTGTTGACAAGTGTCTTTGGTTAGATTTGTGAGTGTCCAAATTTAGAGTAAATCTTTGTGTGTGTTGCACTTTGTCTTATCTTGTAAAGTATTTTTTTTTCCTTCGTTTTGTTCTCGCTCTTCCTACCGGTGAAACAATGGCGAGGATTGGGTGCATAACGTGCGGGACTCGTCAATAGCCGAAGTCTCTTCAAGTCAGGGTGGATACGAGAATCTTTATTCATTTTAACACGCTTTGCCGTATATTATGCTTTCAATGCAACATTACTCTCTAGACCCTTCATTTTTCAGACTACCGTTCGCTACTAATATGCGTTGTTTCTCATGTTCTGGAATCATTACAGACAATCCCTAATATTTTCCTCTCTTTTTTCTTTTGAATATTTTCCTCTATTTTTCAAATTATTTATTTGCCATTTGATTTGAATCGAGTCTCAAAATCTGCCTTCGCCCTTATAGAAAAGTTCTTAAGGTAGAAAAATCTTCCATACAATATATACCAATCTCTATGAAAACCATTAAAGAGTCCTCTCGCTTTCTTTCCGTCCTCGGTATATAGGTCTCACTGAAAAGCCGCATGGACTAACTTTTTTTTTTTTTTTTAGAAAAACCTATTCCCCAATCAAGTATCAGGAAGTATGAACAAAAAGATTGTCATTGAATGTAAAAGGCATAATGTCGTATAGCCTTTTTTTGACGACTCAGCAATCGCTTCCTTCATATTTTCTTACGTCGAAGTCTCCTGTGGATAGCATAAATCAGAATTCTTGCTTTCGAACGCTGTGATTTTTATGAACAGTGGCCCTCAGAGCAAAAATATTCTAAATTCTAATTTTAATGCAAGTACTGTTCATTGCAAATGTTTACTTAGAATTGCTAATCCTCCTTCGACATCAGACGTCGAATTTCCAAAGCCTACACGGATCCACCCCGGATACCCGAAAACCTCACCGGGAACCACCAAAACCTTCAGGGTTACGGCAAGAGTTTGAGCGAGTTCCATAGTAGTTTCATAATTGTTCAAACGCAAGAAACAAGTTGATCCTCCCCTTGGTTCTATCCACAGCACCTTATCATTGTTATGTTTGACAAAGTTTCTTATCATGGAAAGATTTTTCTCACAAATGTTGTGATTCCTGAGAAGGAGTTTATCTGCATTTTGCAAAGCTAATAATGCACATGCATCATCTAAAACCAGCACAGAGATTGTGTTATAATCTCTTTTTTCATAAAAGGCGTTCAATGCCAGTTTGTTCCGAGTTACAAGCCAGCCTAAGCGTAACCCAGCTAGTGAGAATGCCTTGGACATGGATCCTGAAACAATAACACCATCCTCTGCAAGTGTTACTGCGGAAGAAGCTGGACTACCAGTATGGAAAAGGGGTCGATAAACTTCATCAGAATACAAGGTGACACAGTGCCTCTGACAGATTGCTATAATTGCTTGCAAAGTCGAATCATCCCATACGTAACCTGTAGGATTGTTTGGATTGTTGATGACCAACATTTTTGTCTTATTCTGGGATATTGTACTTTCGAGCCACTTTAAATCTGGCAAATATCCAGTAGAAGGCTCAACAATAAGTTTGTCGACGATAGCACCAAACATAACTGGAACGGAAGACAACTGCTGGTATGTAGGGTCAACAACAATGATATGATCCCCTGGATTGACCATAGCATAAAATGCCAAAAAGTTAGCACCGATTGCACCGTTTGTGATGATAACGTGTTCTCTGGTAATACTAGAATCGCCATACAATTGTGCAATTTTGTCTCTCAATTCAGGAGAGCCACGAATATGGCCATATGTGAGCTTTGAAGCTAGCAAATTGGAAACAAAGTTATCTTTCTCGGCTGGCAGCACATTCTGAAGAAGATCATTTATGGAGATTGATTCCACACATGTTTCCCCCAAGTTATATGTGATGTCCGATTCGTATTTGTCCATAAACTGCTCAACAGCAAACGGCTCTTGCTTCATGGTCGATAAAAATGAACTCTCCACTCGAAAAGTTTTACGAACCGAGCAGTAGTCAAGAATGCTAATGGGTGTGCTTACGCACAGATGGACTAGATAAGGAAGTGCTGCATGGAAGTATGAACTAAACTTTATTAGCCAAATAGAAAAGAACGGAACATTGAGAAAGTATCTGCGATACGAAAAAAAACAAAAAACCTATATGTAAATTGGTGAGCGAAATTACGTCTCTTCTCCTTTGGTTTGGACTTGAATAAACAAGTTCACACAATTTTAGACCCAAGATTTGTTGACCTGCGGAGAAGTTTAATCGCGCGGGAGGACCAAGACGTTCATGTAAGCGTTGGTGTTTCTCCAGATCTTCAAAACCGGAACTCGTTGCTCTTGGGTGAATTTAGTTATTTGTTTTTCCAGTGTCGCTAAGAACGGCTAACTCTTTTATAGAACTACGGGAACAATAAGCTGAGAATCCACACTGACGTCGAATAAGCAGTCCCATTAACTCAGAATCACCTATACATCTAATCGCATCTTGATTTTGAACAATAGGGCCGTTCTATCACGCTACAAACTGTTTTGGCAAGAAATTTCTTTCATCATTTGTTTTCACTCGTCCCACTGACGAAGGACACCATACATTACCATTCTATCTCCCACTGGAACTAATCGATTCATCCGACTCTATCATCGTCGGCACTTCTTCACATGAGCAATAAGGAACCTATGGACGATCTTGCGTCCCTCTTCCTAAATAATCCTCTCCAGCCTGTGGGTGATGAGCCAAATTCGGAGGACTTCTCCTTTGGGGGACGATCTGGGGTTCCAACCCCAACGCTGATGGGAATGCTGAATGTTTTAAACGAATACTCACAATTACCTGGCTGGCCATCTGAGCCCGGATTTCCGTATGGCCCAAGTGGCTATGGTAACTTCAATGGACCACCCATGGGTCAACCACGACCTTTTGATCAAGGTTTGGGCCACACGCTGCATTATGCCGAGTTTATCGCACCCGAGGCAAATCTATTTCAGCGTCCAATGTATCCTGTCTCAGCATTTTCACCGCCTATGGCACAGCTTGATACAGTTTGGCATCAGACTGACCGTGGTTTCAAGAGAGACGGCATGAAAGAGAATTCGAAAGACGAAAAAGAAAGTGCAAAAGACTTTCTCAACGAGGGCACTAAGGAAAGTGTGGTGGAGGGCACGAAGGAGGGGAGCCGCGCCCGGAAGAAGCGCGATCGTCCTAAAGAAGCCCGTCGGATAGCTGCTGCCGCTGCTGCTGCATCAATTGATTATCTGTCCGAAGCAGTGTTACGGCTTCTCGATTTGAAGCCTGATTTGGATATCAAACAAACAAATGCTCCAGTGCTATCAGGATATCTTCAAGGTAGGCTCTTTACCAACGATCAGGACAATTGGAACTACCTCACTGTTCTGGAAGGCGCCCCGGACACTGGGCGTCAGTACGAGCCCCAGATGGTGGCGTGTTATCGGCGCAATTATATCACCATTCACCTTCGGGTGGCGGCGAAAGTGGGGCGGTATCGTCTCGAAGTATCTGCGTGCACTGTAGGAAACGAGCTGCGACCAGTCCAGTTTCTCATTGCTAGCAGCAAAGGTGACTCAATGCGCACAGGAGTCGCCGAAGAAAGCATCAGCGGTAGCCATGTTTTTTCGAGCGACGGCAATGAGCGTCTTTTCGTGGTTAAAAAGTTTCAATTCAAGAGTGCCACGGCCAACAACACGAATCTCAATTTTCAAACCTACTACCGTATGCGCGTGCAATTGTATGGAGAAGACCCAACAGGGCCTCCTTTGGCGTCTGTATCAAGTTGTCCAATCATTGTGCGTGGTCGGAATCCACTGTTCTACGAAGACCGCTGTGACATTTTAGTGGGAACACGCATGCTGACAGCAAGGCGACTGCGCGAACTGGAGGATCCTTTGGAGGAAGTACCTGAGCACAATCAAGCGAAGAATCCAGGGGAGGAGTCAGGAGAAAATGGTATAAGGAACGTTGCTGATCCCGTCAAGAATGAAAAATTCGAAGAAAAAATTGGCGAAAAAGACTCAGGAGCCCCTGTTGCTATTGTTGATACAAAAAATTTCAACGAAAAGGAATTCAGCAACACAAACGGAGGAATAATCGACGAAAGTAATAGTCCCAAAATCGGCAGCCCAGAGGGCAACCAGAATTCTGATAGTAGCCCAGCAAGCGAAAGCGATTCTGAACCACCACAATCAGGTACAGTTGGCGAGGCACTTTCAGGAAAACTGGGCCGCTACCACTACTTCCCGATCCTGAATGTCTACTACATGCCTCCAATAAATGTGGTATACTTTCCACATGGGGCCCACCAGGCGCAATCAGACCGGACACTCGCGCCGCAACTGGTGGATCTGGAGCGCCGACTGTCTCGAGTATATTTCCGTTGAGACAATAGTTATACTCTCTTTGTAAATGTTACAATGTGGTGGACGGAATGTAATAATAATAATTTATTGATAGATATAAATGCATATTTATAAAAAGAATAAAAGGTTTAAGCTTCGTGGTCCTTCATGTCGGTCCATGGCGGGAATGTCGAACATGCCAAAAGTGACAAAAAACAATACTTAAACTATTAACATTTGCTCTATTCGATTTTATTTTCTAAGAGGATTGGAGAGAACTGACTTTGTTTTTACTTGATCGATGATTTTGCAATACAAGCATTACCCGTACGTGCTAATAGTAATTTTAATAGGCGGGTGCGCAATACTTGGCCTTCTCTGTTGTACGGGTTGAATAACTAAACGAATAGACACACTTTCTGTTGACATCGGCTGGTTGTATCAAGTTTATTTAGCGTCTAATGTGCTTGAATTAATCCCTTTGCGTTTAAAGTTTGAAACTGAAGCATGTTTGTCAGAAAATATGCTAGACAAATTTGACTTTAACTTGGTGAGGACGATGCATTGTGACATAAATTTAATTGAGACATAAATTTACCCAGGATCTAGCCACTTTACTTGGTCTTTTCGCACGAAAAAGGAAGGGTCCATTTTATCCTACAAGTTCCGCTTTGTACCTCTTTAGATATCTGCAAGGAGGTTTAATTTGTGCAGGGATGCACGGCGGAACGTTTTATCGGCATACCGAATACGGCAACCCGAAATCTGACGGAAACGAGCTGATCGACTTCCCTGAAAAGGAAATCCGAAGTAAATTGAGCAACAGACTTGATCTAAGGGTAAAATGTGATTACTCTCAGCGCAATTGCTTGTCGTGCGTTCCGATAGGAACACATGGATGTCTTATCTGAAGTGGCCAAGAAAAATATGTTCTAGCTGTTCTTGTCTTGACTTGATGTGCTACAGATTTCAGAAAGTTAGTTCCATGGATAAAGGAGTAAGAATAAGCTGGTGTACTTGAACTATTCATGACTAATCGGTCAGCCTAAGTTGCTAGAAACTCACTCTTGTCCAATCTCACTTGATAATTAAACTCTGGCTGGAACGAACCATACATTGTTTCACTATCATTAGTCACAAAGGCTGAATATGCTGCAACATCATCAGAAATGTATTTCTTTTCAATTCCGCTTGCAGCTGCAGCATCGGCCATAAGCTGGGCATGGCAACTATTTTCCATTAATGTAAACATGTACGCAGCCTCATCGACCGTCTTTCCCATAGTAAGGAGCCCGTGATTTTGCAAAATGACATTGCGTGTACCTTTGGCAGCCTCTGCAATTTCAAGTCCCTCCTCTCCTTCAATGGCCACTCCTCCAAAATTGGTGTATACTGCCTGGTTATTGTAAAAAATGCACGCATCTTGGTTCAACATTTCCAATGGCCGCCCAAACGTAGAGAACGAACGGCCATGGATGGAATGTGTGTGACACGCAGCATTTATATCTGGGCGAGCTTTAAGTAGAGCCAGATGAATGGAGTATCCCGCCGCATTGATTGGGGCTTGGTTACCATCAGGCAAAATGGAGCCGTCTGCACCAACATGAACCAAATCTGATGGCATGATCATGGCAAAATGAACACCCAATGGATTGATGAAGAACGTCTGAGGGTCCACTGGATCTCGCACAGAAATATGACCCGCTTCGCCTTCACAGTAGCCCATTCGAGCGAAGACACGGAATGCCCCTGCAGCATGTTCTAATACCCATTTGCGTTCGGCAAGGGGATCATCAAAAGAAGGTATAAGATGCGGGTGTTCTCCACCTTTGGCAATGTTGTGGGCCCCTCTGGTGCCAAAGTCGTACTTCTTAGAAGTTTGGGACTCTTCAGTCAAGGATGGGGACATTGTTGGGGAAGATATGTCACTAGATGTCAGTTGAAGAAACAATCTAAGAATATACAATCAGTGAGGTGAAGAAAATTCCAATAACGTGGGAAATAACTATTAAGGCATTTTGCGATGATTCCACCCATTGGACGAAGTTTCCGATAAGCGCGTTAGGCAACTTCCGCATATGGATGCATACAGATGGTGTTATCGCAATCTCGCATGCCCAAGTTTGCACACAATTCATCCGATAGGCGACCTCTTGCCATGAAAAACAAGATTATTCAACTATAAAAGCCCGTCAAATCTTCTTGATCTGTTCCTCAACAAGAATTGGATTCCCAATTAATCTATGGACGAGAAAAAACTTCTGAACGTCGTGTCCTCTGTGGCTTCGATCAAAGAAGAGATCGGAGACCAAATTGATGGCGTGGTTGCCTTAGACTTATTCGAACATGGCCAAGAGATTTCCGAAGAAGAATATCAGGCTGAGGTTAAACGCATTCGCTTGAAACTTGATATGCGTCTTATGCCTATCATGTGTGTTACTTATCTCTTGCAGTTTTTGGACAAGTTGAGTTTAAATTATGCTTCGGCATATTCTTTTAGAGAGGATTTAGGTCTCTATGGCCAGAGATACTCTTGGGTGGCCGCTATATTCAACTTTGGCTATTTGTTCTGGGCTTATCCATCCAATTACATTATCCAAAAGGTCCCAATTGCAAAATGGACAGGATGTACCCTCATCATTTGGGCAGTTATCTTGATCGCTCACATAGGAGCAACCAACTACGGAGGAATATTGGTCCTTCGATTCATTCTAGGTATGTTTGAGGCTGGTATCTCTCCCACATGTATGATGATTTGTGGAATGTTCTATACCAGAGAAGAACAACCTTTCCGTATGTGTACGTTCTTGAGTTTCAATGGAATAGCCACTGTTGTGGGGGCTTTACTTGGATTTGGTTTGGGGCATGCTCACAGCACTGCTTTAGCCTCATGGAAATTGATTTTTTTGGTCATTGGACTTCTCAACTTCGTGTGGGCGATTTTCTTTTTACTTTTGACACCCGATTCCCCTGCAACAGCTAAGTTCTTGACCGAGCGTGAGAGGGCCATTTTGGTGAAGCATGTGTCCCAAAACAATCAAGGTGTCAAGGACCAAAGGTTTTTGTGGCCACAAGTAAGAGAAGCTGTCATGGATGTTTCTATCTACATTTTTGGCCTTATTGGGTTGGGCACTGGAATAATTAATGGAGGCGTCTCGAACTTCCAGTCGCTGTTGATCAAGGGCTTTGGGTTCACGGGTTTAGCTGCCACAGCTTTGCAAATGCCTACGGGTGCCATTGAGTTTATTGTGGTATTCACATGTGGAATTATTGCCATTACCGTCCCTAACACAAGATGTATCATATTTTGTGGTCTTTGTGTACCAGGATTGGCTGGACTTATAGGGATTCATTTGATAAAGGACAATCGTTGGGCCCTGGTTGGATGCACCTGGCTCCAGTACATTATCGGCGGGCCGGTTATTTTGTGCTGGATTTTCATGACTGCTAATATCGGAGGAAGTACCAAAAAAACAGTAACAAATGGATTTTGGTTTGTTTTATATGCGACAGGCAATATTATCGGCGCCAATATTTTTTATGCTCGCGAGGCTCCCAAGTACAAGAGTGCCATGACAGCTTTGATAACCTGCTACTCGACGATGATTGCTCTTGGAATAGCATACTATTTCCTTTTACGCTACAGAAATGATAAAAGAGATAGAGAACAGGGTGAACTAACAGATGAACAGAAACAAGAGGCAATCGTTAACGGGTTCAAAGGTATGACTGACTTTGAGAATAAAGGCTTCCGTTACTCGCTTTGAATAATTTCCGCTAATACATTAGATTGAGACAAACGTTGATTCTGTAACTACTCAGCATTAGCTTGAAAAAGACTGTAACCATTCACAAATACCTCTATTAAGAAGAAAAAAGCAAATTTTGAAGTAGTATGTAGCTGTCATCATCCTCTGCTATCTGAGCCATATCAAAGATTAGTGCAGTCTATTGAGCAGCGCGCATGGATGCATCTACTTGAGCATCAAAATACAAACTCTCAAGTGCAAGTCTAGCTAAAGCTAAGACATCCAGTCAGCACGACAAAGCTCCAATTTGATAAAAAAAGTTCTGTTAACCACAGTGAATGGTAACCATTAGGTGTGGCCTTACATTCCCCGCGAAAAGCTTCTCATTACTCTGGCCCTTTCTTTAGACAATCGTTACGAAATCAACCATTTTATCCAATTCTATGCATTAAAAACAGACAAGAAGGCATTAGACAAATGCTTCCTTTCAAAAATTATACTTTGACATATACGTACTCATTGATCACCCTGAACCCATGTTGTATAGAATTGCCGAGAAACACAAAAGTCCTTTTTCGATTAAACTAATTCACTTGGACTATCACATTTATTCCTTTCATACAAATACAGCGTTATGCCTCGAGGGCGGACTAAAACAGTTTGTTCATTTTGCCGCCGTCGGCGGATTCGATGTGACATGGCGTCTCCGTGCGGGGCATGTGTTCGATATGGCAACGCGCACTGCGATATTCCGCCCCCAAAGCCGCCGGCGCCAGATGTCGCTCAGCTCCGCGCGCGCCTCGAACACTTGGAGCAGGCCCTCTTTAGTGCAGGCGACGACATGAGTTTCCACGAACAGGTGCGCACGACGCCGTACCGCAACCTGTTGGGTCTCCGTCATTTAGGCCTGTTCCGCTGGCTTGCTCTCGTCAGCATGGACACCAACATGTTTGAGTTGATGCAGCGCCTTTGGCCATGGACAAAAGAACGGATCAAACGAGAGCGTGAGGCGGAGCGCACTGAGCGTGAAGGCAGTCACGAGGCCGGTGATGGTAGAGGCGGTGGGCAAAGCGGAGACCACGAAAGCTACCGCGAAGGCTTTCACGAATCTCGCATGCCGCTAACTGTGGTGGGACATTCAGCAGGAGATTTATCCGCTCTTGCTCCCCAAGTTAGAGCCCATCTCCCTGACAAGAAGGTCTTATGGATGTGGGTGGACCGGTATTTTGCTGCAGTGGCACCTCATGTGCCTGTTCTTGACGAGCACACATTACGCCGGCAAATTTCAAATCTTACAGGTGCCCGCGTGCTAACAAAGGAGCCTGTCCATGTGGGAACCATTGACCTACCGGACGTCTCTGTCTGGGGCGTGTTGCTTGTGGTACTTCGGCTCGCACATCTATCGTTGTACACTGTTTCTGGCGCGCTCAAGACACAATGCGTCTACTCACTGGCTGAGGACTTGGAATACATGGCCGGAGCTAAAATTGGTCCCCGGGCTGTCGAAGTCGCTTACCAATGTTTGGCTTACCATGATCTAGCGGCGGAGACGGGTGTCGATGTAGTGCAACTAGCTGCGCTTTTGAGAGTGCATGCCATGGTGGACCCTGATGTGGGGTCTCCCGACGTGCGGAACCACACGTTTTCTGCCATCCTTTCGCTGTTAGCACTTTGCCGTTGGCTCAATCGCGATCCAGGCAAGGTATTTGGTGATAGCTTGGGTGCGCGAACTTGTCAACTATTCCGAAAGATTTGGTTCGTGGTGTTGGACATGGATTACACCTTTGCATCTTTTACAGGGAACATACCCATGATTTCACGACTAGCGCATGACGTGGTACTGCCGCAGTTTTCGCCTGAAGCACTGAACCTTGCGAACGCTCGCATGGATGCTGCAGTTTGCCGTGCGTTGAACGAACAAGTGGATGTTCGTACTCTCTTGGACGACACACTAGCACTCTCGGGCAGTGTAGCACGACGTGTCAAAGTGGCGGCAGTCGAAGATGTTCTGGCGCGGTTGCGGGCGGTCAGTGTTGAGCTTATGGCACAGGATGCCAAATACCGCGCAGAAGGTACGCCAAATAGTGTTGATGCTTTCTCACATTCAATTCGCTTCCATCGCTTGCTTCAGCTCCTGTATGTTTCCATAGCTGTGTCGACTCACCTATACTACCATTATGTCCGACGGCGTGATTTTGCGAGGGCCCAGCGTGAGTGGCTTACTGTTGTGACGATAATATGTGATCAGTTGCTACCGCATGTCCCGCTGTTGGTTGACGAAACCGCTGATGCTTTTAAGGGAGCAGGCGATCTTTTCACAGGTATGCATTTTTCCCACAATGCATCCTATGGTTTTTTGGTTGTGTTTGCGCATTACCTTGATTACCGAGCGCACTGGTCCCGCGTTCAAAATGACCCACTCCACATGCTGCGGCTCGCCCTGGCGCTGGAATATGCGCGCCTGTTTGCTGCCCTCGAGCGCGCGTGCACCAGTGTTCACACTCTTCTTACGTTGTTAACCAGAGCTAACAATGCGATGCTGATGCGATATCGGTTTCACAAAAAGGTTCGTGCTATGACGGCAAAGATGATGGCCGTGTGTGAACCTTCTTTTTACGCCAGCTGCTCTGTTCTTTCGGTGCATGCTGCTACTGTAGAGGAGCATACCGAGCTATCAGAACTGGTTGAGCGTGCGTCGCGCGCAATGGGCTCCGTTCTTTTGGAGCTGCCCTCTCCTGTTCCTGCGCCAGGACCTACGGTACCAGACGCTCCACCAGACGCACTATTGGATCTCGACTATAGTCCATTTGACACTAACTTTAACTGGATTCTGCTCGAACAACTCTTCAGCGCTTAATGAATCTACCGTATTCAGCGGGGACTCCCAGTGATTATGAGAAACAAAAACTTATATTTGAAGATTCTACAAAGAGTTCCCCTTTGGCAAACCTTGCTAGAACCAGTCATTAGCATGTAGCTGTTTATTCAAAACATTTCGCTACTTACGCTGGCCATAGGCTTTGGTGGCGTATTCGCCATCAACAACAATCACATCCTGTGGCCGATAATCAAAGGACTTTTCAAAGTACGATTTCAAAATTGCTTGTGTACCAGCAGCATATCTCTCTTGGGCGTCCAATGATGTTCCACTAACGTGGGGGGTCATAGCATTTCCACCGCCATACTTGTTGCGGAAAGTTCTCCAAGGATGATGGTCTGGGGCTGGCTGTGGATACCATACGTCTCCACCGTATCCACGGAGCTTGCCCGATTCGACAGCATCAGCTACATCCTTTTCAACACAAATGGCACCACGGGCTGTGTTCACCAACCAAGCGCCATCCTTCATGTGACTAATGGTTTCCTTATTGAACAAACCTTTGCTTCCCTCGTGTAAAGGACAATTGATAGTCACAACATCGGAACGGGATAACATATCCTCTAACTTTTCCACGCGTTCAACAATGTCGTCGTGACCATTGAAAAGTTTAGAGGCAGCGTTCAACTTGTCCACGGCTTCCTTGGGCAAATCCTGGTAGTCAAAGTACAAGAGCTTCTTCGGATTGAATGCCACAAGGCGCTCCAAGATACGGTAACCAATCCTGCCAGCGCCAACTGTGGCGATAACCTTGTCCTCCAAGTCATATTCATCCTTGGCAATGGCTGCAATATCCCATCCTCCAGACATGGCCTGCTCATGTCCTGGGACAAAGTTTCTAACCAAGTTTAACATTGTCATTACTGCGTGTTCAGCAACAGAAACAACGTTGGATCCAGTAACCTCTGCAACAGTGATCTTTCTTTCATTGGCAGCATTCAAGTCAACATGGTCCGATCCGACTCCTGCGGTGATGCAGAGCTTCAACTTGGGTGCCTCTGCAATTCTCTCACGAGTGAGGTACGCGGGGAAAAATGGCGTGGTAATGACAATCTCAGCGTCTGCCAAATGATAGTCAAACTCAGAGTCTCCAATTGGATCCTTTTCAGAGATGCTCACCAATTCGTAACCGTGAGACTCCACGAAACCTCTGATACCCAATTCGTTCTCGAGGCATCCGTAAAGCTTAGGCTCATCTTTGGCATGGTGCTTGCCTTCGTACAAAACGAGTAACACTTTTGGTTTAGACATTGTTTGAATTTTTTTCGACTTGAGAAGATATGATGGTCAGGATTGAACTTGTAAGACCTAATGATGAGATACAAGAGGAATACTCAAGTCTTTAAATACCTTTCGTCTCAAAGTTTCCGAGACATTTCATCCGTATTGGATTGCGGGGTTAATAGCTTTGGACTCCTCCTTCAAAGTTACATGCAAAACTTGAACGTTAGTTAAATGGCTCGGAGCGCGATTTTCCATACTTTCGACCACTGGAGTAGCTGTTACCCCAGGTTTCGCATTATGTGGAGTGCATCTGAAAGATACACATGACCTTTATGTCCGATCGGAATTACCATATTGTGTCATTCCAGACACTACTAACAATGATGTTTACAACACTTAGCTCACAACCCTCTACTTCATTTCCTTCCAATATAGTATGATGTGATTTCGTTATTGCCTATTATCCAATGACTAAGTTCTTACGTCTTCGAAGCGCAGTTAAAGCTAGAATACCACTTTCAATTGACTATCAGTAAAGTAGTGATACTTAGAATACTCTCTTTTAGAAAATCATTAAATAATCGAGTCATTCATCCATAGATGTGTAGTAATTACGTTTGAAGTGGACAAAACTCGAATGGGATGAGAGTTGAATTAAGTTCTAGTACTGCATTTTGAATTTCTGAGTTGCTACATTCAGCTACGCGATGTATACCAGTGTATCGTTGATAAATATTATGCAAGCTAGTCAAAGGCCAATTGCTTCTTGATCTCCGCAATGGCACGACCAGGGTTCAACCCCTTAGGACATGTTCTAGAACAATTCATGATGGTGTGACATCTGTACAAAGACATGGAGTTTTGCAACATTTCCTTTCTGAACTTAGACGCCTGGTCTCTTGAGTCAATCAACCATCTGTAAGCTTGCATTAACACAGCTGGGCCCAAGTACTGTTGCTGGTTCCACCAATACGAAGGACAAGAAGTAGAACAACATGCACACAAAATACATTCGTACAAGCCGTCCAATTTGGCTCTGTCTTCAATGCTTTGTAAGTTTTCTCTGCCATCAGCAGGATGGTCATCTCTTTGCAAGTATGGTTGGATAGACTTGTACTGCTTGTAGAAATGGGTCAAGTCTGGCACCAAGTCTCTGACAATGTACATGTGAGGCAATGGGTAAATCTTGGTGTCTTTGGAGGTGTTGGCATCGATTTTGCACAAACAAGCCAAAGTGTTCACACCACCAATGTTCATGGCACAAGAACCGCAAATACCTTCTCTACACGATCTTCTGAAGGTTAACGTCGAATCCTGTTCGTTCTTAATCTTCAAAAGCGCGTCCAAAACCATAGGACCACAGGCATTTAAGTCAATCTCGTACGTCTGCATTTTTGGTGCCACTTCTGGCGTGTCAGGATTCCATCTGTAAATTTGAAATTTCTTAATTTTTGGAGAAGCGGCAGTAGCCAAAGTTCTCATGGGGGACATGCGACCCATAGGGCGAATCATTTGCTTGAGCATGGTTAGTGGTAGAATCTGTCGAGAACTCAAGGAAAAAAAAACTCGGTCACGGCGGATGAGAGGGAGTGCAAGGTCAAATATATAAAAGAAAAAAGCTCATGCCCGGGAGTTGGAATACGCCCTTATGTGCAGAACTTACAAATGAGAATTTCTGGCACCATGATTGGCTGACCCCGGATTTTGCATCCGTACATCATTTTGCGACGGAGAAGTTAACCACTACTGAAGACTATCTATGTACTACGAAAAAATTTTCCGTTGACTGATTTTAAAAAAAAACATGCCCATTAAGATAGTATATCGATGAATTTGCGTCGGTAAAACATATAATGTTCCACTATTGCCTAGTTCCTGTTAGTATCCGACAATATGCCGGAATGAATATTTGCTAGGCAGTTATAGGCCAATTGTTTTGGCGCGGAGCCGGGAAGTAGGACCTCACGTGAGACCCGGACAATTCGGAACGGCTAATCGAATAGAGGAGAATTACATAGTTGCCGTATGGTTCAATCGATTTTCCTATGTAACAAGAGGTAAATAGTTTCCGCAATGAAAAGAAGCACGTAGATTGAACATAAGCTTGCCACATTCTATTAAATCACAAATCAAATATGACTACTTTAGGGCAATGGCCAAAGCATATGATGTGTTGAGTATCTAAGTATTGATCTTCTACATGTCTTGACTATTCAGGTTTGAATTCCGCGCAATTTGTATTTTCCAGCATTTTGCACCCAAAATTAAGAAAAGTACGATGAATAAGCTGATAAAGCGGGAGCTCCACCCAAGTGCACATACAAAACATTCGACCCCTTTTCAAAAGCGCCTTCTCTCACCAATTGTATCAAACCTTGCATTGACTTACCTTCGTAAACGGGATCAGTCAAAACACCCTCCGTTTCGCCAGTCAATTTAATTGCTTCCAAAGTACCTTCGTTGGGGATTCCATAGCATGGGTGCGCAAATCTTTCATCTAAGATAATGTCCTCCTCGGTCAATTCTTTCTTTAAGCCAATTAAGGACGCTGTGTTTTGAGCAATTCTCAACAGCTGTTTTCTAGTCTTATCTGGAGTAAACGAAGCGTCAATAGCAATAACATCTTTCTCGCGTCCATACTGCGCGAAACCAACAAGAATACCAGCATATGAAGATCCCGTAACGCAACAAACGACAATCTTATCAAACTTGATCCCCATTTCTTTTTCTTGTGCCACAACCTCGTCAGCGAAATTCACAAATCCTAAACCGCCATATGGATGTTCGGAACATCCAGCTGGTATGGCATATGGTTTTTTGCCCTTTTGTTTCAACTCTTCTAAGGTGTCTGTATAAGACTTTCTGATGCCGATGTCAAAACCATCAGGCACCAATCTCACGTCTGCTCCCATGATCCGAGACAATTCAATGTTTCCAACCTTGTCGTAGTTACCGCATTCTTTTTCTGGTACTGGGACCCAATTCTCTTGCACCAAAACACAATCCAACCCCAAATGGGCAGCTGTGGCAGCGACCATTCTAGTTTGATTTGACTGAATACCTCCAATGGAGACCAAAGTGTCATACTCGCCCTCCAAAATTTCAGGCACAATGTATTCAAGTTTCCTTAACTTGTTCCCTCCAAAAGCCAAACCTGAGTTGCAGTCTTCTCTTTTGGCATAAATGTTGACATTTCCACCAAGAGCCTTCGAAAGGTTTTGGAACGCAGAGATATGGGAGCGACCGAAAGTCAAGGGATACCTTTTGAACTGAGAAATGAGAGATTTGAAAGGAGTGGTCATTTTGAATTCTGAGTCCAAGAGAACTACGGAAATCTATTGGGAATATATAGGAAAGATAAGTTGTTTGTCGGCTTTCAATAGCCGATTACCGGAACGTCATTTCGCGATAAGCCCCCAGTATGATACACATGGAGCCAAATTATCCGTAGAAAAAACCAATGAATATGCACGCTCTTTCCCAATATAATTTGCAATGATTAAAAAGCTTCTCTTGTGTTCGTCTGTCTGTTTTACTAAGTTCAACTTTGCGAGTTAAAGCTGTTAGGCACAAAAAAAGTGGAGCCGGCTATTAAACCCCGGTGTGATTCCAAGCATTGATACCTCCTGTATGGAAGATTTGATATCACACGTTAACAGGGAATGAAGCCATTTCCCGAGAAAAGGTACTCAATTACAACAGAAAGCTCTTCAACTCACATTCATGAGAATTACGTGTGAAAACAATTTTAGCGGAGAAAATATCATTCAAATGTTTTTTTGGTAGCGAAAACTACCTAAATGTAAGTAGAAGTTACTTGACGCACTAATACAGAAGTCTGTTAACGTTTAGAGATAGTCTAGTACTTTTGACATTCAAACTGCAAAAATATCTCCTACTCGCCATACATTGTTTGAAACATGATCTTCATCAAAACATAAATATATAAACAACTTTTTCGTATTACTCGATCTGGGGATAATAGTTATCAACGAGAGCTTCAACACCAGAAGCACTCAACTGGCTAGAGACAAAGTCCATATAGGACACAGGACCCAACATGTACACATCCTTGTCTTTCAAATCGATAGAATCGAAGTCTTTCGCCGTCATGCGGTTCACATCGGAAAAGAATTCATGCAAGTGGAATTTAGGGTATTGCGTTTTCAAGTCATTGAACCATTGGGTGAATGGCCTCTCCTTTTCAGTCTTGTTTGAATAGTACACTGAAACCAGCTTACCATCTTTCAATGCGCTTTCAATAATAGACACAAATGGTGTAATTGCCACACCAGCGCAAAAAATGAGAACATCCTTTTTGGACTCAGGCTTGTAGACAAAGTGTCCATTTGGAGGAGACACCTTGACAATGTCGCCTTCTTTCAAAGAGTGGACGTACGTAGAGCAAGCACCACCATCGACCTTCTTCACGCTGATTCGGTATTCGTTACCTACTGGAGTCTGCGAGATTGTGTAGTTTCTAGTCTTTTCGAATTCGTATCCTGGTACTTTGAAAAGGAAACCGAGTGGTTGGCCTGGAAGTGGTTGGGCAATCTTGGTTCCATCCACGGGAGCCAAGTATAAAGACTTTATGTGTTCTGTTTCTGGAACAATTCTAGTCACCTTAAAGTCCTTGTATCCTTGCCATTGTTGTTGTTGATACTTGGCAAATTCAGCGTTGATCAAGATTTGCGCCAAGTTACCGTAAGCAGCGGTCCATGCTTCTATGAACGGAGGAGTAGCAATTTCCTCTCCTAAGAAGCTCTTCATGGTTGTGATAAGAGAGTTTCCAACAATAGGGTAGTGTTCAGCCTTGACCTGAAGACTAACATGCTTGTCAATGATATTGGCAACAAACGGAGAAAGCGGAGTGATGTCATCAATGTTCTTTGCATAAGCGAGCAAAGCAAAAGCCAACAATTTTGGTTGTCTGAGGTCAGCCTGGTTTTTCTCGTTGAAGAAGACCTTGACTTCGGGATAGTGCGAAAGCATGTAGTCATAGAAAGCTTTTGTGAGCTTGTCACCGGCCAGTTCAAGTAAAGGAACAGCAGCCTTAATATAAGACTTTTGTTCGTCTTTGAGCTCAACGATTGGATAAATTTGTGGGGCAGCCATGTCGAAAAGATTGATGAGATGGGCGAGCAACTAAATGAGACAAATTGGTCGACCAAAGAACAGTGGGTTCACTGAAAGGGAAAGAGCCGTAATTTATAATGAGCCTTAGGTGCCTTCTTGTCTTCTCCCGTTATTTGCCGCATCGTTTCAAGTAAGAAGTATAGTAACCGTTAAGTTGTATGCAGCTTTTGGATGAAATCAGGCCATGCAAGGAATTATCAAGTACATGTGGGTGCATACATGATGCAGCTCCATACTCTTCCAAACAGGATTTATGGGACAAAACGAGAATCGAAGCAGGAATATCTACCAAGAGTGAAAGTATAGGATATAAACGGTATAAACGGTCCCCTTCAAACGTCAACACAACATCAAGAAAGCGTTTGATTCAGTTGACAAAGGGTATTGAGCAAGATGCATATTCGTCGCTTCGAGGTTGGAATTTTAGCGCCTAAGCATTGCATTACAATAAACAGAGTCATACAAAACAACGAACAACTACGACCCCATGACTAAGCAAATTGAATAGATATCGCGTGAGGAAGACTTCATCCGGGAAATGCCTTATTCATTTCCCCGTAATCTGCCCACAAACAATAAACAAGAAAATTTAAAACCTTAATGACGGAGCCAGCTCCGAAGGGACATACCATCCATAATGCACTGTCTCCCAAATTGAACCTCTTCGAAGGTGCATCACGCTTCCGGATAAGAAAGGTGCGCTGACAAATCGTGCACACTTATTGGCCAGTACTAAATGCGAGCGCCTTTCCTATACGCTCCACAATTTCTTTTGCACCTAACCCAACCTCCACCAAATGGTAGTTTTGTCCTGCCAAGTAGAAGCCATTCTCAGGGGGACCTGCTGCTAGTTTACGGTATGCAGACGTGGCATAGCCAAACAGAGGGAAAGGTTGTGGGTGCTCGTCGCGCGCTCGTTGTATGTCCTTGATGAATGGAGTCGCAAGTGCTCTAGCGGACCGGCCGGAAACGTTGCATGTCATAACTGTAGGAACGCCGCGCCTTTCTGTAATACAGTCACCAATAAAGGGAGGCGCGCTTGTTTCAGCGACAGGTAGAAACACTGTGCCCATCTGCACCGCCGCCGCACCATGGGCCAAGTACCACGTTGCAGTGGCACTATCTACAATACCGCCAGCAGGGATCACGTAGACGTCAGAGGGGTCCCTTGCAGGTTTTTTGTTTACTGCAACAAATTCGCTGCTATTCGACTGGCTGTTTTCCGCAGACGCATTTTGGAGTCCTTTTTTAAGGGCAACGACTTGGAGAAAAAGGGCGTGGGTCGAGAGACATTCATCCTCAGCATCCAGAGCGAGAAAGTTCCCTCTGTGGCCTCCAGCTTCGAAGCCCTGACAAACGAGTGCGTCTACGCCAGCATCAATCAAATATTGCGCTTCTTTCACAGACGTAGCAGTGGCCAAAACCATAATCCCGCCCTCTTGAAGAGCGGCGATTGTAGATGGTGCTGGCGCTCCAAAGTGGAACAGCACAACTTGTGCGCGCGCGCTCACTAATCGGCGCACAAGCAGGTTAAGCTCCTGCGGACATTTTTCCTCAAACTCGCGGAAAGATACAACTGCGCGCGCCGTCCAATCGTGAGATTCGGTGGAGTAGACAGCAAAAATGCGGCGCCAGTTTTCTCTGGCAGCATCAGAAACAGGCTGCTGCTCCGCTGGATCAAAGCAAAAAAAATTCAAGTTTACAGGTGCAGCGGGCGCATGATGGCGGAATTCCTCGATTTGTGAAAACACCGGTTCCACACTTTTGGTCAAATCAATCGCTGAAAGTGGTAAAGAGCCGAGTGCACCAGCTCGAGCCACTTCAGATGCGACTGCGACATTCGAAATACCGGCCATGGGTGCCTGTATAAGGGGAAACCTCAATCCTAGACGGGTTGCAAACGTAGACATGGTTCTCTAAGCAAGAAATACGGGCAAAATATGTGGCAGTGCTTAGAAGTAGCCGAGTACTGTACCTAGTAGACAACTAATGTGAAGTTTGCCTGACCGGTGACGTCGACAGAAAAATACGCATGAGAAGTACCTGAGAGAAAGTACTGCTTTTATAGCCCAGTCAAGAGCAAATGCGCGATCCGTAGGTCCGGCTACAAATATCACATATGTACAAGATTAAGTATATACCAGGAGATGATGGGTCTGTCCCAGCATCATTCTAACATCACCTTCCATGTTCTAAACAGCAATAACGAATCGGCTTTTCCATATTGCCAAGCCGTAGTTGACGAAATAATCTTTGAAACTGTACGCTTCTTCGTTTAGTCCGAAATTGCTTGTTTGAGGGCCAACTGCCGTGAGTGCCCATCAAAATGAGCGCTGAGATCCTGGAAGCTCATTTTCTCTGGGTCTGCAGTCATGACATGTTTATCTTTGAATGTTACCGTGACACTTGGCTTTTCATTGTTGGTCAACACTTTGAAGTCCACAGCGCACCCACTGCGCTGTTGAGAAGGAATCCGAGCAAGGAATAGGCGAACCGGTTTTGCACTTGCCGCAAATGGGTCGAACTTAACGGCCACCTTGGTGAAGTACTTGGTGATCATTGATCAAGGTTGTTCTTTTTTTTTCTTGCACTTCGCAGTTACAAGTTAGCCTTGATCCACAAAACACCCGTACACCCTCGTCTATTGGTATACTGAACATATGGGTCCATCCACATTCATTCCTACTCTTGTATTTTGATAAATTGATTTCTTAGTATTGGTTCATTCTACACTTGAATCACTTATTTTCACTCGGTGTTTTTTCTTGGTGCTCGTATATGTGTTACATGCTCTGACGCAGTAGTTCTATATATGGCTACCTATTGTCCATAGTTGTAGCACGCCTCAAAAAAGTCAATTTCCAACTGCACCGTCGAAGCAAACGCCGTGGTCATGCGTTTCTTCCTATCTTCGTTTTTCGCAACTCTGTCGACTTCTGAAGCAAGAAAGTCAACCCAGGCTGCAAACTCAGGTCCGCTGTGTAAATTAACCCACTCTTGGTGCTTGTACTCCAATTTTGGCAACTTTCCATTATGAACTACCCATCCGAGATAACATTTCTCCATCACGTACATTGAAGTGATGATTCTAGGATAGTCTTGGCAAAACGCCAACCGCTCAAGCTCATTCAAGTATTTCTTTGTGCCTGGGAGTACAGGAGCGGACGTTACCATGTCCGGTACATGCGCTTGCAACTCACTGGTAGAATCTTTCCTCAATTGATCCAAGCATGTATGGAAATACGTATTCTCGTCGTTGCATACAAACCCGATCTGCTTTCCGAGAACAATAGCTGCATCTTTGTCGTCACAGTGGGTCAAAGCTGCTCCGAAAATCTTCAAGCCGTCCTGGAAGAACTTGAGGTCCTGAACTAAATACGTATAAAGCTTATAGTCAGGAAGAGTGCCGTGACAAAGCTCGTTGGTAAGTGGATGGGACACCGACACGTTGAATTCTTTGCTGAATTTCTCATGAAGTTCTTGAACAAATGACATTTAATGCTTCTTTTTGGTGCATTGTCCCTGTTCTCATTGCATATTAAATACTTCATAGTATGCGCTTACAGCGAGAGTGCGTGCGACATTATCTAGCATTACTGGTGGCTGATTTAAGAGCGTACACATGAACAGGGATTCAAGAAGTAGAACAGGGATTCAAGAAGTAGAATAGGGAAGTGGAAGTGTGCTCTTTTTATTTTTCTACTTGAGACCTCTGCTAAGTATGGTAATAAGAAATAGAGCTGGCCACCGGAAAATATGGGATGATTAGTAAAAATAATCGGCCAGATCTCTGTTACTACAGACACACCATGCACTTCTATTTTGGGCTAGCACGTATGGTAGAGCAAATGAATTCTTTTGTCAGAGGGCAGCCAAATGCGGTTACGCTGCATTGTCACGCAAAGTCTATTCCCTAGTTGCAGGTTGTTTCAAATACTTTAATGAAAATTGTTTCTTGCACTTTTTGTGATATTTGCTGCAGTTGACGATCGAATTCGGATGTGATGTTTTCTAAACGGGAATTTTCTCGATCCTTTTGTGGCGAACATCAAGTGCCGAGCGCTTTTATCATTGTGTCGGCGGGGAAAGTTCCTTGTGCAGATAATTTTAAGATCGCCCCTCCTCTTGGCAAAGACAGGTGAAGAAATTGATATCCACAGAAGTAACTATTCAAAAGTTCTAATGTTACGATACAAAAGTGAGGAATTATGAGTAATAAGATTATGGAAGTAAATGGTTGCTAATTAGCCTGCCATCACGCACAACCGGAAGCTAAATCTTAACGTGCTTGTTACCGAAGTGGAAGGATTGCCTAGAAAATCTGCTTTCTAGCCAAAGCAGAGAATACCACAGTGCTGCTGAGAAACAATCACTGCACCTCAGGTTCCGTTAATTGAATTATACATGCATGGAATGTCTCAGACGCACTGGAACTTGAAGAGCTCCAAACACGGCCACATGTCGCCTTGCTACAGGTTCAGATTCTTCAGCTGAGAGAAGAAGCATCGGGAGCAAGATCACAAGCTAATTGTCGAAGACAAGGCGTTTTGCCGAGGATAGATGCAGGGAAACAAAGAAAAAGTCGATACTAGCTTCACACCCTCGGTGTTTGCTTCGTCTTTCTATTCTTGAAGCAAAGTGGAATGTCATACAATAGTCGCAGTCGGCAGTCCCATTCTGCGAAACTGCCGCCTAATTTGAGCAAGGAAAAGATCGAGAACCACCAGGCAAATCTTTAGCTACATGCTGGCGTAGATGTCCCAGCTTGAGAATTGCTCGGCGATTAATGATGGAGCCAAGCAGTTTTGCACTCTTATGCAAGTGCAGACCTTCGTGCGTTAAGACGCGCATTAGAGTGCGCAAGAAAATAGAAGCTGCGTTCATCTTGGTCTAGCTATTCTCTGTTACTAAGCACCAGGCACGAGGACTGAACCTGCAGTGCCAAGACCTAGAGGGTATTGTACACCAAAAACTTAGAAGGGGGACTTTATTCTGAGAATGAAAAGCTTTGTGGTGCGCGGCTGCACTGCAGTGCCCTGTAACCATTTTAGGCGCACTACGCGGGCTAATGCACGTTACGCTGTGTAATTCTGTCAGCCTCAGGCACCATGCTGGGTGCAAATCAAACGCAAAACAAAACAAAAGGAAATTAAGCTAAAAGAAATCATATAAAAGAGAGACTTTTCGCCACTAACTCGAATTGATTTTTTAATCTATCCATTAATATCATTCCAATGAAGTTCACCACTGCCTTTTACTGTGCTCTTGCAGCTGCTACTGTTTCCGCTGCTCCAGCTGAGACCCAAGCTGCTTCCGGCCACGCTGCCGGTGGTCATGGTGGCGCTGCTGGCTCTACCGGCATGGACTACAACAGTAACACTCTTGATATCCTTGGACGTGGTCTTGGTTCCGTGATTAATTACGTCATCAAGGACGTTTCTCAAATTGGTCAAGATGCCGGTGTTGAGGTGAGCGGAATCCTTAGAGATGTTGTCCACGATGTTCTTGGTGGCAACAAGAGATCTCTTGATGAGTTGAATGCCAAGCTCGAGGAGATGGAGAAGAGAGAAGCTCACGACATCCACCACTCTTTGATGCGCCTTGTCTCCGACTTGATGGGAGCTGTTTCCGGTATTGCAACGGACACCGGTGCCAGTTTGCAAAATGCCGTCGGTGCTGGCAGTGTCAGAGGCACTCTTGAGGGACTTGGTCTTTAAGTCCAAAGTAAGTTTTTTTCCTCGACGGAGGTTTTTTTTCGGTTTTGGATTGGTTTAGTTTATTTCTAGCTATGATCTATTGAGTGAAAGTTAATCGAAATATGTTTTTCTATGTTTGTAGTTGGCTCCTCCAACCACCAGTATGAGACCAGAACATTAACGTATAACGTACAACCAAGTGAAAGACGCGATGGGCTCAGATTTGGTTTAAAAGGCTACTAGCCCTGCATCCTTCTGCATTCCGCTGCATTTTTACCGCGTTTGCATGTGTTTGGCATAGTCAAGTCACATGTCAAAAGTACTTCTTCATTTCTTCTTAAAGTCGGCTAGAGTTGAACTCGTATTGTGTCCAAAACTAAACGCAACTGTGCTAATGTACAGACGGGGATGCATTCAGAGGCACAGAATCATCCTGTGTGCGTCCACGAAGTCTCTTTTGCATGTATTCGTCGTAGCGCAATGTTTTGCGCTTCTGAAGATAGTTGAACATCAAATAGCAAACCGGGACATATGCTAGTAAGCAGCCTTGCAAAAATAGTTCGTAGAACTTTCCTTCCACATATCCAAGACTGAGAAACAATAGGACAGCCTCACTAGCAAACTCTAGCGGTAATGTCAAATAAAAGTGGTGATACTGAAGCCAGAATAGCCAGAGTGGTGATGTCTTCGTTTTCAACCGAAACGCGTGGTATGTAGCATCAATCAAGTAATGTAATGACCATGCTACGATCAACACAGAGTACATTGTATGCTTAGCAACAGTTGGGTGTGGATAAATAACCCCGTAACATACCCAAACCATACGCAATGCAGAGAAAAGACCCCACAAATCAGTCACTGAGTAATCTCTTCGGCTGCACAGATTCACAACGAAGAAGCCAATGAGTGGCAATGTTGCCACAATGTGGAAGAAGTCGGCCATTCCGCCAGGAAGAAATCGCCTGCCAACGAGCGGTAGAAGTATGCAAAATCTCCCAAGACAGCACAGCCAAAGCGTGGCGGCGGTAATGTTATAGAAGAACACAACCCTTAAGTTGAAAGGCAAAGGATAAAAGGTCATGGTGATGAAGAAATTAAAGAATAGGCTATGCTACATCTGGACGCTGGGCGCTGCACCCGTACATCATGCATATTGCTTCTCCAAACATAGAGTCTACTCTGCCATGGAATGTTGTAACGTGTTTTCCTGCTTTTCGAATAACTTCCTGCGATATTCCAAGCTAATTTGAGGACATGTCTATTCCTTGTAGGTTGCAATGCATTGTGGTGATACGTGAACTGTTTACCCCAGATGCGACGTGTGATGTTCAAGTTTCTTTTATGTACACCTGTTTCAAAGGCGAAGAGCACCAAGACCGATGAAGTTGCGCTTTCCATTGGTTCTCATAGCGCTCTTATCTCTTGTCGCTGCCCTCTGGAGTTCGGAAGACTATGAGATATTCAGTTTGAATGACAAAGTTCGGAAGGATCTCGGCCCAGACACAACGTTCTATTCATGGCTCGGTCTTCCAAAAGGTCCTAAATCCACCAAAGAGGAGATTGTTAAAGCGTACAGAAAATTATCCAGAAAGAATCATCCAGACAAGCTCAGAGGTAAGTCTTATAAGCATAAAAAGAAAGTTGAAGAAAGGTTTCAACGCCTTTCTGCGGTGGGAAACATTTTGAAGAATGAATCATTGAAAAAGCGTTATGATTATTTCTACAGAAATGGTTTTCCTACTTTGAAGGGAACCGACTATCTCTATTCAAGGTTTCGGCCAGGCATTTTTGTCACATTGTTCGTGGTGTTTGTCGTCGTGTCCTCCTTTCAGTATATCTCTCTTCGTATAAGCAGAAGACAAGACTTCAAGAGAATTTCCACTATTGTGGATGATATTAGATTGCAGGCTTGGGGCAATTCACTAGTTCCTCCTCTGGATGGACTGGCAAGGAAAGTTGTTTCTCCCAATGGCAAAGAGTTCCTTGTATCAGCTGTTGGAGATGTGAGTTTAGTGGATCGCGACGAAGATGGGAACGAGTTCTTGTCCCCCCTCGATGCAAATGCCATTGATGTCAATCCTGGGTTTAAAGAGTCTTATTTTTATTTATTTCCGTGCTACTTGTGGAATTCTACTTTAGGTCGTTTGACAGGTTATATTATAAACACCAAAAGCACCTACGTGAATACCAAGAGCAAACAAACACTGTCTGATTCCGTTGAACATGGGAAGAAGAAGAAGAAGAAGGCATCCCAAAAGGGTACAAAAGTAGAGTTACCCAATGGTAAAGTTATTTATAGTCGTAAGAAACAATGAATCGAGTGAAAGGCTTATATTAAAAACTACGATAAAAATACCGCCATAATGCCATAATTCTTGGTAACAACTGTATCACCCTTTATGTTTTGGAATTCGCCGAAGCTGATTACCATCCTCCTCTTCATCAGAAGAGCTAGATCCCAGAAGATTCTCTAAGAACTCATTATCCTGTAGTTCGTTGTCAGGGAAACCACTGTTGTTGCTTTCAAAATCGTCGTAAATCATATCGTCGTTATTCTCGAAATTCAATTTCGGTGACATCTTCTGGATTTCCACATTCGATAATTTTGTGTCATGTTCATCTTCGTCGAATTCTGTTCCCAAGCGGTCCTCTTTCAGTGGATTTCTTCGAACAAATTCATCATGGTTTGATGCGTCTCCGAGAATGATGACATTTTTCTTGCCATCATCACCATTATCACCATTATTGTATGCTTCATTCTCGAGATCCATGTATCCGACAGTAGATGAGTCAAACCCAAATGCGTCTTCATCTGTTCTATCACCATTGTGATTATGCTGTTCATCTTCGGTATATTCTGCGTCTGCGCCTAGAATCACATTGTATAGTTCTCGGGTTTTGAGTAGGACATTATTGACAAACCATTCCCATTCCTTCGATCCAATACATTCAACGAGGACTGGGGATATTAGCGCTGGCTTATACAACGAGGTAAACTTTACCACTTCTTCACTGATTAGAATCAAATGACCCATGTACCCAGGTCTTGGGTCCACCTCCTTGGCAAAGGAGCTCAGGATCATGTTAATTATATCACATCTATCCTTTCTGAAAAGCTCCACTATTAAAAACGAGTTGTATGAATTCAATTTTCCGTTAAAAATCTGCTGAACTAGGTCAAATACAACATTGTGAAAGAAGTTATGCCACTCAAAATCTTTGAACCTGGTAATTATTTTTCTTAAGATACCCAGATCGATTAGGGCAATTTTGAACTTATCCCCAGCACACGGATTCTTTCTGAATGTCTCGTCTCTTTCGTCACAGACGAAAGGGTTTTCAGATGACACAATGGGTTCGTCGTCATCTGACTCAGAATACTCAAGCTCTTCGATCATTCGTCTGTATTTCGCGTCATTAAAGTTTGACTCGATGGAGGATAATTTTTGTGGCTTTTTTTGATGAACTTCCTTCAATGATACGTCGTCCATGCCCATAGTGACATCTGCTAACTCTTGCAGATCCAGCAAAGTCTCATTCGAGTTCTTTTCATCCGTTAAAAGTGTTTCATTTAACGCGTTTTGGATGCTTTCATTTTGCAAATCCCTGACTTGATCTCTTGTATGATTTATAAAAGCGATCTTTCTCGAGTTGATGAGAATCATGTTTGAGCAATGCAACAATTCTGCAACCAACTCAGAGATCTTAAACTTGGACATCCCCAAATAATTAGGGTTCACTACTTCCTCACTTACATCTGCATCAATAAGTTCTGAAAGTTTGTCAAGATTCTCTGAGAAAACTTCAAGGAGATCACCCAAATATACTGGATCACGGGGTCCTGGAGGATTCAGTTCAAAATCTTTAAGCCAATTGAACATTGATTGAACATTTACTTCCCCAGTGTTGTCAGCCATAGCCCCTGGCTGGTTCTGGCCATAGCTCACATCGTAATCAGAGTTGTTCTTGCGAATCAACTCAATCAAGATGGATACACAGTTGCTGATTCCGTGTTTGTTTGTGTATGTAATTGAAGGATTCTCTTCATCGGGGATGCGGAACAAGATGATCTCCTCTATCATTATGCGAATCATTTCAGAAGAGGCAAGTTCGCGAGTGAGCGGGTTAGGTCCAATATTTGTATCCATGTCTACCGCAAGAGAAGCATTGGAAGAAATAGTTACAAGGGCCTTAGCCAACTCAGTCGCAGCCGTTTGGCGAAACAATTGATCAGCATCTGGAATATAGTTCAAGGACTTGTCGAAGTGTGCCAAGTCAGGCTTCAAGATGTTGATAAGCTTGGGAATCATGTTTTGTTGATGCAAAACCTCCAAAATGCCTGTCGGAGAATCTAACTTATCAGTCTGGATGACTTTGAGAAAAAAGTCCATCAATATTGGGATTTCAACCTTTCCTAGAAAGGTGTCTACCAAATTGCTTTGCTTGCGAATGAAATTTAGCAATTTGATAGTGTTGGATTCCATGAGATGATCCAAAATTTGCACGAAGTAAGCCACTGATGGTGACCTTTCCACAAAATGTGGTAACGAGATGATCAGCCATAATTTATTCATGAGACTAGGCGATTCAATAATTTGATTCGATATGACCCACATATCCACCGAAAGGACATCTGCAGAGCATTGAATGCAGCGGCGAAGACGGTCTTGCTTCAGCTCGTTATCATTGCCGTGGCTAGAGCCTATGTCTTCATTACTTTCGTCCGTTGGCTTATATTCACCTTTTGCATGCTCCAGTTGCTCCTTCTCTTCTTGAATAGCTAAATCATGATAAAATTCAACGCTCTCCACTATGTAATCCATAAATCCATCGAGAATGTGAGGCTGCATTATCAATTCCAAAATCTTCGCTTCTCTTGCATTCTTGGAAAACGAGTTACCCCCAGTAGACTCGCTATTTGATGATACAGATATGGAATCAGAATTGGCGTTGGAAGCATTAGATTTGGCCAGGGAATTATCGCTCTGGAGCAGTTGGACCAAATGAAAACTATCTTTATCACTGCTTTTTGATGCAAGTCTTTTGAGCTCATCCATAAAGTCCTGTTGAAGGGTTTTGTCATCTAAGATGTTGTCCACAGTAACATTGGAAAAATCAAGCACGGAGTCCAAGAATTTCAGCAAGTGATTGCTATTACTGTAGGAATTTGAAAATGGCCAGAAGGACATGCTCTTGTTGATGTGTGGGTGAGGTGGTGGACGATCTATATACGGCCAATCAAGACAGCGCCAATCAGATAAATGTCTCAACTAGTCTGAATAGTCAGCAGGCAATGAGATGCAATTTTTTGACCCTAGTTGAATTGAAAAGGCTAGTCTTCGAGAATTCTGCTAGCTTGCGCTATTGCTTTTTTTGAAGCTCTCTTGGGGTGGACACTGAGTTGATTGACTCTACTGACCTGTATTTGAGCCTCGTGATAAACGTCCTATCTGTGTATGCACTCTACTTGAAGCTACGGCAATAGTCTTGATCTCACGAAAAGCGGACATAAAACATCCATCATTAAGCCTATAATGTGACTGTTTTTTACTGCCACTAGTCAGTCGTTTCCAATTCCTCCACCTGGTGTATGAGTTCTTCAAACTGTTCCTCGTAAGCTCTGATCAATTTACCTGCTATTTCGCGCACTGTACGACCACAAGTTGAAGCATTATGTAGCATCCACTCTTTGACTGCCATACATTCTTCTTCTTCTGGCATTGCGGCGATAAATTGTGTAATTAAGCCTTCTGAATCATCATGTAGTTCCTGTTTAGTCGCTGCAACTTCCGCCAAGTAATCTATTGTATCTGCGAGAGCTTGCATTTCAGACACAACGTCATGGAGGGAAATAGTGCGTAAACATTTCGCTTCCATGTTCAGTTTAGCTTCCTGTGCCAGTCTATTTCTATCAGTTGCAGATTTTTCCACCAAATCGTATTTTGGTTCTGTGTTAGTTTCTTTGAATATAATACGTGTTTCACTCCATTGGTCAGAACTCATGCGGGTGACAGAGCCTCTTTCTCCGCGAACAGCAATTTGTGGTGATGATTCAAGGTCCCTAATATCTAATTTATGGGTCTCGATCCCGGTGTGTTTGTCAAGTGGTGGAGTTTCATTTTCATGATCGCTAAATGTTGATCCTTGAGCAAGAGGGGAGGTTATGGATGGTGCATCTGATTTATGCTCTGCATTCGCTTGCTCTTCTTTAACAATTTCAGTAGAGACTTCTCCTTGAATGGAAAGAAGTTCAGGCAGTCCTGACGCAGAATCTTCGATTTGGGAAACATCGTTATTAACATCGGGCTCACCTTCGTTCGTAGCAGACAATTCTTTGCTTATCTGTTCCAAGTCATTTACATACGTTTGATACGATGTTGGTGAAAATGCAATGTTTGGGAATTCGCTCTCTTCTCCATCCGCTATCGAGAGAGCCTTTGAGCCTTCGGATCCCTTTGGAGAAGAGTAGTGCCTTTCTCTATACTTTGTAGAATCTTCTGATTTCGCAACTTCGGGAGTGTCCTGCCTTGTATCTTTTGTAAATTCCGGAGAGGTGCTTCTTATTTCCTCTAGAAGCTCTCTTTGTATTTCCTCTCGGAGTTCCTTTTTGAGTTGCTCCTTTAACTCCTTTCTAAGCTCCTCCTTTATAGACTGCCTGATATCCACAGCAGAATAATAATTATGGTTTCCACCCCCATCAGTATGAATTTCCGCTTCTGTAGGCTTATTTTGTTGCGATAAACTGTTTTTCTCTGTATTGGATTTACTCTTTTCATCATTTCCTGAAACCCTTTCATTTTCCAAAGCCACGCTTGTTTTTTCAATCGTCGGATTCTCCGTTCCAGCATTAATACTCTTTCCTTCCACTGTATTTATTGAGGTCCCCGCATGTTTAAAAATCTCTGTCTCGCCGACCTTATCATCCCCAGCAGAAGATCTCAATCTCAGTCCATTGAAGTGATCTTCTTCTTCAAGGGTAGTCCCATTATTTACGGAATTTGGAATCAATTCAGCTATTCTTCTACTCGCACATTCCTCAGAAGCCACGGCAGCCACATTCTCATGTCTTTCGCTAATTGCATGATCATTCGGGGATGCAATTGTTTTTTGAGGTGATACAACAGGTTCTGCATCACCAACCATATCCTTTGAAACTGATTTTTGACCTAGATTCTCAAGATGAGAAGAATCTTTAGCGTTAGTAGGACTGCTAAGCTCTAAATCACTATCTGTATCGTTTGAAGAGACTTTAGAATCCTTCTGTTGATGCTTGCCAAGACTGCTAACATCACTTATTTCATTCACATTGAGTCTCAATCCTTCATTCTCTTCAATTTTTCCAACTGGATTACTTTTCTCTGGTGAATTCTTCAATTCATTTGCATCATTTGGCAATGGGTCATTCATCGATATTGCATTTGAACCCTGGACATTACCGAGACTAACTTCTGGGGAGGACTTACGCATTAGTTGTTCACTTAAAGTTGAACTGTGACCCTGATCTGCAGTTTCCGTTATGTGTGTTGGCAGCAGTTGCGCCACCACTTCGGAGGCTTCAATTCTTACTTCGTTAGAAGATATTTCTCCGGTTGGTGTGGATTTCTCCATAGCCGCCTCCATAGCAGTACTTTCCTTTACTGCGGGGGTGTTGACTTTCGTAGCCCCTGAGGTATTTAATTTGATAGGGACAGGTTCTTTATCAATCGGATGTACATCTTTCTCAAGGAATGATATGTTTGACTCATCATAGTCGCCTATGTTCTGGTTGGATAAGTCAAATAGTGCAGGAGTTGTGGTAGTATCTTCTGTTGATTTGAGGACTTTCATTTTTCTTCCTTTCTTCGGCGAGTTTAGAATCTGCTCCAATTGAGCTTGGTCCAAGTCCATATCATCACTAAATTGTGATTTGAGACGCTTAGAATGAGCGTGCTTTGAATTATCTGTCTTCCGCCTCTTCGTTCTTCTCGAATCGGTTTTGATTGATAGTACGTCTTCTTTTTCTGACCCAGAAGCCTGGATGTCTGACGAGTCCGCACTTAATGTATATTCTGAGTCTGAATCAACGATGTTTAAGGATGAAGTTCCATTCTCTGTATCCACCTCACCCCCTCCAGCATCTTCTGAGTTTTCTATTTCAGAGTTTAGAATGAACGATCCATTCTTCCTTGAAAATACATCATTAGGCTTGGTAATAGATGAGCTATTAACTGATTCAGGTTCGCTATCTGAACTTTTGAGTTCTGACTTTATATTAATGTCTGACATTTTTCCTGTTAGAAGGTTATTTGGGGACTTCTTTCCAATATTGTTAGTATTATAGATGGCATCCTTTTTAGTCTTCCGAATATATTTTCGTTGTGAGGAGAAATTCTTAAAGATAGTGCCCTGATTCTGATTTTCTAGATCGTCAATAGAAAAATCGAAAGCATCAAAGCTCAAGTGAGGGGACAGTCTACTTTTGATAGACAGCAGTCGTGGATGACGATCCGTACTTGGTGATTCTAAGCCTCTCACTCCCAAGTCACTTAGTATATTTGTGTTGTCCTGAGGTTTCTCCAGAGGTGATCCTTTCGCAGATTCTGACTTGGGGGTACTTGGTCCAAGAAGACGTGAAAGCTCGCTCAGATCTATCAGGGGACTCCTTCTATCGTTTTCTTCTTTTTCAAATTCCGTGTCTTCCGCTTCATGTTTCTCCTTGTTATGTGTTTCCTTTTCATGGTTCTCCTTCTCATAAATTTCTCTTTCGTGGTTCTCCTTCTCGTGGATCTCCTTATTATGCATTTCCTTTCCAATTGTATCCAAAAAGTAACAGTAAGCAAAAGAGTTATTCTTGTGTTCTTGTAATGGATCATCCATAGGCTCCCAGTCTTCTAAAGGACAATCACAGTACATGCAAATGACACGATCACTGCCTGGCTCCACCGGGGAATAATAGAACCCTGCTTGAGCAAGATTTTCACTCGAAACTTTGCATTCTTCTTGCGTATCAAGCTTCCAAAGCTTTTTGAATGTGGAACGCCGTAGATTAATGGACTCTTCGCTGTGAGGATGTATTATTGAGTTCGGAACAGACTTAGATGCGGTTAAATTCTGCCAGAAAGTACTCTTGTTAGAAGCCATGATGAAATGCTTTAAGTTGGAGATGATAAGTGAGTAAGGACACGCGGGATTATTAATAAGGTGAAGCGATACTATGGATGTAGTTTCTTCGACATTCTTCTCTTTCTTCCCACACCAGAAACACGTTATTTGGTGTGGATAGCTTTTTGTAGGTGTGTAGTAAAATCCGCTATCAGCAAGGATATTGATATCTAACAGCTTTAGTGACCATTTCCTCAAAGTTCGGGAATTTCCAACCTTTGCACCATCTGTGAATGTCGCTAGTCGGTTTTTGCGATACTGAAATACATCATTCTGTTTCACCATTGTCACCTATAGTTAAAGTGTGAGATTGTGATGCGCGCGTTTATCACATTTAGAGTACCAGATGTAGTCATTTCGTTGAGAACCGCGAAAAGAGTAATCAACGAAAGGAAGTTGAAAACCCATAATGATCAGAAAAACATAGAAGACATTGGAGATCAAGTACAGTATAAAGATTCATGTAACATCTAAAGTTTGTTTATTGCAGAAAAGAAAGATTGCAAGTTATAGAAGTAAAGGATGTACAAAAACTCACTCAGGCATGGCCAACCAAGTATTGGATAGTACGCAATGCTTCGTATTTTAATTCATTATTGCCACCGTTATTTTCCAAAAAGTTCATGATCAACAATTTGTACTGGCCATTCTTTTCAGAGTTGATGAAAGTGATCAAATCAGAACCCAAGTTTTTGATCAAAAACTGCAAGTCATTCAATAAAATCACTTTAGATACGCCGCTCAACGACAGATCATCAGACATCAAAATGGACAAGATTTTTTTAACCAAAGCGTAGTTGGAATCTTTGAACTTGTATGCATTTTCCTGCCAAAATTCACTCGACTTATGAGTTGGAGAAGACCAACTCAACAAGTTGGGGTTTTCCAATTCAACCAAGTATTCATCTAAAGAAGTCAATTTGCTGGTTACAACCTCGCTCAATGTGTCGCTCAAGTACTGTAAATCGTTTGATAACTCCTCATCACTACCATTAGAGGCAAACTTTCTTGTCTGAACGGTTTTGACGACGTTTAAACCATTCTGGAACAATTCTAACTTCATCGACAGTTAAATGTTTTGCGTTCGAGTTCACAAACGGAAATAAAGTTCTTCATAGTGAAACAGCAACTCTGACGACCTGAGTTTATTACCATCCTTAGAAATAGTCAACAAATTTCCAAACCAATTGTGGAAAGTTGTGAACCCAAGACCTTATTTTATGGAGCTCGAAAAAGCTCAAGAATCCAGATACACATCAACCGTTTGCATTGTACAAAAAGTTGCAAAGTTGAGTGGCGTTTGGTTGTTTCGCCAGATGGGTCAATCAACTCATTGACACTCTTGAAATTTGACACTAAATTGTTCTCTTGGAAAACTGTACGATACTCCTTACGAATCACAAGTTCCTGCAAGAACTGAACACCAATGGATTGCAAGTTTCTGTCCAGGGGATTGCCGATGAAAGCTGGCGAGCAAACCAAGTCAAAAAGCTTGATTAAAATTTCCTTGTCGACAGATACGTGCGCCTTAGAGCTCTTCAGTAACAAAATCACCAAATTATAGAAACTCAATGTTTTGATGAGGGAATCGTTATTTTCCAAATGCTTGATAAAGGGATTGTATGGCAAAGATGAGTCAATGCTTGACAACAGCAAGAGGGCATCGCAAAACAGTTGCGCCTTCTCATCCACCAACAAATCATTTATCAATACCAACACACTTTTCAAGACATCATCTCTGGAATTAACGTCCAATTTGTTCAACAAATTCAAGATGGTTTTAGTGTACATTTCTTCCGAACTCAATATAGTTTCACAGCTTGCTCTCGGCGTTTTGTGCCTCCAAAACTTTGCAAGAGATCTGCCTGGTCATTGGTGATGATCCCTGCTCTTGCTAATCCTTCCCAGGGTATAATTTTCTCTCTAATAAGTTTCTTGGAATCCGACAAGTGAGAACTGTCAATAACCAAGACGGACTAATTGTTAGTATGTTAGACCAATGGTTAACATTTGTAGCATACGAGTGCTATCATATTTAGAATCACATACATCAGAGGCCATGGTTTGTTCAGTTATTTGGACTTGATTAAAAAGGTCGTGGTGCTTTATCTGTCCGGCAATAATTTGGTGGTGGAGACACGTCCTTATTAAAGATAATCTTAATCTGAAGGGTCAAAAAAAATTATGTGCCGGTCCCAGGAATCGAACCTGGGTTTGTTCGGCCACAACGAACTGTACTAACCACTATACTAGGCCGGCTTCTGTGTTCAGTAACAAAAGTGTAAATAACAAGTTCCCTTAAACATTATTAGTGTTCAAAAGTCATTATTGTTCAATTTGTATGAGAAATAACTCTATGCATACCAGACTTTTGTAATATCTTTGTACCATTGGCTGATACTCTCAGCTTTTAGATGTTTAGTAGCTAATATAGACTCAAGGTATCATACCCGTACTTCAAAGCGACCTAAGGTATTGTGATATTACCACATAGCCATTTTCTGTTACTTTAGTAAATCTTGTTTCTGCCTTCACTTTAAAGTGGGATAAAAAGTTCAAAATCAACATCGTATACTCTTGAATGACATATATAATGTTACCCAAAATCCTTACAAATTGGCACCCTGGCCGAGTGGTCTAAGGCGCCAGGGTAAGGTTACCTTACCATACTTTCCTGGTCTCTTCGGAGGCACGAGTTCGAACCTCGTGGGTGTCAATATTTTTTGGTTCTTTTTTTATGTTTCAATCCTTTCAGTTTTTTATGTGTTACTTGATAAAGAGTGTAAAATAATTCCTAACCTTCCTTTCATGGTGCTAGCGTAGGCGCTTATCTTGTAACTATGTTTAGAGTGAATTCTCTCGACCATATTTTCGCTTATTTTTGGTAAAATGTGCACACTTTACAAATGCTAAAAGCATAATGGCAGTATTAAATAAACTAAAATCCTTGAAAAAAAAAAAGAACACAACATACTGTAATAGACTTTAATGAAATAGGAATTTGGTTATATTTCTTAGAGCTTTTTCAATCTCCTTGACTTCACATATAAAACAAAAAAAAGAAAAAAAAAACCTGCTTAGTGCCATTAACACTAATATCATAGATTCACCTGCAGGCATTATGAATCTCGCCTCAAATCCATCCTACTCTTTCCTTGCCATGAATAGCAACGACTTCGACAACCTGTCTGGAGAAGAGGAGTTCCATGAAGATGCATTGAACAATGAAGAGTACGATCTCTTGTATGAGCTCTTACCTAAAGTTCGAGAAGAAATGGAGCAATATAACTCCAGCGTTGATGAACTAAGTATGAAAGAAGCCTTGTATTACAATTACTTTGAACTTGAACCAGCACTTGAAGAATTACGCAAGAAGTTTCCCAAAAAGAAAGGTATGTTAAGATTCTTTTAGATTCGTTCTTTTTGATTTTGTTCACAACCATGTTCAGCCGAATGGTGTCTGCACTGGGCCCACAGAGATTGACTAAGTTCTAGATTGCTAATTTTCCAGAATCCCAAGGTAAGATCTCCAAACTTGCTTTGCTAGCCAAGAAACGTGCTGCATCGAATAATCCAAACAAGAGTGAAACCAATGTTCTGATTGCTGTTCTGAACGAAGATACAACTGAAAACTTATCAGAAAAATTGTCAGTGAAACCGAAGTTGTCGAAGCTAGCAATGCTTGCAAGTAATAGGGAGCATAAATCACTTAGTGACCTTAAAGTGGAAAAGGAGTGCGAGTCGCCAGCAAAAGCACTCCTAGTTCGAAAACCGAATACTTCAGGTTTGAATTTACGAAAACGAGCGGTTGAATTGAGAAGTCATCGGCAAAAGAAACTAGAGCAGAAACCATCTGTTGATCACCTGAATACAGATGTGCCTGTGGAGAAAAAAGGTGTTCCCGACGAAATCGTTCTCAAATCACAACATGATACAAACGAAGGAAATGTCAGCGTCTCATTCCATTGCGAGGAAGACCGTTCCCTTTTGCTACAGGCACCACAGGGCACTATTCTGGTTTTTCTCTTTAATGACAGCAAGCCTGCAGAACAATACTTCCGCTTTGTGAACAAAAGAAGAAAGCTAGCGTCTGAACTTTTCCATGCATATACTAACAGATTCCCTAATTTAGCCAAGGCAAGAAGTAATTTCAGTCTGCCTAGCCCTGATGATAAAGTGTTAGAGGCACAAAAGCAAGCATTTGAGAAAGACATGAATAATTTAGCAATTAGCGAGAAGCCTAAGGAGAAAAAGAAGAAGATTGTGACCGAAACGAAACCGTTTAAAAAAATCGACTTAGCTAAAGAGTTGGCAAGCAATCCAATATTCAAAAAATCAAGTAAATCATTTGTCATCATTGGACATGTCGATGCTGGAAAATCCACACTCATGGGAAGAATTTTATATGACTTGGGAACTGTGGATGCTAAAACGGTTAACAAGCTTGTCAGAGAAGCAGAAAAGTCAGGAAAGGGCTCCTTTGCTTTAGCTTGGATTATGGACCAGACATCGGAAGAGAGATCTCGTGGTGTTACCATTGATATTTGTGCAACATCATTCGAAACACCAACGACTAGATTCACAGCGATCGATGCTCCCGGACATAAAGACTTCGTTCCTCAATTGATTGGTGGTGTTTCGCAAGCCGATATCGCTTTATTGGTAGTGGATGCTATTAATGGAGAATTTGAAGCGGGATTTGTGATGGATGGGCAGACAAAGGAACATACTTTGATTGTGAAAAACCTTGGTATCGAGAAGCTCTGTGTGGCTGTGAACAAGATGGACAAGGAGAATTGGAGTGAAGAAAGATATTTGGAAATCAAAGAGCAGCTCATGCAGTTTTTGACTGGGGAAGAGGTGGGATTCGCCGCTGAGAATATATCATTTGTGCCAATCTCTGGATTAGCAGGTATAAATGTTGTCAAAAACGATGGCTCTGTGCCAGAGCTCTCATGGTACAAAGGTCCCACATTGATAGATTATCTTGAGGCAGTCAACGTTGCAGGCCACTCCCTGAGTGCATTCGATGATCTTTCCAATGCCGAGTTCAATCTTGCTATCAATGATATCGAGAGCATCTCCAACACAGAGTTCAGAGTTAAGGGAAAAATCTCCCTGGGAATCATTCAAGCCGGTAATACTGTGTGTGCTCAACCATCAGAGGATTATTTGCTAGTACAATCGGTGCTTTTGAACGGGCAGAATGTAGATGTCGCGGTTAGCGGGCAGATTGTGCAATTGACGTTCAAAGCAAGTCAGTTGAAAAATACCAACGTGGAAGCCTTATCGATTGGTGATCTACTTGTGAGTGCAAACTCTTCCGTTCGTGCAGTGAAGAGTTTCCATGCGAATGTGAACATGTTCAACATGAGTAAACCTCTTTTGGTGGGAACACCATTTGTATTGTTCCGCAACAATGCATCTGTGGCTGCTCGTATCTCCAAGATCGAGAAAATCAATGGTTCTAAAAAGAAGAAAATGCATTTGGTTGCGAAACAAAGTGCCGAGGTCATAATACAAGTACTAGACGAGCGAGCTTTACCAATTGCGAAATTCAACAATAACAAGTCTCTTGGCCGAGTTGTTATTCGTCGGGAAGGATCTACTATCGGAGCAGGTGTTGTAACCGATTTCTAAAGCCTGTAATTTTAAGATATATAGTCCACGAATAGAATTAGAAGCCCAAGAGCAAAACATGTTGTAATGATGATTTTGGAACCTCTTTTGTTTCTATCAGTTGCTTTAGCAAGGTTCTTGTTACCCATTCGTAAATCAACTTCCACTTGGTCCTGACTGTCTAGAAGATTCTCAATTTGCTCTGCTTGAGTCTCAAGGTGCATTGTTAACTCAGTTTGTAACTTGACAATGTCAACCATTGAGTGATGCAATTTTTCCACCTGCTTGAATTCGTTGGTTTTCAACGTAAGAAGCTCCTTATTTTCCAGTTCAAGTTCTTGAAGCTGTGCTTGACTAAGCTCTGCTATTTCATTTGAAGTTTCTTGTTCATTCGGGTATGATTGAATATCAATCTGATATTCCGAGCGATATGCATCGACAGCATCCATTTCATCATCATCGAGGTTTTGGAAATGTAGAAGATTAAGTTGCTTCTCTCTTTCTGATCGCTTGCGTTGCATTTTTTCAAACTTTTGATTCACATTCTTAGTAGTTTCGTTCAAGAATCTTAATATTTGTGTCCGGTGAGAGGAGAGCGTAGACACATAGAGAGATTTTGGCTCGTATTCATCAACTGAAAACAAAGCCAGTACAAATCCTTTTTGTTTTTTCATCGAAGTCATGACATCATTTCTCTTCTTTTCGTACGACTGTAAATGTTTCAACTTTTCATATACCTTCTGTACGTTGACCTTGAATTCTTCGTCGATCTTATTCTTGTCTTCGACGCGGAGTTCTTTCCTGTGCTCCAGTCCAAATTCAGAGAGCTCATCGCTCACCTGTAAGTAAAGAGGTCTAATTTTCTGGATGAACGTTGCCATGTTGACTAAGTTGCTAAAGACTTCTTTACATTCTTTGAGAAAGGAGTCATTCACAAAGTAGGACGGAAATTGTGTATCAGGTGGTGGGGATAAAGACAGACCCAATTCCTCTTGGACGATATTAACACATTTTCGGAATAAAGGCGTCAAATCGCTCATGGTGTTTCGTCTGTTCTGGTTCCAAGTTCACATTTCGAACTGTGCGACGTACAGGTACAATGTTAACTAAGAGCGGACCTTCCATGTTATTAAGACTAATAAGTTCTCTCAATTCCTTACAGTATGCTTAAATGTTTTTTATTCTTTTATATCCATATTCCTTTAGTCTTCAACTTTTTTTTTTCTTTCCACTACATTATCCAGAAAGATACTCAACGCACTTCGTAATTTCAACTGCATCCTTGCGACCAGTATCAGGATCTGTGACTGGATATGTCTGTGACTCATACAAAATATTCCATCTACCCTGAAGAATGGAGCTGCTGATGTTCTCATGGGCCGCATTGTACTCTTTTCTGAATTCCGGGTCGCCTTGCACGTAGTCCACATAATCAGGTACACCAGGATTCAAAATATTGTCAGCAAAAATGTACGTACCGGGCCCAATGAGGGAAAGCGACTCAAGAACACGGAGGTCAGGAACGTACATGTCTTTCCAATGGTCAATGAAGATAGCATCAATTGCCTTATATCTCTTGTATTCAGAGGCAATACGCTCGGCAAAATCAGGGAGAGTAGATCCGGCTGGGCCCACAATGATCTCAACCATATGAGAAAGACCAGCAAGATCAATCAACTTAGAAGCGATTTTGGCAAAAGCAGAATTGACTTCAAAACTGTAATACTTTGAGAAGCAATCATCCCTCTCTAACTCAGATAATGCGCCCGCGAACAAAATTGCCAGATATCCAACATAGCAGCCCAATTCAATCATACAATCTGGTTCCGACTCTTTGATGTGATCCAAAATTAATTGACCTTTGTGTTTACCTATGATCATCATTGGATTTTTCTTGACAAATTCATCAATGGCTTCAATGACCTTTTTAGGCGAACCTTTGATTTCCTCAAGGTTAGGCAAACTAAAAATATAATTCAAAAGCTCTTCTTCCAACGACATGATAATTTAAGGGAAAAAAAAGCGTATCCAGAAGCAAGATAAAATAGATAGGGGAAAGTATCCAAAGGAAGGAACAGGTGAACTCCAAATCACCCCAGATTATGCCTCTGTGCAATATTCCGATTCGGATGCATGCGGAGAAATTATTGCCAAACTTTCTAATTTTAAAGCGTCCTCAGAAACCTAAGATCACAACTGGGTATAGCTGTATACATAATGGCGATCCTGTTCGCATAACATCAACTGTTTTTAATGCTAAATGTTAATTGTATATTTACGTTCCTTCTTCAATCTACCACATTGCTCATCTAACATATGCGCAATACTACATACATAGAGGTCTTCGCATTCCAATACTCTTCATGTCTTCATCAGTACAAGAACGTTTGGAGATACTCAAGAAAAAGAAAGTACAGTGTCAGGAAGCACTTAATAAGCAACTTGCTCTAGAACAAAAGATCCAAAGGACCAAAACACAGGCATTCGAAGATGAGGCTATACATATAGACGAAGAAAACGAAATGGATACACTAGATTGGACAGCAAGTCAATGGGAAGCACATGAGCAAAAGTACAAGAAACAAGAAGGTGGATACAAAGACCTTACAGATTTGGCATACTCTACCTACCAGAAGGCCACGCGAAAGAGAGCCGTGGATATGGAGAAGTATAAGAATGAGAATCATCTATCACCCTTTGAGGTGAAACTGACCAAAGAGGATGTGGAAAACCTTTCAAAGTCATTGCAAGAGGCAAGTGAAATCAAGAAGAAGCGAAGACGAAAAGAAGAGGACGCGGGCACGTACATAACTGAGAAAAACCGCCAATTCAATATGAAGTTGGAACGTGAGTATGGCAGTTGACATGAAGTCAACAATGGCAGAGGCATATAGAAATATAATCAACAGGATACAATTCACCAAAGCACCCGCACCTGGTGGAGAATTTCGACAATAGAATACCGAAGATCAACAAATATTAACCAGAATGTTCAATCAACATGGCATGAGGCAACTAACTACATTATCATGCAGATATTTGATGCATGGAACCTTTATTCGTAGAAGACGAAAATAAACAGCTAGCTGCGATCGTAACGATGCTTAGGCTTGCCAGCAACCATATGTGGCTGCATGGAAGGAGTTGCACGATCGGACAATATGAGAGAAGATACGATCATTGATGTTGCGACTAACAGACCAAGATTAATGGCAGTATTATACCATTCTATCCCGCCGGCAACCAAGGTTCTACACATTCCGTGATCTGAGTCCAATGCGCGGTCTCTTTATCTCTGGTGCACCCCGCAAAGTGCACTAACTACTCCTCTGTTCCTTTGATAAACCTTATCCTCAGTTTGCTTCAATTTTTAGCGCTTCACCCAATCACCAGTTCAAACGTTGGCACATTTTCTTGCTTGCAGTGTACTAGCATTTGCGTATGTTCCTGAATCTCCCACCGGAAGTTGCGTTGGAGGTTTTCCAAAAGCTTCTGCCGCCAGAGGCCCAGCAGATGCTAGAAACACTTGAGCAATTTAGTCCAGACTCAAATGCAGCACGATATAGCAACTTGCTTTATAGTCGGCTCCATTCGGGCCACGTGGTTATTTCCGTATCCGAAGTGACACCTCCACTTTATGATGTACGCTTGACACCAGAACAATTTGCCCAAAGTGTCAAGGACCCCCGTTTCTTGGCCCAATGTCCACGTATGCTCGATATTATCTTTGTACGGAATCTACGTGACTACGTGAAGTTTCAAGACAGCCTCTCTTTGTTGCGGGAAATCTTGGCCCAAACCACGGTACGCGAGTTTCTAGGACGCATCCCTCGTATATCATTCCAGTTGAATGGACGAAGTACCACCATTTATGCTCCAACGCTGTTGCTGGCCCTGGTGCTAAGCACAATACTCATGCTAATCAACGTACCCAATGTGGAGACCCTCAAAGTCAACTCTACAGATATTGGCTTGTATTTTCCAGATAGATGGGGCGCTGTTTTCACACAATTTCTGCTGTTGAAAGTATTAGCATTGCTGGACAATCTTCTTCAACTGCCGCCTCTTTTAGATCGTCGTTTCTTGTGGCCACCTAATCTCCGCGTGCTTTCACTAAACAAAAACATGCTTTCTTCTTTCACGCTAGATCTTGCTGCTCAACTTCCCAATTCTTTGGTGGAGTTAGACTTGTCAGGCAACGAACTCACAAGTATGGGAGAAGCACCCCAAGAATCTTTCTCGTTGGCAGAACAACTTCCGAACTTGCGCAAACTCAACTTGTCTTTTAACCCATATTTAGTGCGTCTTAATCACCGATTACTAGAGGGGGCTGGCCAGATGGAAAACCCACTTGAAATCCTACTAGAAGGATGCAATATTACAGACAGACAGGGGCTAAAGAACGTTGCAATAGGAGAGCAAGTGCGTCTATACTGGTGATAAAGATCAGTATATCTTGGATAGTTAATTTCCTGCGCATGTTCCTGCTTTAAATTTCTGTCTGCGTTTCTATAGTATCCGTGGTAGTAAAACCAAGTTACCGCCATGTACGATACATTTTCTGACTTATTTTTGTGATTACGAGAATTAAACATGTTCAATTGGGAAATCGAGCTTCGAATCGTTTTCCCAGCTTCTCTGGCCCAAGGAGTTATAGTGGGTGTATAGAATTGGCTCGTTTGACAAGATCCGCATTTCGCACCAAGTCCTGTATAACACACACACGCTCCTTCAGATTTGAATAGCCCAACGTCGATATTCTTCGCCTATGTTTAGTATTCGCTTGGCACAAGGACGCATATGTCCCAGTATAACAAGGCTTTCGAAGATCAATACAAATGCAATTCAATACAAGGCTGGACCAGCTCTCTTCCATTATTGTCGATTCTTATCGACGCAGCCAAACCTTCCAAAATCAGAATCTAAACCGCGTACATTGAGAGATGATTTTCCCCGGCTTATGCGCCTTGCCAAGCCCGAATTTGGAAACCTTTCAGGAGCTCTTTTATGCCTAATTGCAACTTCTACAGTTTCGATGTCCTTACCATACTTCATTGGAAAAATTATCGATACGACGAAGGAAGAAGAGGACGAGGAGAAGGAAGAGAAGGAGGGTGAACCGCTTATCTTGGGATTACCACCCACTCAGTTCTATTCGGGGTTGGTGATATTGTTTGTGTGCGGAAGCATCGCAAACTTTGGAAGAATATACCTCTTGCGCTCAGTAGGAGAGAAGATGGTCGCTCGGCTACGTTCACGGCTATTTGCAAAAGTCCTATCTCAGGATTCGTACTTCTTTGATGTCGGTCCAACACAAAAGGGCATGAAAACAGGCGATCTTATATCTCGACTTTCTTCAGATACACAAATCATCAGCAAGTCTCTCAGCGGAAATATCAGTGATGGAGCACGCTCGCTAATTTCTGGATGTGTTGGTCTTCTGATGATGTGTTGGGTCTCCTGGAAATTAACACTCTGTATGAGTCTTATTTTTCCTCCACTCATATTAATGTCGACAGTTTATGGAAGACGCATTAAGAAACTCTCTCGAACCATCCAGGATAGTTTGGGGTCGATGACAAAAGTTCTGGAAGAGAAATTTAATGGCTTGAAAACAATCCAAAGTTTTGCACAACAGAAAGCTGTAGTGCACGAATACAACCATGAGGTGAAGGACATTTTTAACAAGTCTATGCTTGAAGGGAAACTCAGTGGTGTCTATTATAGTGTTAATGGCTTTCTAGGAAACATCACTTTGATTGGGCTTCTTGTTGTTGGATCAAGACTAATCACTGCAGGTGAAATTACAATCGGTGACCTTTCCAGTTTTATGATGTATGCTGTATACACTGGTAGTTCTGTGTTTGGACTAGGAAATTTCTACACGGAATTGATGAAGGGAATCGGTGCGGCGGAACGTATATTTGAGTTGATAGAACTGAAGCCGAAGATAACGACTTCGCTTGGAAGGAAAGTGGATAATTTGCATGGTGATATTGAGTTTCGAAACGTGAATTTCGCATATCCATCGCGTGAAAACGTAAAAATATTCGACAATCTCAATTTAACAATCAAAAAGGGCGAAAACGTTTGTTTCGTTGGTCCTAGTGGCTCAGGGAAATCTACGGTTTCCCAACTTCTTCTCAGGTTCTACGACCCTCTTTCAGGTGAGATACGTGTCAACGACAACAACATCAAAGAGTTGAACCTCAATTTTTACAGGTCTAACATTGGCTATGTTCAACAAGAACCTCTATTGTTCAGTGGAACGATCAGAGAAAACATCACGTTTGGCAAACCAGACAGTACGGATGAGGAAATTGTCTATGCCAGCAAGCTTAGTAATGCCTACAACTTTATAAATGCGTTTCCAAATAAGTTTGATACAATAATAGGGCCAAGCTCAAGTGGAAGCGCTCAATTAAGTGGAGGTCAAAAGCAGAGGATTTCGTTGGCAAGAACGCTCATTAAGAACCCCAAACTTCTCATTCTAGATGAAGCCACTTCTGCTCTAGACTCACGACTGGAGGAGACAGTTACCAAAAACTTGACTGATCTCTGTAAAAAAAATCAAGTAACGATCATATCCATTGCACACCGTCTTTCAACTATCAAGAACAGTGAGCGGATCATTGTCTTGAACACCCGTGGACAGATAGTTGAAGATGGTAAATTTGAGAACCTTCTTGAAGATCCAAACAGCAAATTGAACAGATTGTTAAAAAGCGGCGAGTTTTCGGAAACTGATGCATGAGACACCACGGCATATAGCATATTTTTTTAAGAGTAATGTGAGAAAGTGAGATACATGTAAGTAATTTGTAGTCTTCATATCGTCTGCGCTCATATGCTGATGTTCTCAAATCGTGCGTACAACCGTTCCTCTTTTCGGACCCATCGCTCATATCCGGACTCCATTTGCAAACACACAAAAAAACAAAAAGAAAAAAACAAAAAGGTTGAAAAAATGAAGCATATGCACCACAGTCAACTTGCCATATGATGACACCTCAGATCTTCGACGCAGGACCTACAGTTGATAAACTGGTGTGATAATGGAACATTCGGAAGCATGCGCTAATGTCCAGTCGCACATGCAAGGAACATTTTATAAGTACTTGCGAAATAGGCCCATAATAACGTTGATCACACACCCAGAGCTTTCATTACAGCACTAAATACCAATTGTCTTAGAACCAAATAACATTTTGCCTATCCCATATTCTTCGTGTTAATTCATTTACAATGCAAGATAATTTCAAGGGGACGAAATTGTCCGCATTGGAGCGTAGAATAATGGACAGCTTGAAGATAGAAGAAAGACATGAGCAACTCCTGAATGTGCTTCCTTTGTATAGGAGAGTGACTCTGGCATTAATTCCACCTTTGCAATACTCTATTGGCTTTCTCCACCCCCATGAGGATGATTCAAAGGAAGAGGGGGAAACGGAGGGAGAGGAAAACAAGGGGGAAAAAAAGAATCCAGAAAACCTCTCTAGTGATGAAATAGATGTGGCATGCCCTTTGGAGGAAGAGCTGGCTCTGAACTCCTTCTTAAATGCGCTTACGACTGCGGTATTTTATGCCAGTGCTGAACCACTTAAATCTTATCGCAAGGGTCCTCCTAAAGAAAAGGAAGAACAAGTATATTCTGTGGCTGATGAAACAGACCAAGGAGTGGCTGCTGAAACCCTCAAGGAGGAAACTAATGAACAATTACAAATCTCCGAAGATGAGCCTAAATTCGGATCCGTTATTGATGAGAAGGACATACATGACGCCAGCCTGGTCTCTGACTCTGACATCTCTTCGGACACTTCAACACTTTCTGAGGCCCGCAGAGTCCTCACCGGAAGTGGCAAAGTGCCTGACATTGATCAAATGACTCCTTGGGAAAAATCTGTCTTTCAGAAAGTTAACCTTCTTTTGAACCATGACCAGGGTATTTTCCTGTATTCTACAGAAGAGAAAAGAGAAGAGCCAGATTTCGAAGCCTTGCCTTGGTATATTGCCAACAGATTGAAGAAGACATTCGGACTACTGGATAATGATCAATTCCATGGCAGGTTTGAAGCATGGCTCGTCCGTGACGTCCTCTTACTGGGTTATATATACTTGACCTCGAGCAGTTTGTGTTATTATTCTTTGTTACCTGGGGCTTTGTCAGAAGAGAAGGATACCAAAGACGACCGCAAGGTTGAAGAAGGTGCTTTAGGCTTCAAATTGGGGCATTATGGAGATTCTTATTACAATCTGGTTCACAAGCACTTATTTTGGGCAGTGTTGACATCACTGAATTTGTGTCTTTATACATCTTCATCCGAAATGTTTTTCCCAGTCAAAGTTGTTGATTTGAAGACAGCACTGTATTGTGAGGTCTTGACAGAGCCTGTCGGGACTTTAGGTCAAAAAAGTGAGCAACATGATACAAAATTATCCAGATCCTTGTCTGACTCCCTGCTTTCTCAGCTCGAGTCAGATGCCTCTAGCATAGCCGATTCAAGCGACGAAAATGCAGAATCATTGCAAGGTGGTGTATGGTTTAGGATAGTTTGTGACAAAAAGTCATACAAGTTCCACACCAGAAATATCTTCACAGCTCGTCATTGGTGCAATGCCATCACTAAGCAAATATTTCAGCTCAAAAATTCCAATGTTCATAGAGAAGTGGTACTAAAGATTCCCTTTGATAAGATTCTTGAGTTCAGAAAAAACTTCGTCCTTGCCGAAGCTGATGAAGATATTGTGTTAGATAATGATACTCCTGTGACTTTCACAGCGAAATACAACACCGTGATTCGCAAAAAAGGGATAGACGGCGAGCAACAAAAGAATGCGATCCCACAAAGTGGGAACGTTTCATATGATTTTGTCCATTTTCTCTTGTTTAATCAAGGTAAGGACGTTTGGGATGCGATTGAAAAACTATTAGCTGAATCTCAAAAGTTGGATGTTGTAACAGAAAGTGACGAAAGTACTCAAGGGTATGAAAATCAAGGCTTGGAAAATGTGCCTAGTATCATATCCACACTTGAAGCCGACCTCGAAAGTTCGATGTCGATTATTGACAAGATTGCACGCGTAAATGAAGATGTGTATCAATTGCGTGAACGAGAAAGATACAAGTTCAAGAACGGAGTAGAAGAATTTGCTAAACTAGGAAAGGAATCCCCGGAAAAGAATAATGTCGTATCTAAGATTCTATCGAAGCCAATGAAAAGGAAGGGAAGCTCCAAAATTTTTTGCAATTCCGGTTCGTCTGGATCTACGGAAAGTTCTTTAAATCGTATTCTCGGAGAAGATGGAAGTGGTACGGACTTTCTAACTGATTTGGTCATGGATGGTCATCACTTGCAATTTCCGAGACCATTTTCTGTTCAAACACTCAAAAGTTTGGATTTGCACATGTCATCATCCACTAAGAGCCGAAAAGAGTTGGAAAAGAATTACGCCAAGTTGGTAGCTAAGAACAAGGAAGATGAAGACGACGTGGATCCATTTTTGGATGAACAGGATGAAAGCCTGGAGATAACAAATGAATCTGTCTATACCAACGAAACAGGGAATACTCAGGACATAAAGGAAGGAAGGAGAGGATTGAAACAGAGATTCAAAATGTTATATTCCACATCTTCAATCGCACCCCCCAGATCGGATTTGCGAGCAAGCCTGACGGAGTCATTATCGTTGAAGACTGACCAGGATCGCGAAAGTGCGATGAAGAAGCTACGCAAATACTTCCACGCTGACCCATCTGAAGAGTTAATGGCAATTTACAAGGTTTATTTACGGCGCTCTATTCCAGTTTACGGAAGGCTATTTCTCGGAAAGGAAAAGCTCTATTTCAAGAGTTTGCTTCCAGGGGTATCTACAAAGATGATTTTACCATTAAAGAATATTGCAGAATGCCGCAAAAGAGTGGGCTCGGTTGTGAAGCTTGCTGGAATTAGTATTGTTCTACACGGAAGGGAAGTCATTTGTTTGGAATTCAGATCAAAAAGCGCCAGGAACGAATGCGAAAGATTGCTTTCCGTTCAGTCTAAAGCATGCCAAAGCACGCCAAAGATTGAAAGGTTACAACAAGAAGTTGAATTATCGACGGCGCTACAGAACTCTGAAGATTCTGACGAATTGTTAGAAGAAATCGAGAAGAAAGAGATCGAAGAGTTGGCGTACAGAAGGGTTAGGGAGGCTCGTGTACGGTTATTGGAGGATCGTCTCAGTACAGCTTCAGGTATAGAGTTCCCACTTATTATTGGCGAGGATCCTATTTTTTTCAGTGAGATCAAAAGCTCAGTGTCCTACAACTTCGTCCTTTCAACCATAGGTTCTAGAGGTGATGTACAACCGTACATTGCCTTAGGAAAACAGTTAATTGTCGAAGGTCACAATGTCACGATCGCCACTCATGGTGAATTCCGTGATTGGATTGTGAGTCACGGAATAAACTTCAAAGAAATCGCAGGCAATCCATCAGAATTGATGTCGTTGATGGTGAGACACGGATCAATGTCTGTTGGCTTCCTCAAAGAAGCGAGTTTAAAGTTCCGCGGCTGGGTCGGAGATTTACTTTCGACAAGTTGGAAAGCTTGCCAAGGCGCTGATGTTTTGATTGAGAGCCCGTCTGCAATGGGTGGATTACATATTGCTGAAGCCTTGGGGATTCCATATATGAGAGCTTTCACCATGCCGTGGTCTCGTACACGTGCATACCCTCATGCCTTTATTGTTCCAGATCAAAAGAGAGGAGGTTCATATAATCTCTTTACTCATGTTATGTTTGAAACAGTCTTTTGGAAAGGTATATCCGGACAAGTCAATAAGTGGCGTGTCGAGACATTGGGTATCCCGAGAACAAACTTAGCAAGAATGCGGCAAACGCAAATTCCCTTCTTGTACAACATGTCCCCAGAGATTTTCCCACCCTCTGTTGATTTCCCCGACTGGGTCAAAGTGACAGGTTACTGGTTTTTGAATGAAGGTGCTGGTGATTATAAGCCTCCAGATGACCTTGTCACATTTTTGAAAAAGGCAAGGGCTGAAAATCAGAAAGTGGTTTATATTGGTTTTGGTTCGATCGTTGTGAAGGATGCAAAAAGCTTAACTAAAGCGGTCGTGGATGCTGTATTAGCTCTGGGTGTTCGGTGTGTTTTGAACAAAGGCTGGTCTGATAAATTGAATGACGAAAAGGCGGAAAAGACAAAGATCGAGGTTGAACTTCCTGAGGAAGTCTTTAGTTGTGGATCAGTTCCTCATGACTGGCTCTTCAAACAGGTTGATGCTGCAGTTCATCACGGTGGTTCTGGAACAACTGGTGCCACTTTACGAAGTGGTTTGCCTACAATTATCAAACCATTTTTTGGAGATCAATTTTTCTATGCGTCTCGGGTAGAAGATCTTGGGGTAGGGTTGGCTTTGAAAAAGCTTAACGCTAAATCCTTGGCCAATGCTTTAAAATCGATCACTACGAATACGGAGTTTGCCATGAAGGCACAGGCTATTGCTGAAAACATGAAACAAGACACCGGAGTAATGAACGCGGTTGCAGCGATTTATTCAGAACTCACTTATGCTAAGACCTTAATCCGGTCCATACGGCTCAGTAATGAGCAGAAGAGGAATTCTGACGATGACTTGGATTCTTCCGCACAGCTTACAGGTAGCGAATCTGTGGATCTGGATCTATAAAAATACCAAGGTGAAAGAATGCGCTTGTGATGGAGGTGACAAGCGAGACAGTTGTACGACTGGTTTGGTGTGTATATGGCTTGACTCGGTTGTTTTGACTCGGATGAGACCCTCGGGGGTAGATAGTACAGAACTAATTCTGAAGGGCTACATAAGATTTAAAACGTTCACAAATAATGGACAATGTACATGTCTGAGTAGATGTTACAGAAAGGACCGAATTACGGCAATAACGGCAATAAATGAAATAGTGTGTTGTTGGTCACGTGAAATAGGGCAAGCAGTGAGTAATCGCCTGGTGCTTCATGATTATTCATATTTTAGATTTGCAAAGTGTATACTCCTGACACGAAGAATAAGCTGAACTTATATTTTTGATAACCAATTAAACCAATAGAACTGGAGAGCAATTAATTACGAAATTGCCTGTTTCTTTCAAATCCATATAATTCGCAAGAATGTCGAATCCGATCTACAAAGATATCACCGAGGAAACAAATCGAACCAATCGATTCGCCGCTATGGTGCCTGGTCAGACAATTGTTGAGATCCCTGAATTCCAACTTGAATGTGGTGAAGTGCTTCGGGACTTTCCCATTGCTTACAAAACGTGGGGAAGACTAAATAAAGATAAGGACAACGCTTTGCTTATTTTGCCATGCACTCACCGGCTCTTCCGATGTGCTGGATTGGTGGGGTCCTCTTTTGGGTACAGGTCTAACTTTTGATCCTTCTCGTTTCTTTATCATTTGCATCAACTTTTTGGGCTCGCCATACGGCTCATGTTCGCCTGTGTCTATTGAGAAGGCAACAGGGAAACCGTATGGACCAATGTTCCCTCTCGTCACAGTGAAGGACGATGTTGGCGTTCAGAAGCTAATCTTGGACTCATTGGGTGTGAAAAGTATAGCATGTGTTGTTGGTGGATCTATGGGTGGTATGGCTGCACTAGAGTATTCTTCCATCTACAACAATACGGGATATGTGAAATCCATTATTGCCTTGGCAACAGCTGCGCGTGCTAGTGCATGGTGCATCTCATGGAATGAGACCCAACGCCAATGCATTTTCAGCGATCCCAACTATGATGACGGTTATTATTATGAAACCCCTAATCTTAGTCCAAATGGCGGACTAAGTGCTGCACGTATGGCGGCGTTGCTTACGTATCGGTCCAGGAACTCTTTTGAAGCTCGTTTTGGTCGTAAGTTACCTGCGCAAACAAAACGGGGAGTCCAAGAGGAGAACGTGAGATTGCCCAAGAACAAAGAAGAGGAGAGGTGGCTCACACATAACGAAGGATCTAGATCTTCTCGAGCATCGTCCAGTACGTCTCTCGCGAATGCAACCGATAAGCCACAAACTTATTTTACTGCTCAATCTTACTTGAGATACCAAGGCGATAAGTTTGTGGCCCGTTTCGATGCAAACTGTTATATCTCCATCAGTAGAAAGCTCGATACGCATGATATCACTCGCGGAGCCATTGACCCAGATGAGTCCACCGAGGATCCACTTCCAAATTATCTTCGCACATTGAAGTTGCCTCACTTGATTATCGGAATCACTTCCGACGGCTTGTTCACGTATGGTGAACAACAACTTTTGGGGGAGTGTATCCCGAACAACTCTTTAAAGAGGTTGGACTCACCCGAGGGCCACGACGCGTTCTTGTTGGATTTCGAAATTGTGGACCGCTATTGCAGGGAGTTCTTGCACGAGCAATTACCCGAGTTTTATGACGATAAATCTGGAAAAGTGGAAGTCTTCAAAGATTGGGAAAACCATGTGGTTACAGTGGCCAATGGTGGAGAATCTGTATTTGGCGAGGCAGAAAAGAACATCACGAACTGGTGAATAGAATTATATTAGATATGCAAAAGCATCAGTAAATTATTCAGAGTAGAGTAAAAATTGTCATACTCATCACCCAGATGACCTTTGTTTCGGAAACGACTGAACTATACGTGCATATTCTACATGTTTGCATACACTACTGTTGGTGATGAGATGGACAACTTTCCCATGTATCAATTCAAAGAAAAAGGAGAAATAGAGCCGCTATATGAAAGGATCGAATATTTGAGCTTGATATCGGAATCCCCGGATATTAAAACGGTGGTGGAGAATATCTCTGGCCAATATTTTGTCTACAGAAGAAACGACTTCCAACAGATCTGGAAGCTTGTCAAGTACATAACAGATTCTGACTCCAAGCATTACTCCATAGAAGCAGCATCGGGAACAGACATTCTTTCCTGTCGTTCACAAGATGGCCATATTTCCCTCAATATTTCTCAAAGCACCATTCTCCAGAATAACTATGTTACAAGATACTTAAAGTTTACTAAAACTATTCCTGCCAAAAGTTCCCTACATCATGAAACACGTTACCATTGCCGTGTAAATGTGGATGAGAAGGCAAAGTGGAACAAAGATCTTGTTACTTTTATTTCCCAAACCTTTTCAAAGTGTAAAGTGGAGATATTGCTGGACATTGAACTTCCGTTTGAACTTGAACGCATCAGACCTACATTCATCCAAAAACAAATCGCTTCCCACTCGAACCTCAGTCCGCTTAATTATGCCGAGATTAATAATGAACTATCCGTTGATATGTATGAATACTTGTGTTTGTTACATGTCGATGGTCTTCCCAATAGAAGCGACGAACATGTCAAACTCACAAACATGTACGAAATCCCACAGGTTCCACTTTTGAGAGAGAATCCTGGTTTTTCTACGTTGTACTTAACTGTGGCTGCCGATGTGAACCCTTCCATTGTGTCTGCGTTGAGTGCTAACACTCATGTTTTATCTTTTTTTGCAAGAACCAGAACACATAATTTTATGGTTCTTCAATCCAGAAACTCCTATTTGTGGAAGGTAACTCAAGATAACAAAGAAATATGTTAAATTCTCAAGAACGACTATGTACAGAGTCTCGCCGTTAATAACTCTTTTGTGACTAGCCTACTTGCACCAGCCATGTCATGTAGGTTTGTATTCACCTTGATAACTGTCAAAGATGATGTTAAAATCGTCGAGATTAAGATTGTAGTCAACATTGCCCAGTGCGATATGCTGCGGTGGGGGTTGACTATTATAAAGCACCGGTTTTCCCAAAAACGGTTTTACGGATAGCATCTGCATCCACCAATCATCAACTTCTGGATCAGTGACTAAAGGTATTGATCCTGAAGGTGTTCCTCCGCCGTTGGAAAAAATATCTCGAATGTCACTTGACGGAGTGTCCACGCGGAACTTGAGCGAGTCTTTAGATTGAACCTTATCTAGGGAATGCTTCATCAAGGCAACCATGTCTTCCAATATATCATTGTTGAAGGCCATTCTGGTCTCCTTCCCTTTGCACCAACTCAAATAAAATTCTGGATTTTCTCGAATCTTCTTCATTTTTCTCTGCGCTTTTAAACAACGCCAACTATAATAATACCTGTTACTCAAAGTAGAACAAATATCAAGGAAATAATTGAGACAAGCGCAAGAAAGATCATGGACTTCATTCAACAAATCATACCTCCGCTTATAACCTGAATCGCACAATAAGCTTCTCTCATGATTGTGCAGAGTCTCACACTCCAACATAGAAAAGCGACACCTCATCGAAACAGCCAATAGAACGATGAGACACTTATGCGTAAGAGTTTGAAGAGTTGGAGCAAAAGCAATGTCTGTGGAATCGCGAAACCAAACACTACTTTTCTCAGCATAACCATCATAAAACGGCAAAACAATGTTTAACGCAACGTTAAGCACCTTTTTAAGATAAAAATATGCCAAGTTGAGATCACCCAAACGTTCATAAAAATTGAAAAAGTGAAAGGAAACACATAATATGAAAAAATTCATCTGCATATATGTCTTGGACTCAATGGCGGCTGCCGCATCAACTGGTGTTAATTCAGTCTGTTCAAAAATCTCCGGTTTCAAATCATTCAAGTATTCAGCTTCCAATTTATCAAGGAGCTTACAGAAGCATGCAACATTCATTTGGTTACCTACCTTGGCAACTTTTGAAACCACTTGATGTAGTGGATCATAGAATTTGTCGAAGCGCCGTAATATCTTGACAGCATTTGACTCCACTTCAGTATCTCTGACATTCTCATTACCAGGTTCGTAATAAGGAGGGCTTGTATCAAAGTAATCCCTATTAGTACAAGGCGCTAGGCCTGTACTTATACTTTCCGTAATATCCAAATTTAACAAAAAATACCAGATTTTGCGACACAAATGGTCTGTCTTTTCGTCTCTAGCTCTCTGACCATAGCGGTCAGGCTCACGATGAAGACCTAGACTAAGGGCAGTATTAACTAACATTGCAGTGTTAGCTTTTGCATTCGTGTCATCAGCACTATCACAATTTTCAGGCGCATAAATATAGTACAACTTAAGGTAGAGACAAAGCTGCAAAATTCGAAGGTTACTGTAGCGTAAAAAGCCAAACTGATGAAGACTCATTTGTGCAAGGTCCACTGAATCCATAGGGATTGGATTAGACATCAAAAACAGAACTTCTTCGGCCTCTTTAGTACTTTCTTGAGGATAAAGTCTAGCCTCATTGAGAGCCTCAGAGTTTTTGAAGAGTGAGAGATAACCAAAACGAAGCACAATAATGAGGAGGCCCATGTATATAGTGTCCATTTTTTGAGTTGTATAAATTTTGGTTATTTTCTCATGCTCTCTGCTGTCTGAACCGAGAAGACGAGCTATCTGAAGTTCGAAATCCGTCTGGTCGAGAAACGGAAAATAGACATATACACGAGCAAAAAAACGATCAATCAACATCCATAATACTTTCCTGGAGGGGATGAAAAGTAGAAGCTTTTCGACCATGTCCATATCATTGGGGATATCACCATCGTACACAGTGAGACCGACTAGTTTGGCCTTCTCGTGATATTTCTGAATATATTTTGGTTGATCCTCCTGCTTTGGACGGTATCCCATATCATGTGCGATGGATGACTCGTGGGCAAACTTATTCACAAATAGCACCTCGGATGGTTTCGAAGATGAATTATGGTCAAAAGTAAACGTATGATATCTGTGAAAATGCTTCAAATGGTAGGTAAAAACATGCCGAAGCAAAGAGTCTGTGCTAACCAATGAAATCCACGTGAGTGGAGCATAGAAACGAGAGGCTTTCCCTTTAATATTCAAGAAAGGCGCACCTGGTCCGTGGAAAGAAAAAATCTCTTTCCGTGGAATAAAAGGATTTCTACCCCGTAAAAAGTGAAGATCATCACCACTAGCATCTCCACTGCCGCGCCATAAAGCGGCATCAACAATTGGGTCGGTTGGAGGAAGAACGACAGACTTCTCCAACAACAGGATTTTCTGTTTGAGCAACTCCAACTCTGAATGAACAGCGGGAATTGCTAATGTCAGTCCGTTTTCCAAGGCAAGCAGACCCGAATGGGCACTCGAGGAGGAACTATAGGGGTCACGAACGGCATAACTTCCAGGCGAAAACTGGCCATTCGCGCTGGATACGGCCATAACAGGATCCAGAACAGAGCGCGAAGCTGCATTCAAAGTGGAGTTCCCAGCAGAACCGTCGCTAACCGATGTTCGGGAGTAAGGCAACAAGTCTTTTGAATATTCACAAACAGGGTTCGCGTACTTGACGCAAGTGGAGCACGGCGAACCCTTGTCGCAGCGCACTTTCCTGCGTTTGCAGAAGGTGCAAACAAACGTATTGCGGTTTCGCCGGCGAGGTTGGGACATCTTATGGAGACCCAAGGCTCGCTAGGGGGAAGGGGTAAAGATATATAAGTAGCAGTTAGTATGGGTTGAGTAATAGTGGCAAGCCTGTGTAGAGCGCGCGCTAATGCACTAGGCTGTAGTGCTTTTTGGGGTGGGCCTAGATAGACTGTTGTGGTCACGGAGAAAAGGTGGAAAACAACAGGATTTCCTTTTTTACCAGTTCTGTCCCCCTTTTTTTTTTTTTCCACAGTCAACCAAGATTTCTCTGTTTCATCAAGCAGTCGAACTGCCTTTGCATTTCTGGGTCCAATTGCCTGCGCGTTCGTTTTCGGAAGGGCCTGCCAATTCGATCTACTCTATGATGCATAATGCGTCTGACCCATGCTGGCCGTTGTATAGCGCCGTAAGCTCCTCTGCACTCATTCTGCGCAGGGCGGGTTAGGCGCACGGACGAGAGAGGTGCGCGGCGCCTGGGGTCAATTTCTTTTGACCCGTTTTCGCGAATGACAAGCCCCTATTGAGGTGCATTAGGTTTGCTCGCGTTGCAGCAGACGCAATGTAATGACCAACATCCTTCGACGCCATCACGCCTCAATAAGAGATCCCCTTTGCATTATTTTTCTTGCTTTCATCTTTCCAATGCATGGGTTGAACTACTACTCGGCCCGCACTATCCGCAATCGTACATCTCTGCGTGGGCGCTCCATTCTGCAGTCGGCGTCAGTACACCTTTGCCACCGTGAGCCGTGCGAGTTCGTACTTTTAGCCTGACCTGCGCAGCTTTAAATAGACAGCACATCCAATTGGGGACCTGATTCGATCAAGCCAAAGAGCACCTTAATGTTCACTTTGTGTGTGCAATGCAAGCTTTCTGCTATCATCTTTTAATGTTTTTTTTTTTTTTTTTTTTTTTTCTTGATTTCTTCCGTTCATGCCTTCTTTCTTCTCTTTCGCTTTCCTTTAGTTTTTAATCTCCCTTGGGTTCGTTAGCTGATATATCGCGTCTCAAGTCGGACACATGCACATTTTGTCAGCACCAGTATCTTCATGTACAGGCACATGTAATCCAGTGGGGAATCCATCGAATCTGCAAAGGTAATAAGGTGCACGTCTTGGAAGCGAATAAAAGATGATGTAACACATCAAGAAAGGAATAACATGAATTTTCATCGCAGGGAGTAAGCAATCGCTGCCAATGCTTTGTCTCGCCTAAATTAGAAGACCAGCGTAAATCCATGTGGATTTACTCATTGTTGTCAAACAAAGTATGACTAATAGCAGACTTTCTTCCCCACTGTCGATATTCTAGATCTAGATGTGTCCCTTCAAAACACATGCATGGAATAGGTCTCCTACATCGCCGTAAACAGGAGTTTAATGCCCATATTATCGTAATTTGTTATCCCCAACCAATCTTTGCACAGACAGGGTATCCGAGAACTTGCATATCTATTCCTACTGCCCGCTAACTGTTGCCCAAAAATGAAAGCTTAGCCTCAACATGCCACATGCTTAGCCTCAATATGCCACACGCATAGAATGGCTGCGCCTGTAAGCGGAACCGTCAAATCTCATATCTCCTAGCCATCTCCAAACAAAACACTGTAGCTATGTGTAAACATATAGAACAAAAAATCATACACAAAGCACATCGGTTTTCAACTTCACCATTAAGATTAGTATAGTTTGAAAAACTACCATGTTTTGCTCTCAGTAGGCCGCGTCTTTATCGCAGAGGTACAGGTGTCCACCCCTTATCGCTACAATCTCAAGCATTCTTTCCTCTGTCCATGTCCAAGGAATTTCAGTTACAGCTAATACGCAAAACACTTAGCGAACTTGGCCAGTTCCTGGCTGTGGAAGAATTAGCGAAAAACTCTCCTCCTTCAGAATGGAAAGAGAACTCATTTTGGGTGCTTTCCACAGCTATAAAAGAGAATCTAGCTGTGGGAAACTATGCAGCTATCCTTTCACTATTCCTGTCTTCTCCTGATGAATTCACGTTTGATACCGCTCTAAGCTCTGCGTTGGAGCATATCTCATCCAGCCTTCGAAGTATCGCTCTTTATTTGACAACGAGAACACAGTTTTTGGAGAAGGTACTTCTGTCTGCTTTTGGGCACGAACCCGTTTCGGCACAAGATCTTGTTCATTTCCTTCAAAACCTGGTCGCATCAGCATATAACAAGCTTGACCTACTGGGATATTCTGGTCCGCTTGCATCAAAACTTACACGGGAAAAGGAAGGTTCTATATTATTACCTTTAACAATGACTAATCTTTCTCCCGAAAATGCAATTAAGGTGCTTGATCCCACAGTTGTACTCACAAAGGACCTGACTATGAATGACTTGGATACACCAAAGTTTTCTGCTTATGCACATTGTTTGCGAAACTCGTTGTTATCACTCTTACAAGAACTTTTCCAGCCCTTGAATACAAAGGATGGAAATCATTTCGAGATTCCTGACAATTGTCTTGCCGATTTGATTCATGATGCTCTACTTTACAGATCATCCCATAATATCTTCTATTTGCCGCCTAGAACTCAACCTTTAGATGCAAAGGATTGGCCTCTTCGCTTATTGGATTCTGGCTCCCAGCATGCTTCTAGGAATGATCTTCCCATTAGTCTCTTGCACACCCTTTCAGAGCACTCAGATGAGGTTTGGTTCACAAGGTTCTCCCCGCTGGGCCGTTTCCTAGCTACAGGATCTCTTGACGGTACATGTATCATATACGATGTTGTGAACGGATTTAAAGTGGTGGCTACGCTTGACGCTACGGCTGAAAACGAAGATCTTGTTTTTCTTGCTGGAAGCCATAAACCAGATCTCGATAAGAAGAAGGGTATCATATACTTATGCTGGGAACCTTATGAGCGGTACATTGTTACATGTTGTCTTGATACAGTGATTCGTATTTGGAAAATCGAGAACCTTCACATTCACAAACGTATGGCGACACCAGTGGGTGGCTCCAAACCTGCTTCCTTAGTGACTTGTTTTACTTTGGGAGAAAGAATGCGCACCTGGCCTTGTCAATTTCTTAACTACGAGAAAGAATTAAGCCCACACTTTATTGTTGGTTCTCCCGACAAAGTATTAAAGGTATTTGCAATAGATGGGTCAGAAGTTTTAGATTTTTACAGTGATGCAGATGAGCGGCTGGCGATATTGGAGCACCAACCATCTTCTGCTAGTGGTTCTATATCGTCTGCCAGTGAGACAGGTGAAACCAAATCGGAGACGCCGAAGAAAGAAGAGCTGTACACATCGAACAGCATAAGCCAATTCAATCGCATTAATGATTTTTCAATAACACCTAATGGCAAGGTCTTGATTACAGCAAATAACGACAAGCAAGTCCATTTCTACAAAATTCCAAACATGTTTGATCCAGCCGCAACCACAGCTTTGATCGCTCTGTTAACTCTTAATGGAAGATTGACATCCTGTTCCGTCTCTGCTAGTGGCCAATACCTCTTATTAAGTGTGGCCCCAGAAGAACTTCAAGTGTGGGATATATCGCCTCTACAAAAGTTTGAGAAACCATTTTTAAAGCAAAAATTTTTGGGCCAGAGCCAGGCGATATACATGGTTCGATCTTGTTTTGGATACTTAAAGACCTCCGATCGAAAAGAAGAATTGGTTTTAAGCGGAAGCGACGACGGTTACATTTATATTTGGAAACTCGAGACTGGACAGTTTGTGACACGAGTTAAAGGTCACCATGGGTTATGCAACTCAGTTGATTGGAATCGCTTCTACGTGCCGGAGGACTCGTCAGCCATTGACTATGGCACCTATTGGAGTTCCGTTGGTGATGATAAGCTCGTCAAAATTTGGGGTCCCCTGTCTTAAGTTCAAGGTTTCCATTTCTACATATATTAAGTCATGGCTTAGAGCCATTGATTTTATTGATTAGGTAAGTACCTCAAAAATACAGGACACATTTACAACTCGTCGTGGTCAGCAGCAGATTCCTCTTCTTCAACATCTTCCTCAGCATCTTCAGCTTCTTGAAGAGCGGCTTCTCTAGCAGCCTTCAACTTTTCGCCATCAACATCGTTGACACCATGCTTCTTGATGAATTCCATCAAAGTCTCCAAATCTCTGGCATTTTCAAAGATAACATGTTCTCTCAAACCAGTGGCCTCATTGACCTTACCGTTGGCTGGGTAAAAAATGAGAGTTGGGTATCCTTCAATCATGATTGGCGTGTCAACATCGTTAAGAGTGTGGTCAACATTAGCGATAACCACCTTGGAGTCCTCGTCTTTCGAGCCATAAATTTCAGCCAATTCTTCCCAGATAGGAGCCAACTTCTTACAGTGGCCACACCATGGGGCATAGTATTTGATGAAAACGTCTTTAGAAGTGTCATTAAGAACGTCCATGTAGTTGTGGGCAACCAACTTAACGACGGCTTGCGCATTGACCTCTTCCTCAGTTGGCAATGGTTCGGACTTAACTATAGGCTCAACTTCACCGGCCAAAAACTTTTCAACGAAGTCAGAGATAACTTCAGTTGATGGGCCGCTTGGGTATTCAGTTTGGTTGATACCATACTTCTTACCGTTACTGTTGTTTTGCACAGCAAACAATGGAACGATCTCAGGGTCCATGTTCAAGATCTCAGCGTGACGGCCAAATTGAGAAGCATCCAAACCGACAAAGTTCATTTTGCCAGAGTATTTCTTGCCAAGTTTGGAGAAGAACTCATCAACTTCCTTTCTTTGTGCCTCATCATTGTAAAAGTAGTAACCCAATGGCAAGGTGGAAGCCATGTAAACCAAGTAAGTGTCTCTGTTGATGTCACCAAAGTAGGGAACCTTGGCATTTTTGACCCAGTCATCAATATTCTCCTTGGAAAACTCACCGGAGAAGACTCTGGCATCGCTTAACTCATTAGGGTGCACAATCAAGTAAGAAGCGGATTTGGTGGAGATATCGGCGTCGAGCAACTTGTTAAGCTTCTTGATTTCAGCATCAGTTTCAACGGAGACAAATGTCATTTCACTTCTTTGAGAGGAGGCCAAGTCGTTGAAAGTTTCATTTTGAGCAACAGCAGATTTGTGGACAGCAGATGGGAAAACTTGAATCATGAATGGCTTAGTTTCAGATTTAGAGAGTTTGACAATCTCCTCCACATCAGAAACCTGCTGAACAGGAGGAAGAGATTGCTGGATCATGTATTCCACGATTCCATCTGCAGAACGAGGGCCATTGTAGTCAGATGGCTGGTTGTAAGCACCTCTCATAACCTTCAAGGTAGGGTATCCTCTGATCTGGTGTTGTTGACACAATGTCTCTTCTTCCGTACAGTCGACTTGTGCCACCTTGATCTTTGGGTGGGTCTCGTTCAAAATGTCAGCAGCCTTGGAGAGTTCTGGTCCCAACTGTTTACAGTAACCACACCATGGAGCAAAGAATTCAGTCAAGACCAATGGATTCTCGTCAAGGAAGCTTTTGAATTCCTTAGCGGTCAACTTGACAACAGCAGAGTTTGGGTCGGCAATAGCATCACCATCAGAAGGGCCACTAGCAGCGACAACAGACACAGTAGCAAGCACAGTAGCAAGAACTTGCGAAGAAAACTTCCAAAATTGCATGATATAGATATTAACTCAAGAAGAAGTAAAGAATCAAGTACGAAATTTGGGCGCGTATCGACCGAAATTAACACGGTGTAAGGTGCGGTGGCCAGTAAATCATCGTATGTGCAGTACGACATTACTAATACTTATTGCCCGCATTAAAGAAAAGATTAGCATTTGATTCACTTCCTTGAACCATGTATGGATGGTGTAGGGCATTTAGAATACACCGGGAGGCCATTATATAGGCGAATAGTTGATGTGAACGAACACGACAACGATGATGACAAGCACACCCGTACATCCCCTATCATCGATCAGCCCGCTTCGGAGATCTTCAGTGCTCCAAAAGAATCGGCGCTCATAAATGCACTAACAGTTTATGTACAGAGCAGCGAGGAATCAAGTTTAGTAAAAAGAAATAGTGAAAAATAGATTCGCGGAATTGATGCTAAAATGCAGATGGAGAATATTGCTCATATATTGCTCATGCTGAAACTGCTATCCTGTTGCAGTAGCGAGCAAATAACGAGGAGGATATCTACATGACAAATTGACAATGTTTTACTTGCCAAGATCACCTATTTCATTGTTGAACGATATGCGTAGAAGAAGTCTACCATTGTGCTTCAGGCGTTGATATGCAGATTGGGCCTGACAAAACCAGGCACGACTCAGGCACCACTGACGTATAAGAAAGTCCGAATGAGGTAACGGAATTTGGCTCTCGACCTCTCAATGATTTATTCTATCATCCGGTACTAATGTGGCTAGATAGACACATGGAGATGCGGGCGAGCAAAATACAATTAGTAAACGGTAGCGCGATCCGACTCGAGTGCAGAACATTATTCATTGCAGTTTGTGCGAGCTATTTTATATACCTAATTGGGCCATACGTTTTTTTTCCACCACATTTATAAATGTAAAGAGATTCGTAGCCTTTCATAACGTTTTTAAAAACAAGCAAACAAACACACAGCAATGAGAATCCTTTCGCTTTTATTTATTCTACTAGCTTCTGTCCAAGGCTTGGTGGTGGTGGACTCAGATGTCGCTTCTGCTTGTATATACTACATGAAGCAGTTTGACTGGGGCTGCGGGAGTACAGGCCAGGGCATGAAAGCGTACATGTGTCGGTGTGCCAATGTGGACTGGTTGGGATCTGTTTCCCATTGTATTGCCGAATATGGTGAAAACCGTGGTAAAACTCGCCATGCCTGGCATCATGTCAGAACAAGATGCATACAAAAAGCTGACCTATACTATTCCGTGGACGAACTAGAAGCTTATTCAGAGAATGCTACGCAATACTTGAAACAACCAACGGCAATGGATGCCATGAAACAGGTTTACCACCCTCTCGGGGTTAATGAAAGTGCCTTTGGAGTGTACTTGCGCAGTTTCCGCCAAATCAATCATCACGTATACAAGAGTCAATGGCTTGGATGGGGGCTTGTATTTTATTGGGCTGCATTGGTTGTTATTTACACCCTTGCCAATTTATCATGGAAATTATTCCGCTTCAACTTATTTGGCAAGACTCTTTCTCAAATCCACCAAAAGTACCTTTGCCAGGATATTGGCCTCTTTGGATTGAACCGCCTTAATGTCATTGTGATGTTTCTTTCTCTAGTGCAAACTGTGCTATCTACTGCATTGTCCTACACTGTGGAGCTTCCCAATGTTTATATGACACAGAGCTACTTCCTCACTCTTGATTTGATTGGTTATAGAAGTGCTATTCTTTCTTTCTCTTTAATGCCAGTGTGCTACATTTTTGGTCTTCGGAATAATCCATTTACGTGGATGACAGGCCTTCCACAGGCAGAGTTCATCAAATATCACAAATTTGTGGCATTGATCTTTTCTTTAGAGGCTTTGGTGCATTCCTCCATTTGGACTGCTTATGCGATTCGTTCTGATGGCTACAAAGTATGGGCCGTGGACGACTACTGGCGCTGGGGAATTGTGGGTACCGTATTATTGTTTTTGATGATTGGACAAAGTATCCGCATTGTGCGTTCTGCAATCTATGAGACCTTTTTATTTGTGCACAAGATCTTTGGATGGTTGTTTATTGTTTCAATGTGGTACCACTGTAACATCTTGGGCTGGATGGGATGGGTTTATTCCCTTATCGCCCTCGTTGCATATGACCGAGTCATGCGTCTCTTCAAGACGTTTGTCATTAATAGAGGCTATGTCCGGATACGTGTTTCGGTGATTGACTCTCGTGTTTTGAAAATTACCATCCCAAAACCATCTCTCTTTGATGTTGCCTATGAACCGGGAACTTATTTGTACATGAGTTTTTACCATTGGCCAATCTGGTACCAGTGTTGGCAATCGCATCCATTCAGTATCTTATCTTCTCCAGTCGAGGCGGAGAACCACATTACAGTCTATGTTCGTGTCAAGAAGGGAAATACCAAGTCTCTCTCGACACTTAAAACTGATGAAAAAGGAAACGTGTATATGTGGGCCCTCATTGAAGGTCCTTATGGAGAGAAAGCTGAGCACTTTGGTGATAATGATGCCGTTGTTGGAATCAGTGGAGGCATGGGTGTATGTAGCATTCTTCCCGCTTTCTACAACAATAGCGCCATTTCGCGTCTTTACTGGGTGATCAACAATCCTGACGAGTTAGAGATCTTACGTGCTGATTTGGACTACTTGGCGGATCATGGTTGTGATGTTCGCGTATTCTTAACTCATTCGGTTTCCAAGGAGGATAGCATACTGCTTGAGAAAATGGCACCATATCTTACGTTGCTAGAGCAACGTCCCGATGTGGGCCAGTTTGTTGCAGAGGCAGTTCAGCTTGCTCATGAGCTGGGAAAAACAAACTTATCTATTTTGTCGTGTGGTCCTGGCCACATGGATCTGCAAATCAAGCACAACGTTGGGAAGCAGATTAAAGTGGGACTGGATCTTTCGATCAGATATATTCTGGAAAACAGCCAATGGTGAAACTAATGCAACATGACCATAACAAAAATATAGACGAGTTATTATGAACATAAAAAATATATTAAAGAAAATTTCCCGATGATGATGTCATACGACCTAGTGTTCTATATGCTTCACGCAATATAAAGTGATGAAGGTGAATTGGAAGTACATTAATACCCCCTGAACTAATCGTCACTTGAACTATAGTAGCATCCAGTAAAGCACACCACCTTCGAAATTCTACAGCAACTTCCGGCTCATTAATTAAATAATTAGCTTTTCGATCCCAAAATTTTTACCTCTCTTTAATGAATAACTTTACCCCAAATTACCATGTTTACCTTTTGTCCCACCTAATGTGAAAGTGACAGGTCGCATCGAATAGACAACCCAACCGCATTTCTGTTCCTCTAAATTTTTTTAGTCTACATATCTTAAATATGAGAGCCCTTCACGCTTCCATCCGCTTCTTTTGTTGTTCTTGTAGTCTTCTGTCTTATCAATTGCTTCAACTGCTTCGAAAGCGCGCATCCGTGCACCATATTTCTCTGGTTAAAAACTGAACACACAATATATCTGTATTCCATTGATCATGGCTACAAGTCTCCCCGCGGTTGTTATTGATAACGGAACGGCCACCACGCGTGCCGGTTTTGCCCTGGAAGATATCCCCTCTGTTGTTTTCGATTCTAATTATCTGGTGGACGAAAATGGAAATGTTCTCGTGGGTGAGCACAACATCAACACGCGCCCCGACCTTGAAGTTATGACTTTGCTCGACAATGGTTTGATCTACAATTTTGATCACATTGAGCGCAATTGGGAACATGTGTACAAAAGTTTGGATAGCGGTAATGGCGCCGACCCAAAAGAGCATCCATTAATGATGACTGAACAAACGTGGAACAGTGCGAAAAACAGGGCAAGCACAGCACAAATTGCTTTTGAAAACCTCCAAGTGCCCTTGTTTTCCTTGGTAAAGTCTCCATTAGCTCAGCTCTATCACATGGGTCGCTCTACAGGCTTGGTGGTGGACGTGGGGGCTGGAGTTGCTAGTGTTACACCAATTTTGGATGGTGTCATTCAACATAAATCCTCTTTCCATTCGAAATACGCGGGCGACTTCGCTAACTTACACGCTTTACGCAGTTTGGAAGCTAAGTTGGGCTACGAGACTACACAACTTGACTATACGCGCTTATTACCGAAGAAGTTTCTTTCGGGTACAGTAAGTCTGTCGTTTAAGCTGTATCATGTTACGCACAATCTTTTGCACAGCTTTAAGCAAACAATGCTCTATGTGAGCGAACCGCCAATTGGAATAGCTCCTGCAAATCAGTATTACCTGCAGCCACAACACCAACATCCGGGTTCTTTCCAATTACCGGACGGCACAAATGTTCCATATTCAGATCTGGAGCTTCTTGCTGTGACAGAGCCACTTTTTGTGCCACATGTGTACAAATTACCAGGCGTCAATATTCCTGATCCGGCTTTTGACAAGGCTGGCACGCATGGAATCTCAAATTTGGTTTTGTTCGCCATAAAAAACTTGGAGATGTCATTCTTGTCAAATAGTGATAGCCAGAATGCCAATGCTAATGCGCGCTTCAATGAAATTTTGAGACAATTGTTTTCCAACACCTTGGTAACTGGTGGAGGTTCTCTTATTTCAGGCTTCACTGACAGGCTCTGTGGGGATCTCAGCCGTTCAGCTCCACTGGTTTTACCGAACTATCTTGTCACCGGCTCTTACAAGTTGTATATCAGCCCCTTGAGAAACCATTCGTCAAATGATATCAACGACACATTTGATAAACAGTTTGGATCATGGTTGGGCGCAGCTAATTTGGCGAACATGCTCAATGAAGTCGTAGAGGAAGAGGGAGCAAATGTCAATATTGCCCTAGACAACTGGTTTATCTCCAAGGCTGACTATGAGGAGCTCGGTGAAGATTTGATTGTTGAAAAGTTCAAGTAGATGTATAATAGACTGAGGATGTGAATTAACAAACCTTTAAATTGAAAAACCAACAATAAAAGCAATTATCCGACAACATGCACTTAGGTAACCTGCTTAGAATCTTTCTCGCCAAGGCAATGATGATGCTCCGAACGAAGAGTAGATAGACAACATCGTTCATTCTAATTATAGGTTCAAATGTTTAGTCTTGACCTTCTTTGCAATATTTATCGGTAAACTTACCAGATCATTTCCTACCTTCGGAATTATTAATTTATAGCAAAGGTACAAACTTGGGGTCTAAAAGTTTTTCCATTCTATTCAGCGTCTATAAGACAATGTTCGACATAGAGAATGGTCCCATTATACAAAGTTAGACTAGTAAATGCAATTATTCTTTGCAACGTCATTGAGGGTATCAACTGCTTTATAACAGGAAATCATTCTGGATTACAATAGTATCCTCGACAAAGCGTCTAGTATTACTCCTCAGTATTCTCTGAAAAGTGGGACAACCTTTTACACGCCATCGAACGTTTTACTTTTAGTGCCGTTCTCAGCTATATCCTATTTACATTATCCCTTCCATGAAACGTACTTGTTGTCGTACTTGGAAGCTTCTCCATGTATGGCAAGGGTTCTCCTCACTTTTTCTTCAACGCCCAATTTGTTACCAGTGGAACTCTTGAAATGCTTTACAACCTCACTTGGAGTAGGCAAGTAAGATCTGTTGGATCCGTCCCTTCCAGTAATGTAATTTTCGATTTGCCCATTTTTAGGCAAGCCCATGTTGAACACGTATTCGGTGAAGTTAACACCAAAAAACTTTTCTAAAAGAGGGGAAGGGAGTTTCGCAGAGTGAATCGATGGAGAAATCAACTTGGAAACGCGAGAGGGGTCAAACGGAGTCCATTCAGGCAAGTTAGGGGTTTTAATCTTATCAATAAGTTTATGCTTGACACCCTTGACGAAATCATTCTCCTCGAGCTTGGCATTCATCATGTTGGTTGCGGTGATCATTTCTGTCTCCAATTGGGCACGAATAGAATTCTTAGAGCCCTTCTTCATTAATTGGAATGCCACGCGAACGCAAGTGGGAGACTTTGCTGACAAGCGTTCGAAGGTAGTTGTGCCAAAGTCAGTTCCAGCATTCTTGAATGTATCAAGTGCTTCTTCGAAAGTCTCATGCGAGAAGGCTTTATTAATCAATGATACTTCTTCGTCCGATAAGTGAAATTTGTACAGTTCAGGTAATTTGGATTCGGCGAATTCATTAATCACAGAATTCACCTGCGCAAAGTAATCCTTCTGGTTCTTTAAAACCGATGCGTCGTCTGGAGAACCATTGATAACTGGAGGGTTCAAGTTCGACAAACGCTTCACGAGATGTTGCAATCTTTCGGAAGGAATGTAATGTGTAGCAAAGCCAGCCATATACGCATCCATACCAGATAAAACCTCACCCGTTAAGGCATAATAGTATCCCAAGTGATCATCTAATCTTGGCAAGAAAAAGGTAGTCCCCACATCTGGGAAAAAGCCTATGTCCATTTCTGGCATGGCCAATTTTGTTTTTTCTGTAGCAATACGGAAAGGCGCATGGACAGAAAGACCAACACCGCCACCCATCGTGATTCCATCCATGAGCGCAATGTATGGCTTCGAGTAAGTTGCAATCAAATAGTTCATATTGTATTCCTTTTGAAAAAAGTCCAGGGCATAAGCTGCATTGCCCTTTAACACCTGAGCGGCACATTCTGCGACATCTCCACCGGCACAAAGTGCTTTAGGCGAGTTAGAAGTGAGTATCACCAAATTGCAAACATCCAGCTTAGCATATTCAGATAAACGAGGAACAATTTTCGTCACCATCGAGGTGTTGAGCGAGTTGAGCTTTTTTGTTCTGTTCAATGTGATGACGCGAGCCATGTTCTCATTGTGAAACAAGACATCGTCTGCAGCGTACCCGGTAGACGCCATTCTGGTAGTTTTTAAGAAACGGAGGGCCGAACGCTTCGAAGATAACATGGCGGACTGGAGAAAGTCAGGGGGGTTTATATAGAGATGCTAATTCCGGGGGTATGCGTAACCTTTGAGGGGAAGGTGAAAGTTTTTTTGGCTGCGCGCACGCTGGAGAAAGGAAATCCGGGGGAGCTGACATGTGCGGAAGAATGGAGACTGGATTCAAGAGTACTTCGAGTCATTAATGCTTGGCTTGTATAATGTGCACCATGAGTGGAATTTAAAATACTGGGCTGCTTAGTTATATTGGTCTTTGGATTGATAGCATCATATCACGGCGTTCAATGCTGTACATCAATGTTGCAACTCATTTTGTCTAATAGTTATGTGGCTGGAGTCTTTCAGATATTTATACTAAGCCACTAGGAGTGACATTGGTGGTGGCAGTCCTTATGTCAGTAAAGCCTACAGAGTATAACCTGTAATAGTATGTTCTCTTATTTTCTTGACTACCTCACTCTTCCATGGACATGCTCCTCCTTATGCATATCATACACATAAACTGTTCAGAGACAATAAACCACATTCTTCTCTCTCGCTGCTTGGTTTCGGTAGGCGGTAATGGTAAAGCGTTCCCGTGTTATAAGAGGCCAACATCACAACACCTTGGGCTCCAAAGCCAATTTCAACATTCTTGTGTCTCAGGTTGGCACTGGGTACGTATTCGGGCAATTTGATGAAAGCAAACGATCGGCGAGGTGCCTCCCAAATTAGGTTACCCAAGTACTCGCGATATGGGAGCTTCTTGACTATCCGCTTTGTATATTGGTTGTTTAATAGTTTTGCTGATTTTTTGAGCGCCAGGAAATATGAGGCAGGTTCTTCTCTCTCTCGTTCTTCCGCTGGTTTCAGGAGAAGAAGATTCGCCAAGTTTTCATTCAAATCTTCCAGAGAGCGCCCGTTTTCATCCTCCTCTGCTGTCGAATCAGCGTCGTCTTCTTGTTCCGAACGATCGCCATTCCCCACTTGCGTGTTTTCATGGACAGTAAAGAAATGAATTGTATTGCTATCGGATGCGCAACCCAATATGGTAGAGCTTGAATTGAATCGAAGTGTGCTTATTCTCGTCACATTATGTCCCCGCCGAAGATTGATCACCTGGGCAATCTTGAGTTTACCATATTCAACGACGAAGTCGGAATTTAAATGACATACACGGATTATAGTACCCTTCGTCGAAGCTGTGGCAATATATTTGCTTTCAGAGGATATGGCTATGCGTGCGATGGCAGTATCATGGGCTTTGTAGACAAGAAGTGGTTTTAGATTCAAAGTATCATACACCAATACCCACCCTTGCGAGTCCTTCTGTAAATCTTCCAACGTAATTCCTTCTATGCTAGAAAGCAAAGACAGCGAGTTCTTTTGCGTAAGTTCGATTAATGTATCCAAAGAGTTTGCGACTGTAGAATCACTTGGTCGAAGAACAGGTGTTCCAGGTTGACTAGAGTTGTTTTGTGATGAGGTACTATCAGCATTCAAAATATCGCTATTATCATTCAAGACCAGTATCGGAAGGATCAAATAAGAGCTATCATCTGCACTAAGGTCTGCGATCACAGGGTTAGGCATAGCATCGTCCCCATTTCTCTTGTAAGCATTAACTTCGACCACTTTGACAAGACGGATACTGCTCAAATCATAAATGTAAATTTGACCAACTTCCAAAAACACCACGAGTCTTTTGCGGTTAACCATCAAATCCACTATACCCAGAGGGAAATTGAGTTCGCATATCTTCATGTTAGTTTTCAAGTTCATTACTTTGAGCACACGATTTCCCATTGAAGATTGGGTATCTGGAACAATTATAGTTAAGGATGTGGAGAATAACATTCGAAGAAATGCCGTGGGACACTTCTCCTTGTCTTTAGATGACAGGACATAGAATTCACCAAAAGGGTCGCAGTTGAAGATTCGATGATCTTCATCCGTAGACATCAGTAAACTGGTGAAATTCTGGTTGAAAGACAAGTCGTTTATACCCATTTTTCTTGACTTGTGTTTTCGTTGAAGGTGTGTCCACAAGGGAAGTTTACTACTATTACTTGCGTTCGCAATCTGGGGAAACGGATTATACAGTATGACTACAGTGTAAAAAAGTACATCACACATGAATGAACCATAACTCCCTTGCCATGTAAGAATATTACAGTTGCATGGTTAAAGAGAGAGAGATGATCTAAATTCTTTGTCGTCCATTTATACAAAAGTAGACACATGTTTGTTAGGTTCTCTATTTATCGTTAAGTCACCTTTCTATTCGTCGACTTCTTCCAAAGTAACTGCCCGTTTCTTGGCAGAGGTTGTTGTCTTTTCTGCCCCAGAAACAGAAGCTGTGGAAGGTTCATCAGTAACCTCTTCGATTTTGGGCTGTTTTCTCTTACTCTTTTTCGCTTTCTTTGCTCCCGCTGGCTCAGCCCATCCGTACAAAGGTACAAAACTCTCGAAAAATCCACAGTCTTCAAACAAGTTAGGATATAACCAGAAGGCTTGAGGCATGGTCAAGTAAGTCACGACAAAGATAATCAAACGAATAAATGCCATGACAAAAAACAATCCCAAAAGACACAAGCACGCCATTGAAAGGTACCACACGCCAACCCTCATAAACCTAGGCCACAATGGGAAAAGAACAACAGTAAAGACACCCGCAAGCATCAAAAATCCATACAACATCATATAAGGGTTGGGTTTCTGATAGATCCAGCCGTAATAAGCGTTTGGCTCCAAAACAGCCTTTTGTGTTGGACGCAACGTAGGCTTCTCTCTATTTGGTTTCCATCCCTTGACTGCCTTGATTTCGTCGTAGTGCAACTTTTCCACAGGTATCAAAAGCCTATTCTGAATCATCAAAACGAACAACTTGGCGGCATCCTGCTCATTATTAACAGGGATCAACTCATTCTTGGGATTGCTAGACTTCTTCTTGTACTCTTCACTCAACAAAGCACGAACAAACCGCTTGTAACGGAAAAACTGGACGTCTTCTGAGTTGTTCAACAAACCTGTTCGGTTCTTTAGAAGCTTGTGGTCACGAACAAAATTAGCCACTCTCATCACCACAGGTGAACGCTCTTGTGATACTTGCACTGGGGTGCCCTCATCAGGAGAGACACCAGATCCGGGAGGAAGGGGCGACGCCATTTTGTGTCAGACAGAATGGATTACTTTTCTGGTCAAACGTGTCTCGATCTGCCAGTGAGCTGGTGTACGGGTGTAAAGTCCAAGCTTTTATCGCAGACGAGCCATTTCTTCAAATGTGAACGCGGAGGGACATTTGCTTTATCATATTCTATTCATCTTTTGTATCGTTCTTTCCTATTTCAATTGATCGAATAAATTTCTTTCATCTATTAAATGACTTCCGGTCATATGTGTAAATCTATCTCATACATGTAACATAATACTTAGCTTGGCAGTTCCTTCCTTTCGAATCGCAACCGGCTACCCAGCTTATGCCGAAATCGATCAGGTGAGAGCAATTGCGACATGCTAGCACTACGTTCACCCAAACGGCTGGTGACGTATGCGCTCAAATTATCTAACTGGCTTCCGCTAGGATACAACGGGGCTGGTTCGTCATCATCATCGTCATCTGAAGCATCATCAACAGCCTGCTCGTAACTAGGCACCTTCAGTAAAACATTCAAATCTATAGGTGTAGCAGTTCCTGATCTTGACAGAGCGCGAGGAATGTCGAAATAACCATTAGCACTCTGATTCCCGCTGGATCGAAGCTGTTCCATGGGAGACTTTGCACTGGTGTAATCGAAAACCGTATCGAATACATGCTGCTGATATAAGGGCGGCGCTGACTCCTGTTCTTCATCAATTTCATTTTCATCATCCAAAGCGTCGTCCGGATGGCCCTCCTCTGGTAGATCAGTGTCTCTTCGATCAAAAATCACGTCCTCCTTTGTTGAATCTGTATTGGCAATAAAGTTCCCGTGTATGGCATCCACATTGAGACGCCTAGAAGTGACATAGCCATGAAAGGGACTCATGTAGATATGCACCGGAAGATTTGCCTTGAGTTCAGAAACATGACCATCAGCATTTTTAATGTGAATTCCCACCAGAAGACGGTGTTTGACACTGATCATATCGTTTTTTAAGGCACACGACGGCGTAAGTTCAGTTAAAGACGACGGAACTTTATACTTGCCTTTCACTATCCAATGATCTTCTGTGAACTCCGATTCTTCACATGCCAACTTTTGTCTCCCAATCAACTTTTCAAACTCAGGGGAAGGACCAGTAAGCCCCTTTGCATGGTCATGCTGAACAATTGTTACAGACATTGACTTGAAAGAAAGCCCTTTAACCAAAGGGACAATAACCAACTTAATAGGAACTGTAGTACCCATGGCCAAGGCCTTCCGTGGTGTGGACACGTTAAAGTCTAACTTTCCGGGCCAGGTGTTCAAAAATTCAATTGAATCCGTCAAACTCATGCTCTGTGGATGTAACGTTCTAAGGATGCGAAAATGTCTTGCTCTGTAAAAGGCACGGTCAAAACGACCCCTTTCCATTGTACAAACGAGCTTATACAACACTTTTCCCGTAGATAAACCCTCCACTGATTCGGGCACATTTGAAGGGAGATTTATATGGAATGGCATACTATAGTTACCCTGAGGAAGCAAAAAACTGTGGCTCTCGCTGCCTTTCAGTAAAGGATACGGAGTGCCATCAATACCGGAGCGAGGGATTTGAAAGAGGGACTCCTCATGGTTTTTGAACAAAATAGGTTGCGACAGAGCTCGCGAAAAGCCTGGTCTTTTCTTTGTACCAGAATCGCCAGAAGAGTGGTTGGAACCTATCGACAAAAGATCCAGCGATGAATTGTCCCTCAGAGGTTTACGGGAGTATGCATCCACCTTCAGAAGTTTCACCACAGAGTCTCCGTAGTCACCATAAACAATGTTTCCCTCTGCTGAGGTGAGCAAGTTCGGCCAAACCACCTTCACTGCGCAGTCTCGCTCGCATACTAAACCAGCCATGTTTCCACTTCCTGACCTCTCATAGTAGTCGAGATGGAGCTCACCAACGAGCTGAAGACGGATACGTTTAACGTGCAAGTCCTCCTGTGTCAGAATCTTCACGTGTCCCTCCACAGGAATACTAGCCACTTCGGCATCGTTTCCTCGAACAACTATATTGTTTTTGTGGCCATGAGTTTTGAGACGTATATCGAAAAAGGCCAAGTCTTTGGCTGTCTGATGGAAATAAACCATGTTATTCGCGCAAAAGTAATAATAATGTTAAACTATAGCCTGATCTGGGAAGACATATGTCTCTTGTATGGTTTCGAAGCAAGCAACTTGGGCGATGGATCGATGTGCGGCTGCGACCTGGATAGAAGGAGCAACTCGTTCGATAGTGCGCGCTTCTTTGACATGCCACGTCTAAACTGCATTTTGACCAGGTACCGAAGCAGGCAAATATGACAGAGAAACCTCGAACCGATTACGCCTGCTAAAATCAGTGGCACTTAAATTATAATCGTGCAACTTTCATTAACTTTTAAGTGGTCTATTTTTTAAAATCTCGTTCTACTTCGCATCTCGCCAGCCGAATTATTTCTATTTATAACGTCCGGCTTTACGTCGCGAAGAATAAAGTCCTGTCTGGAAACCAATAGCGCATCATAATGGGTGCTGGAAAGGGACACCATATTCAGATAAGAAAGTATTTGCGCATATCCAAAGATTCTTAAGAAATGCGCTTTTATACTGCTTGGTCAATGCAGACTTCGATTTACGTACATTTTCAAGCCTCAAGATGTGAGTGAATTGAAGATTACTACAGCAGTTGTCAAGTCAGCATTTAACTGCAAGGAGCAACAATGGAATCTCAACACTGAACCTCGACCTGGTTCTTCGGCAGAAACTGCTAAAGACTAAAACTTCTCTAATTATAGGACGAAACTGATGATAGTTTACTGCATTGGGAAAACTATCGAGTTGAGTATTGCAAGTAGTTTGATTCCACTCTGACATCTGCCAATGATTAGATCTGCAAGATTCAACAAGCAAAATTACTTTCGATTCTTCTTCCTTTATTTTCTGGTTACAATTAAAGAAGAACAGGAACCTAACAATGACTCCTAATACATACAAAATTCAGATGCATCATGTCTAGATACTATATACATTCACTCCTAGCTGGTTGAGTAACAAATGGTCATTCTTTGTTGATCTGTTGATCGCCGGCTCGAAATTCTCGTCCAAAAAGTCACGGCTCCAATTTATAGCAATCATTCGAATCTTAAAAAATCTAAGCGTGAGTTGTAAGCACGTGGAACTGGTCACAGAAGTCTTCAGCTACTTCCACGCACCAGAACTCTCCTGAGTATTTGACAAAGCCCAAATGGCCACCCAAGTTGGTTTCAACCAATGCCAAGTTTGGGTTCGCCTTAACCTCTTCTCTTGGTAATGCAGGATCCACTGCAGGGTCATCCGTCGAATTGATGATAAGAGTGGGCACTTTGATTTTGTCAATACGCCTGATTGGTGATCCAGCATCATAATAGTCCCAGGCATTGTCAAAGTTCGCGGTCTTACAGGTGATTAGGTCGTCCCACTGATACGTTTTCTTGGCCTTCTTGGCTTTCTCCACTATTTCTTCGGAAAATAGCTCTGGAACGTGGCTGCGCAATTCCTTCAAGTTGGCCCGAACAAGTTTGTTCAAGAACTGAGTAAGGCTTGGATTGAATAAGTACCGGCCAGTAAGAGAACTGTCAATATGGTGTGCTGCGGCACTCATATCCCAAGGACAGCCAATAAGCACACTTGCTTTCAACATAGACTTTGCCTTCTCCTCAGCTTCACCCAAGTAGTTCGCCAATAAAACTGCACCAAAAGAGAAACCCACAGCATAGATTGGGCGCGATGGGTACCGTTTCTTCAACTCAATTAAAACATCTTCCAAATCGGAAGTCGATAATGCATTGAAAAGCTTGCCTGTGGTAATCTTCGTTCTGCAACAGCCACGAGAGTTTACTACGACAATATCCCAGTTAGAAGGGCTCTGTTGCAAGCATTGGCCCAAGTTGCGGATCAAAGGCTCGTGACTTCCTCCTGCCAAACCATGCAAAACGACACAAATAGGGTCTGTTGACTCAGGAGTCTGCCCGTGCGCTGTTTTGCTCTCCAACTCTTTAGAAGTGAAAAATCTTGTCCTTGGGTGGAGACGTGGGGAATTCTCCGGAAGTGTTTCCTTGTAAAGTTTGGTAAACTCTTCTTTAGACAGTGGCTCTGGAATCACCCAATCCAAGGAACACTGACCGCCATCATTATATTGAAACAATTCACGTCCATAATACACGCTAAATTGGTCTGAGTTATGCATCGCATAATATAAAGTTTGCAAGGATCCATTGAAAAGCAATGGGTTCAACCATAACTTGGACTTGGTGTCAATCGTCTTGAGTTTGGTATGAACAAAATCATAGAAGTTAACCGAATCAGCGATCACTGGCGGAGCTGAAGGTTCACTGGTAATACAATCAACAGAGGCACGAAAGCCCCATTTCCAAAAACCAGACATTGTTGATGGAAGAAAGAAAAAAAGATCCTCGGCATTTGCGCGTGGGATTATGCCGAGGATATTACCGAGATACATAAACTATATTGCATGATGCGCTTAAGTTATGATTAAGCGGGCATACGAAAGTTCACATGGTATGAATGGAGACACGTAACTAGAGGTGAATTTTACATCATATCGATTTCAAAATATTTAGGCATCGCTTTTCAGGTGAGTGCTCTTTTCACTGTTTTCCTTTCTCATTGCTGCTGCCCGAAGCTTCAGTTTCTCGCTCGATTCGCTATTGGTGACATGTCCCCGGTCATCCAACTCAACAGAGCCTGCACTTTCAAACAACGAAACGTGTCCTGCCAAAAGCCCCAAAGTGTCGATCACTTGTGATGGATTGTTTAAATGCGCCGTGGCGATGGTTTTTTTGGCAGCTGGTCCAACAAGGACCGGATAAACACCATAGGATCCAAACTCATTTTGAGGTACCTCCTTCAAGTGCCAAGCTGCTTCAATGTCCTTAAGTGAGCGGAACATGTCTTCGTCCGTCAAATCATCACCCAAACATAACATAAAGTCAGGCAAGCGCTCTACTGGCGTTGATTCTGTGCTTAACTTAACGCTGTGTGGATCTTGTTTCGCACCATGAGGATTCAATACAAGACGCTTGACAATTTCTCCCTTGTTAAGGAAACGGGGTCTCACTTCAATATTAGCTTTACCGGCCATAACCTCCACGTCATAATCTTTCGCCACACCATTCTTGAGCTCCTCCACGCATTTCTCTGCCTGGAATCGACCCAAGTCCGGGTCAGATCTTCTGTAGTGCCATGTCAAAGCCACTTTCTTCCGTTCTATGTTGGAGCCAGGCGTTTTCTCCGTGTACAGTTTGAATACATCATCCACCACTTTTTGCCATGACATGTCGAATGTAGCAGCAAGATTGAACCATTCTTTTCCGCCAACATCTCTCATAAAGCAACCATGCTCTGCAGAGAGACCAACATTCTTCGAACCCCACCACTTTTCCAAAAATGCTTGGTCTCTTCCAGAGATAATCCAAAACTGATTTTTTGGGTCAGCTGTCAAGGCGTCAACGATCTTAAGTAAACGCGAAGAAGGAATTGCTGCTGCTGGATCTTTGACTATAGGCGTCAATGTACCGTCATAATCAAATAAAAACAACCGCCGCTTCAGGCTTTGATAATGTTTTAACAACATTGGCCGATTCAAAGTAGGGGTAAAATGAGTCTCATGAGTATTGTCCACATGAGTGATCAAATGCTCTAAAAACTTCGATGTCCAGGACTGGATTGTATTTGACGAAACACATTTGTATAATCTGTCCTCAAGGTCTGCTTTTTTGGAAGCAGTCATATGGAAACAATTGTTGATAGTCTTTGCAATGCCCACAGAATCCCATGGATTGACAAGAATGGCATCCCGCAATACGGACGCTGTTCCTGTAAACTCTGAGAGGATCAAGGGAGATTTCTTTTCCTTTTGGCAAAGAACAAATTCTAACGATGTAGTGTTCATGCCATCACGCACAGAAGTGATAAGAGCCAAATCTGCCACACGAAGAAGTGCCAAATACTCATCTCTGTTGATACGCATCTGATAGTGAAGGACAGGTGTATGGTTTAAACTTCCATACTTCGAGTTGATTTGATTGACCAATTCAGTAACTTTTTTCTCAACTTTAGCACTGTGAGAAAATCCTGGGGAGGAAACTTGGATTAACACAACTTTGTTACGCCAGTGGGGAAACATCTGCAAGAACATTTCGAATGCTTGAAGTTTCTGAACAACTCCTCTTACCATGTCTAAACGGTCTCTACCCACGATAATTTTTTTGTCTGGATAGCATTCACGAAGAGCTTCCACTTTCTGTTCAATTCCATGCTCTGGTGAGAAGGCATCATGCTCAATTTTCTTTGTGTCAATACCAATTGGCAATGTTTCTACCGAAATGGTAGAACCATAGGCTAAAACGGATGATTTTGTTACTTCATACCCTAAGACACGGGCACAGCAACTCAAAAAGTGCCGCTGGAAAGACTCACTTTGAAAAGCAATTTTGTCCGCACCAATCATACCATCCAATAACTGTGTCCTCTTGGACAAGCAACGGAAATATTCAGAAGATGGAAATGGAGCATGAACATATAATCCAATGAAAGCATCTGGATATTCCATACGTAATAACTGAGGTAACAACAACAAGTAATAGTCATGGATCCAGATTATGTCCCCAGGCTTGTAAATAGCTTTGATTTTCTGAAAGTAGGCCTCATTGAATTTCACATAATCATGCCACGCTTGTGCCTCCTCCTTTCCATCACTGGGGTCTACCTGAATGTAATGAAACAATGGCCAAATCACATTCTCTGCATACTTTCTCCAGCGGTTTTGGTCTCGTCTCAATAACCAAACCGGATGCACATGATCGCTCTTTGTGGCTTTACGCATCTTCTTCTCCAAGTCGGCTTTATCTTCTTCATCCAAGTACAATGGATCATCCTGGATGTTCCCGCTCAGCAAGTCACTCTCAAAGTTGGTTTTGTTGACCAATTCTCCCGTCCATCCAATCAAATGGGTCTCCCAATCTGTATGCTGCTGCAAGAAGAACATAGACGAATACATGGCAGACTGGCCCCGAATCAGGTCTACATCCCAAAATGTATTCTCTGGCGAAGCAGGGTCCGTCTTCTTGCAGATTTTAGTTGGCAACGAACTCACAACAGTGAGCACTCTTCCAGACAAGTTGAGCTTTTCGTTTCCAGAATATTGCTTTGGCGACACCACAGGGGTATCTGATGGAGATGCAATGAATTCATCAAAAGCATCATGGGGCATTATGGTAGAATTAGCGAAATTGACAATGAATAATGGGGAATTTCCTTTTTTTTCGGGCAAGGGAGGAAACAAGAGTAAATTCGGCGTTTCTATTGACTTCGATAGTGCGGGATGCAGGCGGGCCGAAGTTTGCGGTGGATAACGTGATGATAGCACCGCTCAAATCAATACAGGAGACGATTTATCAATACAGTAAAAGCTCAAGATAAAAGCCTGACTGTTGTTTACGACAGCCTATACATAATGGTAGGCATCATTAAAAACCTAATTGACCACAATGATGAATCTGAACATGGACATGCGTTGAGCTGGCCGTTTTGTATGCAAAGTTGCTGTGTAGGTTAGCTATAAAGTGGGCACAGCACACATTTCTCGCACCTTTGGACCTTTTAATACTTTTAATACTTCTAATTACTCGTGCTATCGTTACATAGAAGACGTCGAGATCCGCATCCAATTGCTACAATCTTGTTGCGATATTTTCAATTTTTTTTTTCTTTTGGTATATATATCTCATCCAATTACCCATCCAAAAAAAAAAAAACTAGCAAATAGTTGATTTTAGAACTAGAATTACACTGGGCCGCAAAACAACTCGCATGCACGTCAGTAATTAGTTAGCATTGTTCAACGCTTAGGCTTGAGCCTGTTCCTCGGAAGACTTCTTGTATTCTTCGTAAGCAGTCAAAGCATCCTCAAAGTGGTTGTTGAACAACTCATCGTCTTCCAACAAAGCCAAGATCTCTTGGTTGTCCAAGTCCAACATCATACCGGTGATCTTACCAGCAGCCTCTGGCTCTTGAGCCTTACCAGTAGAGACAATCTTAGGGTACAATTCTTCACCCAAGATTCTCTTTTGCTGGTCTGGTGGAGCAGAAGCAATGATGGCAGCCAAGTCCCTACGGCCGCCCTTCTGGTTACGGTTGTTAGGGAAGTAACCTCTTTGTTGACGGCCGTTTGGACCGTTGAAGTCGTTGTAGACAGGAGGCATACCGTAAACTGGAACTGGTTGACCGTTTGGACCAGCTCTTGGCCACTGACCTTGTGGTGGTGGCATTTGACCTCTTGGCATCATCATTTGAGGGTTAGGACCTGGGAAAGGACCATTGTTTCTACCGTTACCTGGGAAGAAACCTGGTTGTTGACCGTAGAACATTGGAGGCATGAACTGACCTGGAATACCAGCAGCGGCAGCGTTTTGCATTCTCATTTGGTTTCTAGCTTGAATTTGCTGTTCCAATTGAGAGCGTCTGACATCCTTACGTTGAGCCAAAGCAACATACAAAGGCTTACCCAAAACCATACGCTGGTTCATTTCGGTAATGGCCTTAGTGGCTTCCTCAGGGGCAGAGAAACAAACGAAACCAAAGCCCTTAGACTTTCCAGTCTCGTCCACCATAACCTTAGCAGAAGTGATGGTACCGAATGGCTTGAACTCCTCCTCCAACATTTCAGAGGTAAGAGAGTCATCCAAGTTCTTGACGAACAAGTTAACGCCTTGGTACTTAGATAACTTCTCCAATCTGGTGGTCTCGTATTGCTTCTTCAATTCCTCGATTCTCTCTCTCTTCTTCTGAGCTCTACCGACGTAGATTTTTTGACCGTTGACCTCCTTGTCGTTCAATTCCTCGACAGCTTTAACGGCAGCATCGTGGTTCTCAAAGTTGATGAAACCAAAGCCCTTGGACTTGCCTTCACTGTCCTTTTCGAAGTAAAGAGAAGTAATCTTTCCGTATGGCTCAAACATGGCAGCCAACTCAGCCTCAGTGAAGTCAGAACCAAAGTTCTTGACAAAAACGTTGGTAAAGTTAGCCTTCATTTCCTCAAACTTGGCCACGCGGTCCTTCTTGGAAATGTGCTTGCCAACGAAAACTTCACGGTCGTTCAAGGACATACCGTTCACATTCTCAATAGCAGCATCAGCAGCTTCGGCAGTCTCGTAGTGCACGAAACCAAAGCACTTAGAACGTCCGTGTTCATCAGTGGCAACCTTACAGGACAAAATGCGGCCGAAAGCAGAGAAAGTGTCGTGCAAAGCCTTGTTGTCAATGTCTGGGTGCAAGTTCTTGATGAAAATGTTTCCGTCACCATTTCTTCTGAGAGATGGGTCTCTTTGAGACCACATGATACGGCATGGTCTACCATCGATCAAAGAGTAGTTCAACTGTTCCAAGGCACGTTCACCATCCTCATGCTTGTGGTAGTTGACGTAGGCGTAACCCAAAGACTTCTTGGTGACGGCGTCACGACAAACTCTAATGGAAGAAACCTGGCCCAAAGGAGAGAAAATCTCGTACAAAACGGCTTCGTTAACCGATGGGTTCAACTCACCAACATACAAAGATGCAGAGGTGACAGCAACGGATTCTCCCTGAGAGTCTTCAGTCTCAGAGGAAGCTGGGGTAGATTCAGATGGAGCAGCATCTGGAGCAGCAGCTTGGTTGTCGATGTTCAACTTGTCCAAAGACTCGGTGATTTGAGCAGTGTCGGCAGACATTTTTTTGATTTTTGATGGGATGTTTTCCGGTTTTTTTTTACTTTTTTGTTTTTTGTAAAAAAATGTCGATTTCAGAGGCTCGTGAGGCAGGAGGACCTGGCGTTGTTGAAATCGAAGATGTGTTTGTGGAGATTTCTCTAAGGAAGAAAAAAAGAGCCCCCAGAAAATTTTTCGCACAAACACTAGACTGTTGATGAGATTACCCGCAATACCTCTGCAAATTCCTGGCCTGTGTACGAATATTTGTGACTACTTTTGACGACGATAGATTATTGCATAGAGGAATTTTGATCTGAGAAGCCTTCGGTTTCATACTGCAAACATTTCATTCGTCTCAGCACAAAAGCAGAGTATCTAGTTAAATACGCTGAAATTCAAAACGAGTGTGTTAACCTAATTCTTTACTTGAAATAGATCCTGAAACAATAATTTTGTTTCAAGAGAACTCTCGGTGGCCAAGCTGGCTAAGGCGCGAGACTGTAATGGATTTGTAATCTTGAGATCGGGTGTTCGACTCACCCCCGGGAGATTTCTTTTTTTCTCCTTTTTGGTGTTATGATAAATCATCTTATAATCATCAGCATATTTATACGGTAGTTCGAGTATAGCAGGTAACACATTATTGTGTTCTGCATGATAATAACAATGGTCCCCACTGTTAATTGTTCGAAGGCTTCCATGAAATCAGGATACTCTCGCACCTCATCAAATTGGTTCTACTACGTTATGCCATGCAACTTATTCGATAAATGTAAGTATATAAACGTTTGACTCCATAGTTCAATCACTTTTCTCTGTCTTTGGTGATTGAGTTTTGATCCTATTGTACATTGCAGCGATTTTCGAACTTGGCACCTTAGCAGGCCAGTAAAGACTGGCATAAGACCATAAATGCTTAGTGAAATTCTGATTGTTCTCCGGCTTTGCAGTTTTCTCGATGAAATCACCCACGTTGACCAACTCTGACTTGAGAAGGGAAGCCCACTCATGCTTTCCAAGCCCTTTGTTACCCTTATGAAGCTTCATTAATGACTTAGCGACGGGTTTAAGAGTAGCTTTACAAAGAGCTTCATCCATGCTGTCATATTCCAAGAAATCTTCGTCAGCATCATTTCCATCACCTTTGCTGTGATCTAATTGTGGTGTTCCAGTTGCGGATCCTGGTGTAGATTTCTTTTTTGGCTGTTTCTTACCAGCTAACAGGGGCGATTGTGATTTGGAGACTTTTTTGACTTTAGGTGTTGGCCCCTCTGATTTGATCTTCCTGACTCTCTTTTTTGTGGGTCCAGACGTTCCAGCACTGGAAGGTGTAGAGACTGTGCTTTCTTCCTCATCACGTAACAACGTGAATAGATAGTCCACTCTTCTGCCCAAATGGACAGCACCAGGAACTTTTTTGTTTTGTTGGCTTTTGCCTTCTTTCGATTCGCCATTGCTGGTTTTTGTATCCTTACCTCCAGCAGCTGCTCCCCCTTTTACAGATCCTTCAAGGTATAGCTTGTTCTGCAAACCCAATAGCGGATCATCTCTAATTTGAGTCCAAGAACCGTAGCCAAATTTATGAACCCCCACCAATAATTTAGCGTCATCGCTAGCATTCCATTCACAATTCCAATTCAGAACTGGCTTAGGAGTTCTTGGTAGAACGAAAGAAAGAGGCTTATCTTTCGGGATCAATGACAGAAGGAATTTCATATCTGGAGGACGCGACAAAACTAATTCAGCATTAATGTTTTTCACACCTTGATATTCGAAAAGAACTGCTTTCTTTTCCTTCTTCTTGGCAATCCAGAGCGCCATAGGGTTCTCGCCATTATTGGAAACGACTGCGCCTTTCAGGTCCTTAGCTTTTCTCTCCAAGTCAGCAAGAGCCTCAGCCCTTCTTTGCTCTTCCTCTTTTACTAATTTCTTCGAAATACTGATGATTTCGTTGTATGCATGTTTGATCAAAACAGGATTCTTGTTGGAGATACTTCCCTCCTCCACCAATTGTCCCCACTTTCCAGAAAGGTCACCGAGCCTTAATATGGCCCTGTAGATACCTCGAATCTCCTTTTCTGAAAGCTCATGGTTTTCCTCTGCTTTCTTTCTTGCTGCACGCCTCCTTCCAGTGTCTTCATCATCTTCGTCCTCCATCCCACTTGTATCGGGGGTACCACCTTGTAATTGCTTAACGGCTGCCCTCCTCCGTGAGTACATAGCAATTTGCTCATTCAAATAATCCTCTTCCGCCTTCTTTTTTTCCTCTTCCTTGAGCTTAGCCAACTCTTCTTGTGGAATAATATCATCCCATTCAACATCTGCCTTATAGTCCGTAACCTCGAATTGTTTCAAGAACTCCTCTGAACCTAAGTTCGATTCTCCTAAATCTGGAGTGCTCACGTGGTCTTCTGCATGATTCAACACATCGTCTAAGTTCAATTCTTCCAACTTTTTTTGGTTGTCCGTGGCAGAGAACATGTTTGCAGCACCAAATTTCAAAATCTGGGAAAGTTCGCTAGTATTTGGTTCGTTTTTGTTTTTCTTCGATGAATTGGGATCTGTCATACCCAATGATATGATAGCATATTCTAAAATCATCTTCTTTCTGGCTCTCTCTAAGATTTCCTCCTCCACGGTGTCTTTACTAACAAATCGGTAGACAGAAACATGCTTCTTTTGACCAATTCTGTGCGCACGTGCCATAGCTTGCAAGTCCGCTTGGGGATTCCAATCAGAATCAAAAATAATGACAGTATCGGCAGTCATCAAGTTGATACCCAATCCACCTGCACGAGTGGACAATAAAAATACAAAATCCTTAGAGTCTGGGGAATTGAAATGGTCAATAGATATCTTCCTCTGCGCTGAAGGAACTCCACCATCCAATCTTTGGAACTGGTAGCCTTTGATCGAAAGGTAGTCGCCCAAGATGTCTAATATTCTTACCATTTGAGAGAATATGAGCACCCGGTGGCCCTCTTTCTTTAAACGGGTTAACAATTGCTCGAGGAGGACCATTTTTCCTGATGACATGACCAAACCCTTCAACACATTATCCCTTGATGTTGATCCGCCTTTGGCCAAAACACGTTCTTCCGCTCCATCAAATAAGTACGGGTGGTTAGAAGCTTTCTTCAACTCACTCATGACATTCAACAAGGAAATTTGAGAGCCTTTGACACCAGCATTCAATGCAGCATAATTTTTGGTGATAATATTCCTGTAATATTCCATTTGTACATCTGACAATTCGACTCTCAAGATCCTTTCTGTTTTCGAAGGGAGGGACTTCTCGACATCTTTCTTCAATCTTCTTAATATATAAGGTTTGATGCTCAGTTGTAAATGTTTAATATACTCCTCCTGTTTGTCGTCAGGAGCGTCAAAATCGATTTCTTGGTCGATAGAAAATCTTCCAGGCATCAAAAAGTCGCATAAAGCGGCTAATTCCTTGATATTATTCTGTAATGGTGTACCTGTAATCAAAAGTCTGTTCGCAACCTTGAACAGTTTCAAAGACTCGTATAAGGATGATTCGGCGTTTTTGAGTCTGTGGGCCTCGTCAACAGCAAGAAATTGCCATTTGAATGCGCCAAGTTCATTCCTGTCCTTTAAAATATATTCGTACGTGGTCAACAAAATGTTGAACTTGGGCTTCTTGGTGACATTGTAGAACTCAAACTCTCTGATTTTCTTTCTGGCTTCGGTGTTGCCCAAATAATAGATACAATTGACATCAGGCGACCACTTTTCAAAAGTTTCCTGCCATGCTGGAATAGTACTCAAAGGTACCACTACCAAGTGAGGCCCATTTTGTCTTCTAGCATAGATTAACCAAGACAAGAATGCGACAGTTTGGACAGTTTTACCTAAACCCATTTCATCAGCCAAGATACCATTTTCATTTCGAGACCAAAGAAAAGCCATCCAATTTAAGCCAGTCAATTGAAAGTCCCTCAATTCCCCATTTTTGATAAATAATGGTTGCTTGTTCAATTTTTCGAATCTTGGTCGTTGGCTCATTGGGTAATTTGCAGACAAATTGGGAAGAATTTTCGATTGCAACCTTTGTTGGTATTTAGCAACTTGCTCCGGAGCCAATTCAGCAATAGTTTCAGCATTTTCCCAAGACGCTTCATCATAATAAAGTCGTTTCCACTTCACTAGATACTGTAATTGTGACGTTCCATCGTCTTGCTCAATACGATCACTATCGATGATGCGCTCAACGTGAGTGAACTCATCCTGTTCATCACGCTTTCTCTCTCGTTCGATATCCATGGCTTCGATATCTTCTTTCGTTGTCGATGGATCATTGCGGATTTCTTGGTCCAACAATATGTACTGTTTAATATAATTGTCCACCTTTCTAAAACCTTTATAGTCTTTGAGAGTCTGATACGATTCCCAAGTGTTATGCAAATGCGACTTGTCAGACCATTTGACTTTGAATAGATAGTCCAATTTAGGTTGGCCTGTCACTTCGGCATTTTCTTCGTTGAGTTTGTGGTCCAATACTAAATCTATACCACGAGTTGGCTCATCTTGCATTTGCCTGTTCATAGTAATAGTAATCATTTATCGCCTCTTCGTCACTCTCTAACAAATCGTCGTCATCGTCATAATTCCACCGCGTAGTAATGGCCGCGTTGTTTCTAGTAGAAAAACGAAGTTCTGCCGGGGGGCTGGCCGAGTTTTTACTGGTTTTATGGCTCTTGGTGCTTCTTTTTCCCAGTCTAATGCCCGAAGTGCCCTTCCTGGCATTTTGTTTCAGTTTTTTTGTTTCCACGCCGAAATCATCGTCATCATCATCAACATCAGACTCCACATCAGATTCGTCTTCATAGTCGTCATAAGAGACCTTCTTCCCTTTTGGTATCGTGTCCTCGTCGTCACTTTCGTCGATCACTGCAGTCACTCTCCTTTCCCTATTGGAACGCCGAAGTCCGTAAAGCTCAGGATTCGCTTCAATTTCATCGTCTAGCTTCACCATTTCCTATTATTCGAAAAACACGTAATGTAGCTGGATGAATTGCAAAAAGATTAGGTAGAGAGTGCTAAAAAATAGGTAAACGCAAAGTAAACACGATTTTGGAATGTATTTACCCGTGATTAGTGGGAATATGAAATAATAGGTAGATCAGTATCTCTGCAAATAAGAGTCTCGAAAAGAACAATGGAAGATATTAGCAGATAAATTAAGTCCTTGGAACGGTCTTGAACTTGAGGTTTGCTGTGTTTATTTTTCTTTCAGTTACCCCAACCGTGTTTATTGGTGGTTGATTTTGGAGATGATAGGAAAAAAACAGAGGGAAAAAAATTGGGCGAGATTCCATGCGCCAACAACAACGTCTCCTCGACTTTTGAGTACAACACGTTCTACAAGGCGAACTTACAAGGAAGATCAATTACAACGACAGTAGGGAAAATTGACGTATCTGAGTAAAATTGATTGCGGAAAAACCTCGAGTACATACTTTGACCTTCATTCCGGTGCTGATTTTCTATAAATGCGTAGAGGCAATTCCTCAATACGTAAGGCCGATTGTGAGATGCAATTGATAACAGATCTCTTTCTTTAGACACTTACCTCGTGGAGATTGAGACAGACTGAACAACTTTGAAAGAGCATGAAGCTAACGCGTTCTTCTAATCCATTAAAATATAGGAATCATGATGAATCCGTATCCGTACTGATGCTGCCAGTAGTTGTCATCTAGAAGAACGTGGTCGTGAAAGAGACGCGTTTTACTCAACGGCCTTTTGGACAAAAGAATATTCTGTGAATCTGAAAGAAAACAGTTCACGTTCCATCTCCCTAATTCGCTTCCGTATCCATATTCGGTGTGGATTCCCAGTTTTCGGTTATAGCCACCAGCACGTTTTGTCCATGAAGAGCAAATTCTGCATCAGATTGCCTAAGTCACTAATGTTGAATTAGCGCCAAGTTTATGCATGAAAAGAAAGCTTCAGGTAGACATTAGCTTTCTATGCTTCTCCGTAAGTACGTGGCTTTGCAATTATTCATCTTAGACGACCAATAACACGCTTCTTCGGTTCTTGTACCAACTATCAGCGGATGCAGCTCCACGTGAAAGTATTCGAAGTCTTCCATAACCCAGTGGGAGCCTCCAATATGCGAAACACAACATAACTTCGACCGATTTCACAATTGGTGAGGGTTTTTTCCCTCAAGAATCAATGCATAGTGATTTCCGCTCCTTTCGGATATGATTCATATGTTCTTCTGTGAAGAAAAACAAACTAAAGTTTGGGAAGAATGAAAAAAAGAAGGGGCGCAAATTGTCCTCTGGTTTATTGTTCGGCGCACTACTTTTATTCATTCTTCCCTGTCTTCCGCTAACTCCATCTTCTTTAGGTATAGCAATTTTAAGATGAATGCAAAAAAAATTAAGGCTCTTCGGCGAGCTAGCGTAATGCTAAAAAGAATCTAATTATTGTACGTCTATTCTAGTGGAACGTTAATTTTACCAATTAGCTAGCCAAATTGTATTAATTAGCCAAATCTAACCAAAGTTCGCTTTTGTTGCGCGTAAAGTAACGTGCAAGAGTACGCTTTGGACTGCCCGGAATAGCTTGCCAATCGTAACTATAGTCCACACTTCTTTGCTTACAGACACCTTAGGCTATATGGAAGAACACGCCTATCCCTTATCTATACGAAGACATCAAAACTTTTTTATTTTTCTCGATAATAATCTTTTGGCCTTCATGTATGGTACCATGGGACTGCCAATGCCCAATGAGCACTGCGCATTTAGTCATGTGCTGACCTTAACTACGGGCGCAACAACAATGTGTAAACTTGGGCACTAAGAATGCGACACAAGCAGGAAAAAAAAAAAAAACCAAATGGAATGAGACAGGCATTAGTGAAAAAAATTGTGTGAAGGACTAGACAAAAAACTTCTGAAACTACTTTTGCCAGCAAAATTTTCAAGCAACCATGAGCGGAAAAGGTGCCAACAAGAACGCCCCTGCATCAAAAGGTACAAGAATCGCCATTGTCAGTACTGACAAGTGCAAGCCGAAAAAGTGCAAGCAAGAGTGTCGCAAGTCCTGTCCTGTGGTGAAGACGGGTAAATTATGTATTGAAGTCACTCCCGCATCCAAGATTGCCTTCATTTCTGAGACTTTGTGTGTTGGATGTGGTATTTGTGTCAAGAAATGTCCATTTGATGCCATTAACATTATCAACTTACCAACAAACTTGGAAGCTGAAACCACTCACAGATACTCTGCCAACTCTTTCAAGTTGCACAGATTGCCAACACCAAGACCAGGCCAAGTTTTAGGTTTGGTTGGAACTAACGGTATTGGTAAGTCGACCGCTTTGAAGATCTTGGCTGGTAAACAAAAGCCAAACTTGGGAAGATACGACGATCCACCTGACTGGGAAGATATCTTGAAGTATTTCAGAGGTTCTGAGTTGCAAAACTACTTCACAAAAGTTTTGGAGGACAACATCAAAGCCATCATTAAGCCTCAATATGTTGACAACATCCCAAGAGCATTGGCAAAGTCCCCTGTGAAGGATGTTAGCGGCATCTTGAAGGCAAAGTTGCAAAGGGAAGAAGACTGGCCCTATGTGAAGAGACTTTTGGAACTTGAACCTATTATTGACAGAGACATTGCCAACTTGTCCGGTGGTGAGTTGCAGAGATTTGCTTTAGCCTTGACTTGTGTCCAAAAGGCCAATGTGTACATGTTTGACGAGCCATCTTCTTACTTGGATGTTAAACAGAGATTGAGAGCTGCCGAAATGATCAGATCCTTATTGGACCAGACCACCTACGTTATCTGTGTTGAGCACGATTTGTCTGTTTTGGATTACTTGTCAGACTTCGTTTGTATTTTGTACGGTGCTCCATCTGTGTACGGTGTTGTGACTTTACCATCTTCTGTGAGAGAAGGTATCAACATCTTTTTGGACGGTTTCATTCCAACAGAAAACATGAGATTCAGAGACGAGTCCTTGCAGTTCAGATTGGCTGATGCTGCTGACGGTTTGGTGTTAGATCACTCTAGCTCTCTTGAATATCCCGACTTGGAGAAGACTCAAGGTGATTTCCACTTGAAGGTTGAGAAAGGTGAATTCACCAACTCTGAGATTTTGGTCATGTTTGGTGAGAACGGTACTGGTAAGACCACTTTCTGTAAGATCTTGGCTGGAGCATTGGAACCAGACAACAACAAGTCTAGTCTTCCAAAGATGAACATTTCCATGAAACCACAAAAGATTGCACCAAAATTCCCTGGTACTGTTAGACAATTGTTTTTCAAGAAGATCAGAGCCGCCTTCTTGAACCCGCAATTTCAGACCGATGTGGTTAAGCCATTGAAGATTGACAACATTATTGATCAAGAAGTCCAGGTTTTGTCCGGTGGTGAATTGCAGAGAGTTGCCCTTGTGTTGGCCTTGGGTATCCCAGCCGACATTTACTTAATCGATGAGCCTTCTGCATATTTGGATTCCGAACAACGTGTGGTCTGTTCGAAGGTAATCAGAAGATTCATTTTGCACTCGAAGAAGACTGCGTTTATCGTTGAGCACGATTTCATGATGGCCACATACTTGGCTGACAGAGTGATTGTGTTTGAGGGTACTCCATCCAAGGACGCCTTGGCCAAGGCTCCAGAATCTTTGTTGACCGGTTGTAACAGATTTTTGAAGAACTTGAACGTAACCTTCAGAAGAGATCCAAACTCGTTCAGACCAAGAATCAACAAGAAGGACTCGCAGATGGACAAGGAGCAGAAGTCTGCTGGAAATTACTTCTTCTTGGACTCTTCCGAATTATAAGGCTGTCGTTTCAGCTAGGGTGTCCTGTCTGGCGGGGCTTTTTGGGACTTTTATTTGCATGTACATTAGATTAGCCACATCTTTGGTCTACTGTGTATGGGCTGTCTACACGTATGACGTGCCATAGGCTAGGCTACGATTCTATAGAATAATCGCTACTAATTAGTTTTTCGTAGTGTTAAGAAGTACTTGACAAGAATTAACCTACAGTGCGTTGCGAGGCAAACAATCATAGAACCGTAACATACAGAATCTTATTGCCATCGCATAGCTCAGACAAATACTATAAGTCTATAAGCTGGAATGGGCAATTGCAGTTACCGCATTAAAGGGTACAAGACATAGTTATACTAACTTAAATCGAGTCCACCATTCTCAGCACGTGAGTACCACGTGATTTTCACATGAATCCCACGCTTTTAACACTCTTGATGATTGTTTAGTTCAACTCCAATGGCTTCAGAGGCGGAACTAATAAAAGAGGAGCATGAGAAGAAGTTGCATGAGCTCTTTTACCTTTTCTCGAATCCCTTGCAGTCGCTAGATGACTTTCAAAGCCATCTTAAGGATGGTGCTGCTATCCAGTTTCTTCGTGACAATGACATCAAGAAGAACGCATCCGTCGTTTTCAAATCGCTTCCTGGGGTTTCCAATTACGAGAACCTCAGACGCGAGATGACGAATGCAATACAGGCGGAATTGTATGGTGCTGATGAACGAAGGAAGAGAAGCGCTGAAGATTCTGAATCCGCAAATTATCTGAAAGCACACAAATCCCATACATCAGATTATCCAAGCAGATTAATGCCTGCTTCTCAAAAAGAAAAGCCTACTAAATCTGGTGTTACCTCTATCATGTCTCAGATCGAGGTTTTGGAGGCAGAAACAAACCGCTTTCTTGACACGAGCATTAACGATTTAGAAATATTATCTTTACCCGAACACTATCCAACAGATGTTCACAACGTCTCCTCATTAGCGGAGCTTTATTACCTCACGCAGACACTACCCCTTATCAAGCTTTTACCTGGTTCCCACAAGGCTCTTATGACAGAAAACTTTGAGCTGGCGTTACTTGAGGGAAAGATTGCAGTACTCTATTCGCGTATTGAGGAACTAAAACGCCAGAAGAAATGGTCCTTGCGCCAACCATCAAGATATTATGATCCATTTTTATATTCGAAAAAGAATAAGAAAACCAAGCAACATCATTGGGATATACTTCTTGAGGAAGCAAAGTGGATGGCAACTGATTTCAACGAGTCTGGAAAGTTTAAGAAGGCATGCTGTTTTGAGTTAGCGCAGGCGGTCCAAGATTATTGGTCCTACGGTAAAGTAATGTGCATCAAGAGAAAACCCATTGTCCATCTCGATGAACGCACTGAACATCAACAATCCGAGTCCAACAATATAATGAAGAAGGAGCCTACGCCTTCAATAGTAGAACCAGAACTCAAAAGTCAAGTTCCAGAAATTCCTGACCAAGATGCAGGGAAGCCAGCTGAAGCGGAAGACGTTTCTATGGAAGAAGAAGAAGATGAAGAAGAAGAAGAAGACGAAGACGACGAAGACGAAGAAGTAGAAGAGGAAGGGGAAGATGATGATGAAGCAGACGAAGAAGAAGAAGTAGAGAATATTGAAGAAGAGCCCTCCATTGATATCAGCAAACTACTCGAGCGTCCTAGACCAGAGGATGAAATCATCCCCCCGGAGCTTCCATCGTACACGCCTGAAGAAGTGCCAAAGCGCAGTCCTTTCAAAACACACATTTCGCTCAAGGACCTCAAGAAGATTGACCAATCCATTATTCTCAATTTGCCTAAATTTACCGCATTTGACAATGAAAGCCAACCTTCATTTAAACCAGGGGAAAATTCAATTGTTCCCGTCTCCCGCATGCTTCACCCATTTGACGATGATGACGACTGGCACAAGATTGTTCTCAAACGGACGACGCCCGAACAGGGACAAGATGGCCCACCTGCCTTTCAGAAGGGTCTATTTGGAATGCAGTCGCATAGGAGGTTCAACTTTCTTCGTCCACCAAAGCCTCCCAATATCAAAAATATCCGTTACCGATCACCCACCATATGGCTTCCTCAAGATGATAAGCATTTGATTCACTACGTGGCAGAATACTGTTTCAATTGGGATTTGATTGCAGCAAGTCTTCGCCCCGTTTCCACAATGCGCAGCTATGAATCCAACATCGAGCGCCGTACGCCGTGGCAATGTTTTGAGCGTTATATTCAACTCAACGAGAAGTTTCAGTTTTCTGATATGAAGGGCCACCATGCCTATCAAGCACAGCAATGGCTTGAGCATGCACACAAGGCACAACTGACTACGAAGAGACGTATTTCGCCTCTTGGAGTTGGCGCTGAATCGATCCAACGCGGTCACCGCCGTTTACGTTGGGCCTCCATGTTTGATGCCATGCGTAAGGCTATGCGCAGACGTGAGACTTCAGCTGCAAAGGCAAGCCGTCGTAGCACAACAAGTGACTTCGGGCCGGGGGCAGCGGGATCCAAGCGAACTGGCGACCGCACTCCTACACCAGCCGAACTTTCCAAGCTCAAGTTTGATCGAGACAAAACTATTCAAGAAGCATACATGAATCAGCAAGCGACTCGGTCTCGTATGATGGCAGCAGTGAAACCTGAACAGCGTGCTTCTAAGCCAGGAAGCATCAAGCGCCCCACAACCCCTAACGGTACACCGTACACTGTGGAACAAATCCAGCAACTTCTCCAGCTCCAGAAACAAAGACGTATGATGCAACAGAAGCCTTTCACTGCGGGTCCTACAGGAAGTAGCAATGGAGTAGGCGGAGCGGGAGGGCTTTCTATTGGTCCAGGCACCGGATCTGCTGCTCAGCCTGCAGCAACGTCTTCTTTGGGTGTTCCAGGCTCTGTTTCTAACTCTGCTCCTGGGTCCGTTCCTGGCTCTGTTTCTGGATCTCTCCCTGGGGCTCTTTCAGGACCCATTCCTGGTAGTGCAGCTGCAGGGAATCAGAGCTCAGCATCTGCCCCTGTCCCTGGCTCAGGTCCGTTGTCTGCAGCTAAACGTCCCAAGGGCCGCATCCAATTTGCGCCTGCACAGGTCTCAGCCATAATCAACTCTATTCAGCAAAAGAACCCAAACTTGTCGAAGGAGCAGGTCACTAAACTTGCTGCGTCGTATTTGGCTAACTTGCAGCAGCAACAAAACCGCCTTGACCGCCCGCAGCTGGCAGTTCAACAGAATGTTCAGGCACGGCAGATGCTGCTCCAACGCCAAAAGCCAAAGGACGATCAACAGTCACTTTCTAAGATGCACTATGAGGAACGTAAAAAGTTGATGATGCAGGGACAACTGCAACCTCAGTTTCCCCCTTCATCGACTACAAGACGTCCAAGCCCAGGCGGCAGGGCGTCCCCATATGCGGGTCAGAGCAGGGTAACCAAGGACACATGATTTATACCTTTAGTTGAAGAGCATTTGAGTAGTGATGCGAACTTAAATATCACGAATACTATACAATAATGACATTGATGATGACACTGATGATGACACTGATGATGATAGTACTCAACGTGGCCTGAAATTCAGCGGGAGCTTCTCTCTTTCTTCAAAAGCTCGCCGTTATTTCTAGCTTGGACAACTGCATGGTTAGCTCACAGATATAATTGATAGTCTAATGGTCAAATCCAGGTACGAAACACGAATCTAGTCAAATTATTTTCTTGTTGACCTTCGGTGGCTGTTGCAGGAGCAATTCTGGTCATGAAATTAGGCCATGATTTAAACTTCTTTGAACGTCTGCAACAGTAAATGAGGATATGAGCTCAACTCTTTTATTGCAACATTCTCTTTCGGTATATTGATTGTGTGGGGAGAGGTAAGCAGGCGATTCTTTACGAAAAGGTGGTTACTATTCTTTTCTGACCATGCATAATAGAGTAAAATTTTGGTGGAATAGGGGTTATTGTAACAGGATGATGAATCCGAACAATTGAGGCATGGGGTGCATATGCGATTGCCGCAGTATTGTTCTTAATGCACTTACATGAAGTAGATTGAACCTGCGCTTAGCGCTTTAAAAGAGTTTCATGTTTTACGAGAAAGAAGCCTATACAGGGAATTTTATGTAACACCGACTTGTAATTTTTGTAGAGGACTGAGAAAACTCAAAACTGTTCTAAAACTATCTTGTCCGGACAAGGCAACCAGATGTTTATGTGAATACTTTAACAGAAAACACTCTCTGCAAGACATTTACAGAAAAGTCAGAGTCTATCCCATTAACTGTTCACTTACTACGGATAGTAACCTCTACGAGAAGTTCTAGAGATGAAACAAACACTAACTACATTTAATATAGCTTCTCAGTAAATTTTCGGACAGACGGCTCAATAACTTTATCCAAAATGACACCCATATCTCTTGAACTAATAAACTTGATGTGTTTCGCATGCATGTACCGATATTCCTTCGTGCTAGCAAAAAGTCGCACTCATCTCCTCCACATGAAGCACAATATACACTTCCCAACAACACTTATCATACAATATTGATAGAAGCAAGATACTCATTCCAGAAAAGAAGGTATTTCAACGCACAGTTCCTGAAGCTTTCATCTATCCAAGGCTCTGATTTCGCTCTATAGACTATCTGGCCCATACCATTTCTAGTACATCAGAAGAGAAGGGAAAACAAAGACTCATGCCGTCGAGCACGCTAAGTTCTTCGCTACAATCGCTACGCAGCGTCTCCCGTTATCATGGTTTCTCTCGTCTTTTGAATTCTGTGGTACCACTGCGTGTGTTCAAGTGGCTATACTCCTTTTCGCTTGCCATTTTTGTTATTATCACAGCAGCATTTATTGTGGTCACTCCACTAGATATAGTTGTGCAAACATGGCAGTCCCAGGCACTGGGTCTCAAAGTCCTGATTATATTAGTGGTTCTAACAGCTATAGTGGTGGTGCTGCTGGTGCTTTATCTTTCGCGGTTGTACAATGGACTCGTTGTGGTGCGGCAGATTCCAGCACGATCCGTGTACGTACCCTTGGAAAAAGGTGACATGCTGTCGGATGTGTTGGAATACGTAGAGCTGCGTCTACGCTGGTGTGTAGGCGATGTTAAGCCGCGGGCGGGACCCTTGGCCAATCCAGAAACCATCTTCCCGTATCCGGGATTGGCTCCACCAACCTATATCCAGCAACGGAACATTCGCATGGGCCATGCGAAAAGCGGCACTTTCTTGCCACCGGATTGTGTCTACGAAGATATTGTTGATAGCTTGGGCCTCAAGCTTCGTGCCGAGGGATACCTATTTTCACACAAAGTCCCTGCGCACTATACCATGCGCGAGATACTCTTGTCTTTGGGCGGCGACGCCCCGTCGCGCGCTCTCGCCCTCCTGGTGGTACACCAGTACGAGGCGCTCAAGTTTGGGCCTGGATTGATACGCGAGCTGCAATTGACTGCATTTTTGGTTCAGGTGGAAAGACTCCTGATGAACGTTGTGGGGGCTACGACAACAGATGTAGCCAGTGCAAAAAGCGGCCATCTTGCTGTGCCTGGTTTTTTGTATCGCCAGCGCCGCCTGAGCAGTATGCTGGCTCGACCTAAACTTTCGCGCACGTCGAGCCGCACTTCTGTCATGACCAGTGCGACAGGCAGTTCGCTGGGATCCGTTATTCGCGCCCGGCTTCGAGCTTAGATACACAGCCGTCGGAGTAAAAGGCTACTAATATATAATGATACTTGTCCGGACACTGCTACAAGTGATTGCACATATGAAATACAACTAATGCATTTATGATTTGAGAGTTTATTCTTCTCTTCTGGGGTATGTAATCTGGCGGCCTATCGGGGATGTAATCTGGCGGCCTATCGGGGATGTCGGACTTATGTCACTTTGGTTGAGTTTGGCCATTAATTACGTGTTATCTTGAGCCGGCCCGAGTGCGAAACGTCTGCCCATGTAACAAGGGCTCTTTTTTTCTCTTATGTCGTCAAACGCAGAAAAAGCGATCACGGGGGCTATCGGATGTCGTTAGTAACAGTTTATCGACTTGTCATTTGTGAATACGATTCATGACCACGTCAACTCGCCTTTGTTTCTACTATGGAGCATAAATTACTACCCAGTCTGTTTAGTTTGCCCGACTCAAACTTGATACAGCTCTCAACACATAGTAAACGATTAAAGAATGTTGCGGAGCCGAAGAGTTAAAGCCTTTGTTCAAAATGAATGACTCCTTCGTTTCTGAATTGAAACTTTATTGCATAAGTACCTGCGTGTGTTTGCGTCCTATATTTCAACTGGGCTTAATCATTTCTCTTTGAAAGCTTTGTTTTAGTGTCGCTTTTGTCTTCTGTGACTTTCGAACTGTAGCCTTTTGCACCCAATTTGCGCAACGCATATTCCTTCACATCCCCTAAATAAGGAATCTGCCACAAGGGAGTGCATTCCAGTATATGAATCTGGCCTAGATGTCTCCGCGTATCCCCGTACTTCAGAAACTGACAGATACATGTTTCGAATTATTCTTCTTCAAAATAGTAATTCATTTCTTTGGTTCGCTAAGGAACCAATGCATACATAGTTGCAACTACTGATGGTTCTCATGTTCAATTATGCCAAACGTAGACTGAAACTTTCCGAAGTCTAAAGTCTCCTCTTTCTTCGACAAAGCGCAAGAAATGTCTAATGAGCCGAGCGTCCTGTTCCTCGGAAGTTAGCGCACTTCAGCTTCGTTGCATTTACACATTTTAAACTAGCGCGTTGCATCAAGTGCCCCATTATTATTCAGTATGCAATCGATATACTGCGAGGACAAAAAAACTATCTAACATTGTAATGCAACCCTTTTACGTGGCCACACACTGCACGCTTCTGCCTTCTCCTTCTCCTATTTAGAGCCACCTCTACACCTGGTTTCGAACGTCGTTCATTGCTAATGTCATGGCGCCTGCGCTCAGTTCTGACGCGGCCGAGCGACACCATCATGCACAAAGTAGTATACTACGCTTCCATCGTCATTGGCCAACGCCAACGTAAGCCGTCGAGGCCGCGGCCCATTAGCTGCTGCACACTTAAACCACTCTTCTACCGTATCAAGAGTCACATCGGCGTCCATACTGCACGGTACAACCCACTCCTTTTCGTTGGCGCCATCTTGTTCGTCAAGCTTATATGGAGGATAGCCACATAGGAGTACGTGTCCGTTGGTCAGTTGCTCTGCAACACCTGTCCATAGGTTGTAGTGCACAAGGTGTGTGCAGACTTGCTGTGCCAAACTCATAGTTTTACTCAGCCAATGAAGATCGCTAGTACGGTGGCAAAGAAGAGGCAAAGTAGGCTTAAACATCGCCTCGAGAGGTTGGATGGAGGACGCGCGACACCCGTGCCTCTCTCTACATCAAAAATTTTTTTTCACGCGCAGAGATGGAAGGGCGCCCGCACGGTCTAGACCCCGATCAATCCATTGGCTGCTGTAGTCCCATTAAGCTTCCGAGAAGAAGTTTTTTTCCTCATTGGGTAACATAATGGTCCACATACAATGAACTAAGAATCGATGGTTTTGCTAGTGGAGAGATGGCGCCACCAGAGGAAGCGCAAAGACAAAAAAAAAATCCCCGAGCTGTGAGCTTGGAGACTGTGCTGCCTTGGTTTCAGTGGCAATATAGGGGTCCAGAAACCTGATCTAGTCGTGTGCTAATGTAGTGTCAATGTTCAAAACTTACGCGGAGGCATCGTAATTTGTCGGGACATCTCATAATTGTCCTGTCACATCGGACATGTGCAGGAAGACGTTGGATCTGTTCCGCTCCAGAGTCTAGAATTGCAAACTGCAGGCGCATTTCACCGAAGCAGAGTGGGAAAACTTTGAAAAGAAAAAAAAATTTGATGGATGCAAAACTACATCTTATCAGCCTATATAAGACTGGGGTATCCCGTCGTTTGTATTTGTTCTCTAGCAATTTTCCTATCGATTGATCAGAGTCTCCTTCTTTAACGACTCTTTCTCTCTTTGCCTGTCTTCACTCTTTCGACAGCCTCTCTTCAACCCGACCAGCTTCAAACTAGCTGCTCTATTCATTCTTTGTTTGATTCGTTCTCTCATTTTTTGTCTCTATTTTTGATCTGTCTTTCTTTTCGTTATCTTCTGATCGATTGATACCTGCTCCTGCACCATGATCTTTGCACCCATTATCTTTTTTGCACTTTCCTTTGCTGCTCCTACAAAGAGATCCAATACGTGCCAATTCCCAAAAAACGATGGCTTAGTGGCTATCACTCCAAACTCCAAGAATGCCGGTTGGGCCATGTCTCCCGACCAACAATGTACCCCTGGTTCCTACTGCCCATATGCCTGTCCACCAGGCCAATTGATGGCTCAATGGGACCTGGGCTCGACGAGCTACACTACTTCCCAGTCACAAAATGGTGGTTTATACTGTAACGAAGATGGTACTGTTTCTAAACCATTCTCCAACAAAGACTACTGTGTGGACGGTGCTGGAACCGTCAAAGTTGATAACAAGGCTGGCGATAGTATTGCCTTTTGCCAAACTGTTTTGCCAGGCAACGAAGCCATGTTGATTCCAACCGAAGTGGACGGCGGCAGCTCGCAGACTTTGGCTGTACCTGATGAGAGCTACTGGGCATCTACTGCTGCTCACTACTATGTTAATCCATTGGGTGTTTCTGCTGACGATGGATGTGTGTGGGGTAGCCAGGATAAGCCACAAGGTAACTGGTCTCCATACGTTGCTGGAACTAACATGGATGGCGATGGTAACACCTACGCTAAGATTGGCTGGAACCCAAAATACGTGGAGTCTTTCACGGACAAGCCTAACTTTGGTCTCCGCATCACATGCGATGGCGGCGACTGCAATGGCTTGGACTGTGAAATTGACCCATCTAAGAACGGCGTCAACGAGATGAACGGCGCTGATATCTCAGAGGCCGATGGCGCTAAGTACTGTGTGGTTACCGCCAAGAACAAGTCTAGCGTTAAGATTGAGGTTTTCTCTGTCTAGATATGATACTGATTGCATTTTTCTTTCGATATATTTTGGATTTTTTTATAGCGTGGTTTTAGTTAATGGATTTTATTTTTGCGAAATGGTTGATTTGCACAACGTAACTTTGTATTGGGGCAACATTTTGGTTACGCTGCCCTTGGAGATATATCGCCGCGTGGATCTCCATTTGTATGTACCCTTGCATATACCACCCGCACTTAACGCGTAGTACAGGTGATGCAAGAAAAAAGAAATAAACATGCCTTAGACGAACGGAAGTGTCGCACATTTCGCCGAGTTTACATTTACGCGACAATGGTGCGCAAAAAATAATCAGCCAAGGTTAAAGCCGAAAAATTTTTTCACGTTCGATCTGCTAAGATAAAATGAATATTGAACGAATTAGACCCCATTAAACTCGGTAAAGTCTCTCTGCATCATACAGGATCATAATGAAGCGTTTTTGGCGTTATTGTTCAATTCTTTTTTAGTTTTTTTGTTTGCGGACGGCAATGTGGGCCTGCGCAAAAGCCGCTCCGATAATGGAGCGGAAGCGCAAGATCGAAGACGTTTTTCACCGACTTTCACATTCCTGTTACGGACATCGGCGCCGATCAAAATATTAATAAGAAAATTTATAAGGAAAAGAGCATAAATCTACCTCCGTTTTTCATGAGCGATAAACCAACTCCGCTCAAAGTCTATGGTCGAAGCCACTATGCATGTACTCGTTGCAAGCTGTCTAAAGTCAAGTGCCTGGGAGAAAAACCAGCATGTGCTAATTGCAAAGCTGTGCACAAGGAAGACCTCTGTCTGTATCCAACCCGTGATCGTAAAATAGTGATCATGGAATCAGATTTGAATAAGCTTCAAAGCAGAGTTGACCATTTGGAGGCGTTGCTAAAAGCGCAAACGCCATACAACTTTGCTCCTCTGCTGACCCACCACACAGATCACCTCGCCCAGCGACGCATAATGGGGTCACAGGCGCTGGAGTTTTATATTGTTCCTGGGCTGGCTGGTCCGATCCCAACATATCCGCTCTTACTGCTTTGCAGTCATCTTCTACCTGATGAGAAGTATGCTCGCGCTTTGATCGGTACCATTTGCCGAACGTACTCATCGGAGTTCTACTTGTGCGATGAGGAGGAGCTCACGGTACTCGTTGATGTCATTTACGAGTTCTTCGCCTCGCACAGCTTGCTGACCCTATCTAGCGCAGAAGATATCATCCCGTCGATGTCGCTTTGTCATTTCTTTATTGTCTTGGCCTTTGGTGAACAAATTCGAAACTCAACAGTGGACCCGCTTCCCGCGTCTATAACAGAGATCACTGGAGCTCCAAAAAAGGTTCCAGGTTTGGCATTTTATAATGTAGCTTCGAGGTTGTTTAATGCGGCAACTGACAATATCGATGTCCAGTTCATTCAATGCTCGGTGCTTTTGGGCTTGTTTGCCTGTAACTTAAATTGTTTCAACTCAGTCCAAACCTACTTTGGCATTGCCCTTCGCTCTGCAGTGGCAAACGGCTATCACAGACAAATATGCACAGATCAAGATACCAACCAAAGTAACGTGGAGGGCCTCAAGTTGAAGGAAAAAACGAAACGTCTATGGTGGTCTATCTATGTCATTGAAGTAGTATGGTGTTCGAAGATGACGATGCCAGTACACATCGATTACACAGATACCGATGTTCCGCTTCCGAACGAACGACCTTTGATAGACTTGCATGATGGGTTCAATACGGAAATTTTGGAGGTCAACGTCCACTTGGTTAAGTTTTTGGCTCAGTTCAACAAGCTAATCTATGGCCCTAACATAAGAACATACTCAGTGAATTATATCAACACAGAGAAGTTTAACCAGAAACTTTTGGTCAAGAATATCTTGGCGTCTCTCAAAACTATCGTTCAAGACTTCGAGGAACCTTATCTATGGCCTTATAAGACAATGAATGTCATTCATGCAACGAACCGAAATGTGGGTAACTTGATCTTGCGCTATAACCAAGTTGTCATATTGGTCATCGCTCCCCTTATATCTATAGTTTTTGACCAGACCGCTCCTCTTAATGTGGAGAACAAAACAGAGGCATTTGAGGCTATTGACCGGGGACTTGCCGCTGCAATAAGAACAATACTGACCCTCGTAAAGTTTTATGAACATGGAAAGCTATTTGTTTTGGGTTTTTGGGACAGCCAGCATTTGTTCTCAGCAATTTTGATCATAATCATGGCATCATTTGCTGTTGATTGTGGTATTCATCATAATCGTGCAATTGCATTGCTAAAATATATGGCCGATCATGATAATATTAATGCCAAAAATTGTCTTATCAAGTTGAGGTTAGTCCAAGAATCCCTAAACGAGATACCGGAAGTTAACTTTAATCTTGATCTAGACTCGGAAATCGATGTTTATTTACGGACTCCATATTTCGGTTCTTTGGAAGAGAGTGCCGCTCTGAAAGAACAGTTGGAATATTTCAACCCTTTCCAGGAGACAGATCTCCCTAAGTTGGCCAAATGCTGTCCTTCTGGTCTGCCTAAGCTGGTATTTGAATGTTTGGGTCTCACTAAGCTCCTGCCCAAGTCACAAGGAATAGTATCTAATATGGCGAGGACTGTCCTGGGTTGGGATGCGTTCAAAGGTATGTCTATCCATGTCAATGGGACAAGAATGGTTGTTCCACCGCAGGTTAATGAACGTTCGCTGTTAGGTCACAGTGAATTACAGATAAAAAATTTGATATAGGACGGGAATTTTTTTAATAAAATGATGAATTTGGCTGTGCATTCCAAGTATGTGAAAATTATATTATTGTTGAGACCATTCCAGGGATGCTTCTGGAAACACTTGTTCATCAATACTGAAGTGGTGATCTTCCAAATGCTGTTCGATCAATTCTGTCCATGGCCCGACAAAATCAAGTCCTACGTTCTTGTTATTCGCAAACCAATCCATAACTTCATTGTCTCCAAATAAACCCGAATCCGCTTCAAAAGAATCAACTGCAGCTTTTGCGTTGGTAGTCGTAAAATTAGAATCATTATCAATCGGAATGTTATTGTTTGAGGTCTGCTTTGGAGCATCTTCCTCAGGCACGTGCTTATCATTTGATTCTCCACTTTTCGTGCTCTTGAGCTTTCCTTTCATTTCAGAGTACAAATACATGAGGACATTCGAATATCTTGTACAAAGATGAAGCTCGTCAGGCGAACAATCTCTCAAAGTTATTGCAGCCTTTTGGATACTTTGTACGATTTCCTCCACCGAAATGAGCGAAAGTGAAAGAATAGTTGAATCAAAATTATCCACACTTGAACTCTTTGAATCTTTCGTGATATGCTCTGACGTCTTATGGGCTGTGATAGTCAAGTAGCACTTTACAATGAACGCCACGGCCCTCACAATACGTGTGACCCACCTTACGGGCATAAACCGTAGCATTTTTAGCTTGTGAACCCGGTGGGCCACAAAAAGAATTTCATTCGCTGCGTTGAACGCCTGTTCAATGTACTTCGCACTTTTTGAAATCTCGTCAAGTTTGAGAGTAAGCTTTCCATCCCGGAAACTTTCTCTGGTTTTCGAGGATGGACTCAACGCCAACGAGTAAATATAAAGTTTGGTATAGTTGAATTCAAAAATGAATGACTCGTTCTGGAGAGCTTGTGAGACCTCGATTGCCTGTTTCGATTCTGGATCTTGCATTGCTTCAAATGTAAACTTGCGCATGCTTTCAGGCGATGTCGGAACCAAGAGACTTTTGTACTTGTATCCCCAATTATTTATCATGGGACTCATAATACTCAAAACTGCAAGATTTTGACGCTGTGTTAGCAGGCCAAGTTGCGCTTTGTACCCGTAAAGGGATTCGTGACCCAAAGACATGATTTGGAGCAACTCAATTTGTGCTCTCTGCGCATGTGTGAAATGAAGAGCATACTCAGCTGGAACCCGTTTTTGGTCCTCCTCAGACATATTTAGCACCTTATACTCATTGTCTTCTCTTCGCTCCATGTCGTCTTCTGTAATTTCCTCGTGGTCCAATTCTACTTCTGCCAATGAGTGTCCTAACATACTTCGCCTGCTCATGTTCATCACACTGTTGATTTCTGCAATATGGGTAGCCAAAAATGTTTTCGAGCTGAGCTCCATGAATCCCGTATCCTGGGCAAGACGTACAGCAGAGCCTATGAGCATCCAAGCCATTCTATAGGACCGTCTCATGGCCCCTAATCCAGCAGGCTCGTCAGCAAGCGAAACGGAACCGGCCGTTTGGTTGTTGAAAGTGGGCGCACGAGTATCTGTGGCGTCGTCGGCCTTGTTGGCGTAGTCGGACCAACGCCAATGGATGGCACGGGGGTTCCATTCCGTGAATAGTAAAAAAGCAAAAACTGTTCCTATAGAACGGGTCGAGGCTTCAGCCCACACGGTCTGAGAGATCAAGCGCTGTACATATAGCCAGAGGCGGTCATGTATTTCAATGTTCTTCGCCACACCTTCGGCATTGTGGGTACCAAGCGAGTGGTAACGGGAAGCGATGGTTAAAATGGCACATAGTAAAATCGGATAGCCAGACAAAACCTTGGCCAGGTGTAAGAATTTTGGGATATGCGGAAAGAAGGGGTGCATGGTCAGAAAGAACATTCGAATCAAATAATCCGCCTCGGCTGCCGTCAAGATGCCATCGTCTCCAATATATTCAATATGTGCCAAATCATTCGTTCCATTTGGACGAACAGCATACGCACTTTCAGCGGGCGGCACAGCTAAACGTTTGTTTCGCAGTATTGGACGGTTGTAGTAAGGTGGAATAAGCGACGCCATTGAGAGGGGAAGCTTTGTTTCTTCGATCTGCGGTGATGACTCCCCCGAGGCGCTTTGCCGGGTTGAATTGACTGGAGTTGGTCGCTCAGAATGTCGTTCTAGTTGGTCATATTTTGCACGAGCATCAATGTTGTCTCTGCTATCGGCAGTAGCGATCTTGCCTGCTGCATTAGCCAAGAAGACCAAGGCACCTTTCCATGGTTGAGAAATGTTTGGGCGTCGGAGATTCTGTGTCAGATTTTTCAGTTGGTTCAGCCTTAAGTGACAGTTCACCAAGTACTTCATTATGGTAATTTCCTACCGATCGTTTTTTCAGATCAACAAAGACACAGTCCCGTCTTTCTCTTTCACAACGAGCACAACGGTCCTTAGGGTTCAGCGGACTCCCTAAATCACATTTCACTTTGCGAACACGGCAGTTCAAGCAGGCAATGTAAGCTCTCTTGAATTTCTTTCCTGATGGGCCGTTTTCCATGGGCCTGGTAGTGAAGAGGTGAGTGATGGTGCGATGCAGGAGATTAGTGAGTCTCAACAAGGTGTATCTGGTTGCACTTGTAGATACAAGTTAATAAACAGGTGAAGTGTTATTGATTGACAAGGTAGTCGCTTGGAATGAGCATAATTCATTGTATGAGACAACTGAACAGCTAATCCTAATTTGGTGAAAGTTTTCGCAATTGGATTGGTTGTCCGCCTTGGCTAAATGCATTAAACGCACAGTGTTAGTGTTTGTAAATACATCTTTCACACTCCGGAAAATTTAACACATCGAAATTCTCTTACAAACTTTCCTTGTTTACCTTCATTGGTAGCGCCAAGGTAAAAGAGGAATACTGCAGCGTCAAAGAGGAATATACACAACAACACAACTGACAATCATAACTTTCAATAATAAGCGAATCTACAGTTTCTGAACAACTATCATAGGTCACGCTTGAAAGGGAACCTTAGTTCTGAAATAAAATAATGTTCATTATAACCCGGAATAACTCTACTTCTTGTACAACTGCAACTTCTTCACTTGTTCCTCCAATGATTTCAATTTTGATTGCATCTCCTCCAAGTCCTTGTTTAGTCTGTTTCTCTCGTTGACAATGTTGGTTTCCCATTGTCTGAATCTCTGTTCTTCGGCTTTCACTTGTTCCGTGAAGAATTTCTTCAATGCATCCTCTTCCTCTTTGAATTTTGGATTGTGCAATCTCCGTGGCTTCTTCATGGCAACGTTCTCTTCGTCGGTTTTACCATCATTCAAATCGCCCATCTTCAAAGAACGGAAGGTTTCAAAGTGAATCTCATTCGTCAGCAAAATCAAGTCCAACATATTTGTTCTCAAGAGGAGGGAGCGTAACTTCTTGAAATCACAGTGTCTTTCATTCTCCACTTCAACGACTCCCCATGGATATCTTCTTCCACGTACAAAGTTGCCCGGAGAAACCTCAATCTCCTCTTCAGCTCCAATAACGGCGAAAGGCATTGCCTCAATAAGCTGCTTAGAGTGCTCGGCACTTGCAGCATCGTCAATATCCAAAGGAGGAGTGTAAATATTTATGTCCTGCGCCTCAATCACCTCTCTGATTCTTGACTTGAAGGTGTCCAATTCACTTGGGGCCAAGGTATCGGCTTTGGCAATGACAGGAATCAAGTTAACTCGAGTCGACAATCTACGCATGATCTCAATATCCAACGGTTTTAAAGAGTGGCCCGTAGGACGAATGAAATACAAGCATGCATGGACACGCAAATCTTTCTTAGACTCTCTTTGAGGCTGCTTTTCCTGCTTCATGTAAGATTCGTGCTGGTCGTCAATGAAATCGATAATTGGTGCCCACGAGTCTTGATTGTTGACGTTGTTTCCGAATCCGGGGGTATCGATGATGTTCAAGCGCATCTTGAAGTTCTTTTCTTCCAACAATGCACGTACGATAGAAATCTCCACAGTTTGGTGGGCACTAGTAAACTTGTTGTGTCTCTCGTTGGGATCTTCATGTTGTTTCAACACCGAGTGGAACAACGTGTTGACGAATGTTGTTTTTCCCAATCCGCTCTCTCCAGCAACCATCAAGGTGAATGTAGCACCTTGGTTGGACACAATCTTGTACTTTTGGTTTGGCAAATTAGCAATACCAACGGGTTCAGGCATGTTGGGCAGGCTGGAATTGGCTAGACTGAGGTGTTTTCAAATCAAAAGGTGGTGGTGTTAACAAAAAAGAGTGCGAAAGAACTGTATTGTATGCAGGTGATTATGCCATTCTCTAAACGCGTCGACTTTCGACTTCGACAAAATAATATTTTCACAGGTGCCAGCTTTGTCCATAGTATAGACGTAAGCTTACCCATTTGTTTTTTGCTACTTACTGTTATTTCCTTTTTTACTGTGCGTTTCTATACATTTAAGTTTCAAGTGTAGTACTCAAAACTGTATGGGCTGGAACTTTAAATTTCGCCCCTCGGTTTCAGCCGGCAATGCATGTGGATGTGTGAGAGGTTTCTCTAGTGTACATATTCGTAATGATTCGGAACGCGCCTAACTAGATCGCATTGCTCCAAAACGTGTACTCGAATTCCTTCATTCATTTTATATATTTTCGCATTCGATCATATTCACGATCCTCAAATGGGCTTCTCTTCTGGACACTTGGGTACCAATCTTCATCAAAGCCTCATCAAGATATAAAAAAAAACGTCGAGTTGAAGGGAGAGAGAGGGGGTAGAGGTAAAGACGTATAAGTTACAAAAGACAAGCAGAACTAAACAGAAGGTAGAAGCATGAAAGAAGGCGTTGAACAGTAATTAGCTTACTCTTCTTCTGGCTTCGCCTCTGTTGGTTGTGCATCTTGCTCGTCCTGTTGCGCAGGGGTTTCAGACAAGTCGGTCCACAAGGTCAAGTTATCTCTCAACAATTGCATAATCAAGGTGGAGTCTTTGTAGGAGTCTTCCGAAAGGGTTTCCAAGTCAGCAACAGCATCGTCGAAAGCTTGCTTTGCCAAGTGGCAGGCTCTATCTGGCGAATTCAAGATTTCGTAGTAGAAGACAGAAAAGTTCAATGCTAAGCCCAATCTGATTGGGTGGGTAGGTGGCAACTCGGTCACAGCAACGTCGGAAGCAGCTTTGTAAGCCTCTAAAGACAAGTCAGCAGCTTCCTTTCTTCTGTCTGCAACTGCAAACTCGGCCAAATAACGGTGGTAGTCACCCTTCATCTTGTAGTAGAATACCTTGGACTCGCCAGTTTGAGCAGAAGAAATCAAGTGGTCACTCAAGACAGACAAGATGTCTTCACAAATTTTTGTCAACTCGGCTTCGATTTTAGCACGGTATTCTCTAATCAAAGCAACTTGTTGCTCATTGCCCTTGACTTCTTCCTTCTGTTCAATGGAGGAAACAATTCTCCAAGAGGCACGACGTGCGCCAATGACATTCTTGTAAGCAACAGACAACAAGTTACGTTCCTCCACGGACAATTCTTGACCGGAGGAGGCAACTGCCTTCATGTTCTCCACCATTTCTTCATAACGCTCAGCTTGTTCAGCTAACTTGGCGAGGTAGACAGAATCTTCACGAGAGGCGGGCATTTTTAACTGTGGGTTAGTATTGGGAAAAACTAAATTTGACCTAGCGCAATTGATCGATTGTGTTCAAATGTGTTTACACAAAGTAACGTTGGGAAAAAATCTCGACAACTTGGCGGGTCGTGTCCAAATAGTGTGCGGTGTCGGGTGCACGGGTCTGACCACTCTTGCGCACCTCCCCACCCCCCTCCATATTGATGCACGGTTGAGAAAACTTGCCCCAATCATCGGGATTAACAAACAAGTGGCAATTCTAAACGCAACTTTCTGCTTTAGTAGCCTGCTAGTGCACCTTGCCTGTAATTTTTGTGATGAAATCGCGTCTTGAAGAAAATCAAAGCGAGAAAAAAAAAAAAAGAAACGCTGGATCAACAGGACGGAACATGCATGGTAAGGATGGGGGTCCACTGTCGTAGAACTGTAATTCTCAATAAAGAGGTGATCATCCTTTGCGAGTTAATTGCAGAAAAGGAATTGATGCAAGGAAGAGGGCCAGACTATTCAACCGAGACAGGTGACCAGATGGCAAAAACAAAACATATGATTCCAACATCAAAAAAAAGCTAGCAGGGAGAAACAAAAATCAATCAAAGGCTCTGTAGGCTATGGAAATAGTTATGGTAAACCGTTTGGGCCAAATACATACTAATCTTGGGGAGTGGTTGAAAGAGGTTTAGTTCTCAAGCAAAAGAGAGGAAGCAAAAACCGCAGGTGATTAAGGCGTCGGGGGCTACATTGGGCCCGCGTTATTATGTAAGCCGCCCGCAGTAAAATGTCGCAGCTACCAGCCAATAAATGTCGCGCACCGCCTAAAGGCGGAAATATTCGCCGTAGGGTGCCGAAAGCGCCTACGACTTTTTTTTGGCAAGGAGAGAATGGCAGGTAACCACATGCGACATTTGACAAGTACGTAAGTAGCAATAGTCTAGGACGTCTGTACATCTGCATCTTCTTTCGGTTTGCTATTTTCTCTTTTTTTTTTTTTTTTCATACGCCTCGGGCAGGTGTGCACCAATGAGCATATACGTCATGGTTGCCGTCACATGACTGGAAAATCTACGAATTTCCATCTGATCTGGTATTGTAGATGCAAGTTGGCACGAAGTTAGACATGCCACATTCGGTCCGTTTCTTCTTTCATTGAGAGTACACGTGAAGGAATTTTCCTCGTATGCAATTTCCATTTCGGGCATTCTCTACAATATTTTATTTCTGTGTCATCACGTATTTAGTATACATTCTAGTCGAGTTGCATGGTCTCATCCAAATGGAGGACATTAGCGTTCAATTTGAAAGATTGAACCTCCTTCATTTTGATACCGAAACGGGCATCTTGAACTAACTGGCTCAATGCATGGACTAATGCCATGTATTCGCCCGACATTTGGTACTGAGAGTGTACCCAGCTAGGTCTAATTGTCTTGTTTCCTCCAGTCAATCTTATAACCTCGTTGACGTTGTTGTTCAATACAATGGTAGTCGATTCTCTAGCCACAGCAGATGCTTGTGTGCCGAACTTCAAAAGCGACTTCAATTTTAATGCACTAATGCCCAAGGCTGGTAATGGAACTTCTTTTCCTGGCAAGGACAATTTGCTGGCGTCAATACCGTGTCTTCCAGTAGGGTTTGCAGTAGTTAAGATCTTGGCAAATGGAATGTGCTTAACTCTTTGAATAGGCTTTGGACGGGCCAAATGTCTATTACTCAACTCGCTCAAACCCAACTTGTGCACCTTGATTTCGTCCTTGATAGCATTAAGTTGCAGATGGACGTCACCGTTTTCGAAATCAACAGGGAAGGATTCACAAGTGTGTGTCAACTTGAAAGGGAAAACAGAGAACTTCTTGTCAACTGTGGACAACAACTTTCTGGCACTCTTCAATCTCAAATGGTGAGTGACTGCAACATCACGAATGAAAATGGTTGGCTTGGTCTTTGGATCGTCGACATCTTCTAATGTGATCAAGCCCTTTTCTTTGAAGTCCCCAGTAGAACATAATCTCAAGTCTATGTTGTATACTTCACCAGCCTCAACCACAAAGTCATCAGTAGGAACGGCACTTAACACGTTGGTTCCCTCGGGCTTTTTGTTGTCCAGAAGAATCAAATCTGTTCCTGTGCTCTTCTTGAGAAGCTCTGCCTCCTGACTGCTTTCGTCCCACACAACACCTTTGAAATCTTTCTCGGCGACTATACCTTCAGCTTGACCAGCCAAAAATCTTCTGATTCTTCTTATCTTCGAACCAGGCACAACAACGCACCCGAATGAAGATGCAATGCTATTGACAACGTCTCTGAGCAAAGAGCCGGTGATGGCATTAGGTGCATTGGCCAAGCCTGGAATGGATTGGATTTTCTCTGGTGTGAGCGCAAGTCCCACAAGGGCAACAGCGGCTTCTGTAGCAATGTAACTTGCTACGACGGCATCAGCCTTTGGTCCCAACAATGGTCCCTCTGGTTTCAACTCATTGTCCACCATAATCCCTTGAGGGTAAATGACAATGGTGTGCGAAGACAAAGCAGAGTAACCATCGATTTGAGCACCAAGAGAAATGGTCACCACATCACCAGCTTGAAGGATATATTGGGGCGAAGAAACGTCAAACTCAGGAGAGACATTGGCGACAAACTCATTGACATCAAAAGTCACAGGATGTGCAATACCTTTCTCTCTTACCTTATCTTCATCTTTGTACACATTGTTAATCAACTTCATGATCATGGAATCTCCCAAGACACAAAGTTCTTGGATCGAGTAAGGTCTCTCGGTCTTACCCAAATGATAGGAATCATTGATGAGCTGAATCAAATATTTGAGCGTGGTTTGTGATATATTACCAGCCGTTCTGTATTTTTCCAACACGGACTCGCTCAACTTATTCCTCTCATTGAGCAAGATGTTAGCATCATCTTGGTGGACAGCTAACTGCATTATTTCTGTTGTGCTGTGAAATAATCAGTCTAAGTGCAGAAAGATTTTTTCTGAACTATGGAGAAGAGATGCGATGCGCGCCGGTATAGAAGTAATAACCAGGCATTCGTGTGAAAGGACGAAATGAAGCGGAAACGACGTGCCAAAAATTAAAACCCCTTCTCTAAACGGAATAGCTTCATTAAGCGATCCTTCAAATTCTCTCTCGGAAGTGAGATGCAAAAAAAAAAAAACACTAAAATACAAAAAGTAACGACAACTGCAGGACTCGAACCTGCGCGGGCAAAGCCCAAAAGATTTCTAATCTTTCTCCTTAACCACTCGGACAAGTTGCCTTGTTATAAACAAAATTATTGAAGGTATGTCATAACAAATTATACTAAATCAATGGTTCACATCAACTTCATTTGGAATGGAGCGGTGCTTTTCAATGAATTTCCATTTTAATGAAACCACGGAGGTAATTAAAGCCACGAATCGTATTGAAGTATTTATATTTTTGAATTTTTTTCACTAAATACGTTTGACTACAGAAAACTGCGAACTGTCTTACCGTAATGAAAAATAGCATTGCACAATTTACCTCCATGAACCCTCATATATAGTTTAATAATGCGTTGAGCTTCTCCTTATTTTCCAAAAGCACAGTCGCCGCACGACTCATGGCGTTTTTCTTCGATGCATCATAAGCAACAGAAACAACCTTTTCCTTGACCTTTAGTTCGGCCTTGTATCTGTTATTCTCAGCATCGAAGGAAACCGCATATTCTGGCGTAAGCCCCAACGTGCGACCGAAGAAAGCATACGCCTCATTCTTGGCAAACTTGTTAGCAAAGACATGACTGCCAGCTATCAAGGGAAACTCTGCAGTATTCGTTTCTGGAGCATCACTCTTACTTTCTCCGGCTTCTCCAGATACGACAGATATAGATCTGTCTGTTTCCAATCTCCGCCTTCCATACTTTTCCAACATTGGTTTGTTTTTGAGAGCTGCCATTGCTGCACGAAGGCCTGCATCCCGTAATCCAGGTGCCACACCCTCTCCCAAAACATTATCTTCCATTACGCATTGGACTTTAAATAAACTTTGTACACCATTTCCATTCTGGACGACCTTGTAAATAGGATGTAGAGAAGCAGTTCCAACTAAAGAGTACAACTCTGTCTTTGCATCCTTATTAATTGGAGTGGCTTTCTTGATCGCGAGATCAGCCTCAGAAAGTTTCGATGCCATAAGTGCTTTGAGCCATTGTTGCACTTCATTCATATCGAATCCTCTTTCCATAGCAAGAGCACCAACATATGCCTCGAAAATGTCCGCGAAAATCTTCTGCTTACCGTTCCGAAGAGCAGATTCGTCCACTTTACATCGTAAACTTTGGTCAAAGCCATACTGTGTGGAGAATTCAGCCAAGGTTTTATTGCTAACAAGCAGTGACCGAATCTGCGAAAGAAGACCTTCATTTGCAAAGGGAAATTTCTCATAAAGGATAAATGTCACCAAAGTGTTGAGTACAGAATCGCCTAAAAACTCAAGTCTTTCATTATGTGACAGGACAATTTCCTGCTCAGCCAAATAAGTTTTGTTAGCTGAAGTAGACTTGTGTTGAAAAACCCGAGCTCTAAGGTGAGCATTCCTGATCTTCGGCAAAGGCGGGAGTGAGCTGTCTTTCGCAACTAGTTCGTCATCTTCTGAAAGTACCTTGGAAGTAAAATCTTGGTCATCTGTCTCGGTGTCTCCTGTAGAAATTTGCGATCTGGTCCGCTTCGATCCTATTGTAATCTTGTTTTCAAGAATGTCATCGAAGATCTGCATTTGATTATCCTCATATAAGGTTTTAAGCTTCGCTACTAAATGCAACAAGCCATTGCTCTGAATCTCTTGCCTAGCAAATTTATCCACAGAGTTATCTTGAGCATATTCCTCGAGCTTTGATGAATCTGGAGCCTCTTCAACAATGATTCTTACGTTCTTCTGCAAAGAACGAGCACAGTGCTCAAACTTATTTAAATGTCTGTGTATCCAAATGCCACTGGTCTCGAGCAGGGAATCTTCAGAAGGTTTTCATTTTCTTCCGGGCATTTGGAGCTGGCAAAGCCTCGGAAGGCTGTGTCGCAGCCTTCGTGAGAGTGTTCAAGAAATTTTTCAAGTCACTCATGCTTGGGCTTTTTGAGCTTGGAAAGAATCCGCAAGTCTCAAGACCATGATGAGTAGCGAAGCTTATCACGTGACAAGGCTTGGATCAAGTATATATTTATGAGGGCTAAAGGAATGGCTACTTATTCTCTATTCTCCCAAAGCAAAGGATACTTTTCGATGAACCACTAAAAAGCAGAACGACTAAATTGAAGACAAGAATGTTCTCAGAATGTAATCTATGCGTGTGCTATATCTTATATCGCAAGCGCACCTAAGAAAAGAAGGAAGAACAGAAAAAAACCAATCAACCCTTAGTTTGCCTGCTAGTTGATAATAATAGCTCCAAAAGGATAGAAGAGTAATATACTTTTTATCTCTCCATTCTTTTGAATAAGGGAGTAGTTATTAAGCTACTACTATGAGTCGTGTTTCTACAAATGCGAGTGGAAAAAAAAGTTGACAGAAAAAAAAGTCTAGTCGAACTCAACGAAATCAACCACTGATGAGGCACCTTTCACAAGCCTTGTTTGGGGCTATTCGCCCTAGTTTTAACCCTATCTTGAATTCAGGTAGAGCTTTCCTCTCAGTGCCGAGATTTTTTTCCACAGCTTCTCCAAGATTGCAGACAGCGGTCACTCCCATCTATTCCATAAAATGACCGTAAGACTACAAAACACGTCTTGTCAAGAAAGACATTTTTGGTGGACTACTACAAGCATCTCAATGACACGAATGATATCGTGTTGTATGTGCATCACAACAACTTGGTCAAGAATGACAATGTCAAGGTCAGAAGTGACTTTCAGAAAATTGGGAGTCAAGATGACTTACATCAGAAACAGGCTTTACGATGTTTACTTGAGGTCTTCTCACGAAGAGGACCCTGCCTTGCATAAAAACACCTTGAAGAACAAAAAAGTTCAGCACCCATTGTCTGTGTTGTTGAACGGTCCAACGGCTGTAATCACCATTCCAAAGTGTGAGCCCAGCGTTGTTGAGCAAGTCATGAAGATCTTAAAGCAAGCGGGAGAAAAGCTCATTTTGATTGGAGCTAGAATCGAAACCTCCATTTACAATATTGATGACTTGGACAAGTTTAAAAGCTTGCCAAACAAGGAGCAAATGCAATCTCAGTTAGCCGGGTTGTTGACTGTTTTGGGAGGTGCTGGTTTGGTCAGAACATTGGAGTCTAATGGTACGATGCTTTACTTGACCTTGGAGCAGAGAAGAAAAGACCAAGACCCTCTGTCGGAGGAGCAGGAAAACTAACCACTGCATTGACATTTCATGTAAATAGATCCATATAACGTATCGTATACTTTAAGCTGACGTAAATAAGCAGGCCCATGTCGTTTTCGTAGAAGAGAAATTGAATTACGCTGATGCTCATCTCATGCCGGAATCTGAAAAATTCCCCAAACCATCATTCTTTTGAACAGAAACAAATGGCGAAGCCTACAACTCCCAATCCTGTAAAGGACAAAGAAACCCGCTTGCGTGAGCAGCAGGAAGCAGAGTCAAAAAGAGGAGCATACAGGGACAAAAAGGAGAACACCAGAAAGCAACTTAAACATGCCCGCATTGAAACTCCAACTCCAGAACCCGACTCGGTAGATTTGCCAAGGAAACGTTTTTACAGACAGAGGGCACATTCGAATCCATTTTCAGACCATAGATTAGACTACCCAAAGGATCCAGATAGTATGGAGTGGCAGAAGTTGTATCCTCACTATTACGATGAAGAGACCAAAAAAATGACCAAGAATGTTGAGTTCGCTGACATCGGATGCGGTTACGGCGGATTGCTTATCAAATTGGGCACAGAATTCCCAGATACCTTAAGTTTGGGAATGGAGATTAGAGTGCAAGTGACCCAGTACGTAGAGGACCGTATCATTGCCTTGAGAGAGCAGAACAAACAGCAGGAGCTTTACCAAAATGTGGCAGTTTTGAGAGGAAACGCCATGAAGTTTACACCAAACTTTTTCCAAAAGGGCCAATTGTCGAAGATGTTCTTTTGTTTTCCAGATCCACACTTCAAACAAAGAAAGCACAAGGGCCAGAATCATCACCAATACCTTGTTATCTGAGTACGCTACGTTTTGAGAGAGGAGGATAGGTTACACATCACGACGTCAAAGACTTAC